TCTTTTTACCCTCAAGTTTTTAAACCAATCAATGTTTTTAGCATATAACTTGCCATGGTACCTTGTCGGGATGAAAGATCTTTCAGTCAACTAGCTTTCAAACGTAACACAGGGCACAGGATTAAAAAGAAAAAAAAGAAAATTAAATCCAGGATTTGAAATGAGTTCACGAAGAAATTTGCACAGAGAAATGAATATATTTCTGAAAAAAATTAACGGCATGTTTTTTTCTTTGATTTAGCCACAAAAGACTTCTATGTTTTGTTTATGTTATTGTTATTGAAAAAAATTCGGCCAAATTTGAAGCAGATGACTATTTGACTGACAAAATTTCTTGTTGAAGAAATACCGAGGCAAATGACAAATTTCACGATTAGGCTCTAAACGTTTTAAATTAAATCTAAACGATTTGAAAAAATGAACAAAATCATTTATTGGAGCATACTATTTAAATTTTAGCTACAAGAGCTACGACTTGTCACAATAAGGCTCCAAGTTTGATATAAAATCAAGTCATAAAACACAATCAACCGGATTCCTGAAGTAAATTAATCAAATCTGTTTTTACCGAAAATTTTTTTTCAATTTTCATTCTTTATTCAAGGACATAGAATACAAAAAAATATCGAGTTATTAAATCTAGAATTCCAGTAATTTGTAGATCAGAACCAGTTAGTTTTGTGAAGTTCTTTTTTAAATCCTGTACTCCTGTATTACACTGAATAATAGCACAAAAGATCTTCCTTCCTCTCTAGAGATATATAAACTACGTTGCACTTTAAAACCAAATGCCTGGTTTAGACAGTGACTCATTATTTGATTTAAAGGGTCGAATTGAGGAGATATCGTTACAAAAAACAGCAGAAAGACAAACAATTTCTAGAAAACTTTTGACCTATGGACTTTTAAAGAGAACGAGACCATGAACAGAGTTGACTCATTTGCGCTCTAAGCTCACACGTTTTGCAAAATCAACACGTTTTCTTTCAAATGTACTGTCTAATTACGATGTTCAAATCAAATGAATTTCGTTCATTCCTCGTTATCAACATGTGCAATGAAAATATCTAAAAGAGTGTTTGAATTTGGTGGGAATACAATATCAAAAATTCCGTATTGTTTTTCTTCCCACGTTTCTCAGGGTGTGGTTTTAGAGAAAAAATATCTTGAGCACTTCTTAAAATTCTTTGGTTTTTTTTTTGGAACTATCAATGACAAATTGTTTGCTTAGCATACTCGTTTGTTCGTTCGATCTAATTGCATTTTTCCAGGATTGTGAAGAATTTGACGTCCAATTTCCAGTTAAAACTAAAATTCCGTCGAGATATAAAAGTCAGTATTCCTTTGTACCGATCCGAAAACGGAAACTTTGGTAATGTTCGTGTACATCAATTGTTTATTAATAGAGGTGTTTCAATGTCTTTAATTTTTTCCTCTTGCGATCCAATAATTAGTCCGCTATAGCGATAAAAAAATCAAACCTATATTCCTTCATCGGTAACAAGAATTCATTTAAACTGTTTCATGTAACGATAAAATTCATCTCCATGGGCGTTTTTGTAGCATTCCTAACCAGGCATTTGAGTTTCAAAGATATGGCTTCCTGAACAACAAGAGAACATTAGCATATTTTCTCCGAAAAAAACTAATCCGAAAAAGTGGTTGAGATTCAAACACAGCGTAAACTTGCTCGACTGATTTCAAAATTTCGTCAGAAAGTTGAAGCCAATGTCCTCTTGTAAACTGAAGCCAACCTCAGTTGATGCAACAAAGCAGTGAATAAACTATTAAGATGGCATTTTAATGGGAATTTGTGCTCTTTATTGAACGAGGTCGATTCCCTAAACAAATTTTGTCGAACATTGAATGTGACTTATACTAATGTTGTTTTCAACTTTTCCTTAAGTCTCTTGTTGCCTTTTGTACAAAAATAGAGAAAAAGAAAACAACGAAAGTAAATCGAAGTAGATCGTCCGCGTGAGTGAGGTTGGTCCTGCTGGTAAAATTTTTTTGTAGGTGGTAGTGACGTAACTTTCGTCAACTCGAGTAAAGTCATCGTTAAAGTCAAGTCTCAAGTCTGATTCTTGAACAAGTTGGTGAATTTTTCTGTGATGTTTTTAGCAGCGTAGGACTTAAATAGCGATATTCGGGTTGAGTTCAGGAAGTTAAATCAGTCTGTAAAGTTGAGTCTTTCCGTTTCGTTTGTTCGGTTGTGTTAATGTCATGAAATCAGTTGTTGGGTGTTATTTTTTTTTCTCACATTTGTTGACAGGAGTCTGTTCTAATTTACAGTAGTAAACCAGTCAGATTTACTTTGGAAAAGTTTTTCAAAATAATCAGTGCTGCATGTTGAAGATATTGTATAGTCCAGTCAATGGTCTGGTTCGTTTGTCGATCACAAAAAGGCAAGACTAGTTTCAATTTTTAAGATTTGAATTGAGGTGAACAGTGCCATCTAAACGAGATATCACATTTGAGTGCCATCAACTGAGGTATAATTGTGATACAGACTCTTAGGCAAAAAAATGAGCGATAATCCCACGTAATCATCAATTTAAGCTCCTTAGTTTTCTATAGTCGGGTTCATCTCGGCTTTAAATTTTAAACCGTTACTTTTTTTGAAGGCAATGCGAGATAAATTTAACTAAAATTGGGGTTAGTTCGGAAACATCATTTGATCGCTCATTGTCTGCAGAACAATCCGTACCACAATAAACTAATTCAAAAATGGTGGCTAAATGTAAACCACGAGAATCACCTACCAAATATTCTATCCATTTCCAAGTACAACTTGAACTTAATCTGATCATTGGTGAAGAAAAGTGTTCTTACAAAAATAAGATGTTAAACAGCCACCATTTTTGCTATCAGTACTGACAATAAATAATTGCAATGTTCTTATCTTTGTGGTATCTTCAGTATATTCAATTATTCCATTGTCCTCTTTGGATCTTTGTCCTTTGTTTCTTTGTCGTCCCATCCTTCTGGCAGTTTTACTCTTTCTGAAAGTGAAAATTTGGAGATATGATCAAGAACTGCTTTATGCATTGAACCTACACCAACGTTAGAAAACAGATTTTACGAAGACATGTTATCTAGAGGGCTATGAAATAAACATTTTGGTAAATAGGTCTTCAATCCATGAGACCTCCAACTTCATAATGACGCCCTAACAAATATAACACTTTTGGCCAAGGAAAGTAATGTGATTTACTGCAACCATCGGTTTGACTTCTGCAGAGGCCTGCACCCTTACGTAAGCAAGCTACGAGCTGAAGAAGTCCACGTGTTGCCGACTCGTTTTACTAGCTGAGTAAGTCGTTACGACTTGTACAGCTCCGTGAAGGAGTTTAAGGCAATATTTTCTATAAAATTGCTCACCTCTTGCTATAGTTTCAAGAGACTGCTTTCGTTGCTCTTCTTTTCACTTCAAACGCCTTTTTCCTCCAGAGTGCAAATTATTCTTCAGCAGTAAGGGACGGAACGTCTTCACTCTTCGGCGGACAGCATGGTTTGCTGGAAATTCTACAATTCCTAATGAATATGGATCGCGATTTTCAGCCAATCATAGGCTGACATCTCACAGATCTAACCCATACTTTTATTTGCACGCTCAGCCACCTAATCAAGAATAAAAGTATTGTGTGTGACGGATTTGCGTGCTAAAGGCGAACAAAAATTAATGGAACGTAATTGCCTTAAGCAATCTGCTCTACAACCAGGAAAAAAACTTTAGCCGTACGATCAGAGTAGAAGATTCAGATTTTAACCGTAAGAAAAGGTCCCTCTGTCGGCTTTGTGAGATTTGAATGGTTGAAACTTTCATGTAAGACTTAGAAGTCTTAGTAAAATAGAAAAATAGCGTACATTCGCAAAACGCTGCAGTTCAAAACAAGTAAATATAACGTAAAGTAAAGAAGACGCATGATTATTCTCTTATGAAGGGGTTGTAACGTAAAATTTAAAAGAACCCGAAATAAAAAAAAAAAAGCTTGGCCTTGTAGGACAATTATAATTGTCCTACAGTCCCTCGAATGATCAAAAGTTTAAACTACCGAATCTGTAAGAACTTACTGATGATCACAGGATCACTCAAGTTTGTTTTTGTAAGAATTACCGCCTATTTTAATTACATTCTGCACAGTACATTTACGAGTTCCCCATAGTGTTCATAGTATCATACTCTGTTTGAATCCTTTGTTATTAATAAGAGATGAGCACATCACTCCGGTCGAACTGAGAGTCGACGCTTAGCAACGAAGAGTATTAGTGGCATTTGGTCTCAACGATTCCAAAACGAAGTGTAACCAGGAAGGAAAAGAAAAGAAAGTTCTTAGCGACGTGTGGCCAAATACCTGCGGACTGGAGTAGAGCCCCACCCGAGGATGAGGGGTGGGGATGAGCGGGTCGTGATTTGCCTTCTCTCGGTCAAACTAGGAAAAGACGCTTTACTGATGTCACAAACATATTTAACTTCTCAGGAATCAATACAGAAGTGAGACATCTTCAGGGCGTTACGTCGGTAACACTGAATGTATTTGGGATGTCAAATACATCGAATTCAAATTCAAATCACTTTGTATCGTGTCACTTTTGATTCTTTCAAATGTATACAGCCTCGTCCTTGGGGGTGGGATGTGGGGGCATGGGTCTAGTTTCTACCTCGATTAATCGTCATTTTTCAACATGGTGTCCTCTTTTTTCGTCAGGTTTTTCCCAGCCAACACCTTGGCCGCATTGGTCCTGTTATTGGTTAGAGTAAAGAAAATCTCACTAACTGAAAAGCTCTTGATTGTTAAACAAAACTCTTCTTGTCGGCACCTTAGGGAATGTATTGAGAACGGTACGGAGATTATGGATACTGATCTTGGGGTGTAAAAGGGTAAAGTATAGACAGAAGAAGAAAGAAACTGAGCTGTTAAGGGAAACGAGATATCCTCTCAGCGTTTACCAAAGCGAAAAATACCACCAATGTATTTATCAAAATAGTTTTTAAAACTTCCACTTTAGTGAACACTCACTTAATTTCATGTTTTTTCCAGCTTCATGAATGCATGTAAAACTTTCAGCTTAAAGTATACAGACCATTTTGAAACAAAGGCAAAGCATGTATGGTGAAAACTTAACATACTCAAGGGTGTTCCAATTGATAAAATAGAATTAATTTAAACTATTGTTAATCACGTCAGTGTATTAGATACTCCTTGTATTTTATTAGTATATAAACTATAATTCCTCCTAAATTATGATTACATGTTTTTTTTATTTTGAAAAAGTAAGTAAAGTCTTTAGAAGTTATATCGATTTGCTGTATTTTTTTGCATATTCCCTGGATCAGAATGGCTTGAAATGACTTGATAATGAATTGAAGGTTTCTTGGTGTGACTAGCTTTTTAGTGTAGACTCTTCTGTCAAGGCCACTTCACTGAATTGTGTTCGAGATACATCCGATTTCATCAATTTCACATTCCACCACATCACCTCTCTGTAAAGAAAGTGAAATTAAAGTTTGTTGCCTGGTACCTTAACATGACTGCTTGTTAGAGCAATTTTCAATTGATTATCAAAAGTAATCATGGACTGCATTGATTTTCCTTCCAATGCTCTCTGATTGGCCCACAACAATCGCATATCTCTCTCAACCAATCAGCTTCATAGCTAAGACTAGTTGTGCCTCTGCCACTTGTGTTTTTCTGTAGTTTATTTGTTTGTACTCTGAGTTCTTATCAGCTACTTGCAATACTTTCCTTACTTCTGTTTGGCTTTGTGATTACATCCGTTTTGGCTTAAAGCAAATTCAATTGAGTGTCAAAAGTAATCCAGGATTACTTTGAGGAAGGGTGAAAGACTGAACCTTTTCCACTTCTGCTTGCAAACCCTTGAGGTAGCATAGTTCTTGGTACATCTTTTTCCTTCAAATGACTGCTAAATGCCTAGCATGGGTTGTGTTGGGGTGTTTCTTGTTAACTTAGCAATTAACATTTACTAACCTTGAGGTATACTGGAGGTTTTCTGAAACAGCCAACACCTGGTGGAGTACCTGTTATAACTACATCACCAGGAGATAGGGTAATAAATCTAAAATTCAAGTCATACAACATATTTTTAGTTTAAACCATACATTCCCCAGTGGCTCACATTAAAACTTTTTTTCCTCTCACAATAACTGAAAATCGTGCAAAGTCCATTTGTGAAGAGGGAAGAATGAATAAATAAATATTATGTGAGGCCTGCATGAAAAGACCTCTGAGGATTTTAGACCCAACTTTGTGACTGCTAATGCCACAACACTCAGCCATGTAAAGCTCATCAGCAAGAAAATCATATAACAGGCTAAAACACATCACAAGTGCATTTTGCATATTGCTAAGATCACCAATGTTAAAAGTGCCCTTTGAGAATTGTAGGTTGACAAAGAACATGGCTTACACATGCTCAATGGTGGAGCTTGCAACTAGCTAGTGCAAGGCTAGGATTTGAATTTTCATTGTAGACTTAGACTTTCTCTTTGTCCAATCCTTGTGAGAGAATTACCTTTTAATCCACATGTATCTAGCAACTGCAGTAAAAAGTTACCTTTCCTCTGAACATGGAAATGATACATTTTTTTAATAACCATATCTTATAGAATTTGTTGTTAGTAACACACTGTAGCTTCCTTTAGGTAACTTGAAAGAGCTTTATATACTTAATAGACATTTAATTTAGTTGTGCTTAACATTACAAAGAGAACAATTCTTCCTGGAGACAAATTGAGTTGTCCATAGCTTGTGTAACAAGAACACCAAGCTCTTACCAAGACATTGCATGGATGCAGGAATGTGATATACCAAAGAACTCACAGTATTCTTTAATTTAGCACTCCTTACCTAGATATGAAAGAAACCAGTGCTTCTGTCTTAAACACCAAATTTTCAGTGTTTGAGTCTTGCATGACGTTATCATTAACACGACAACGGATTCCCAGCTTGTGGGGATCTAGAGAAAAAGCCACACACAATGAATCAAAAATATTGAGACAGGTTGGATTTACAATCAAGTGAAACCTCAGAAGATGAAACTCCCCAAATTACTGTTTAATGATGGCTTATAATTATTAGCCTTCACTAATCACTGCTGCTTGTGATGATTTTGAATTTTTCCTCCTTTTAATTCGGAAAAAAATATCATTTTTCCTTCTTTCCTTCTTCTTTCTTTTCTTCCCTCGAAAAATTACCCCTAACCCTTAAGTGACTAGCATCTAATTTCTTCTTACAAAACACCCTTGGATCAAACATGAAGAACAAACAAGAATGAAGGAGATGATCCCAAACTAAAGAAGCTCTTGATTGATAAGCAACTTCTCTATGTAAGCACCTTAGAAAATGTATGAAGAGCAGTATGGAGAATATGCATACTGACATTAGGGTGTAAAGGGTTAAAAAACCTTGCTCCATTTAATTGAGTAAATGTAGTATACACAGAACATTGTTAGTATTACAATTATCACATTACCTGATATAGATTCCTTAGTGACTATAGCAGGACCAATTGGACAAAATGAATCAAATGTTTTCCCTATTAGCCACTGTCCACTATTTTTCTTTAGCTGCCAGTCTCGTGCACTAACATCATGTACCACAGTGTAGCCTGCGACATACTCCAATGCTTCACTTTCCTGCCAGTGAAATTCATACAGATAAGTTAATACTCAGTAAAAATAGAGTTGAGTCCTCTTCAAATTAGTTCAAATTATAAACAGGAATACATTAACCCTTTAACCCCTAAGAGTGACTAGCATCTAATTTCTCCTTACAATATCACCCCTGAATCACACATTAAAGTCACCAGAATAAAGGAAACGATCACCAACTAAAAGAACCCATTGATTGATAAACAAATTATCCTTATCGGCTCCTTAGGAAATGTATAGAGAACAGCAAAGAGAATTTGCATACTGGTGTTAGTGTGTATAGGGTTAATCAATAAAAGATGACCCTGGAGGATAGCAGGTATTGGTATATTTGGCCCTTGATTCAAAGTCTTTTGAAGAAGAAGAGTTGGAATGTCCTTTCAATGGATTAACAATAATACCTTAATCTTCTTTCCTGTTTTTCCAATGACAAAGGCAAGCTCAACTTCAAAGTCTAGTTCCTGTGAATCAAAAACATCATCAATAATGGAATACATTATTGACTATCAGATGAGGCCAAGCTAGTTCTCCTCCAAAAAGGGAAAGTTTAATATGCTATGAGCTACATACAGACTTTCTATGATGGTTTAAGCCACCTTCATGCCTTATTGCTTAATCACATTACATTTTCTTTTGCTGTTCTTGTTTGCGGGATCATCAATGGAAGGTATTGTCTACAGAGAGGTTAATAAAAACTTCATTTTTTCAATATTGCCCTTAAAACTGGCTGCACCAATGCTACAGTCTGTGATAAAATTAGTTGTCTATCATATTAATAAGTCATGTTATGTCATCATATTGACTACATGTAACTTTGTCACAGATTGTAGTATACACAATTAACTGGTTGTGTGATAAGTTTTAAAAGTCAAGCAATAAGTTGATTAAAGATTCTAAACCTCTTGAAAAAATAACAGACCTGTGTCTCCTCAGGATAAATGATTGGTGCTCCTGGATCTGTTATTGCATTGGTAAACTTGCTAAAAATTACAGGTTCTGTGGGCAAAGGAACATTCTGCTCTAAACAGTGGTCAACATAGTTCATTCCAATGCAGATGAGTTTATTGGGATTGTGAATTGGAGCCTTAAGTTGAATATCTGCCCTCTTCAACACATGTTGACCTCCATCCACTACCCTACAATGAAAAAAAGGTGAACAGAATAATCTTTATGAGGTCAATTCGTAACAACCAAGTGGCTCAAACCAACAATGCTTCTTTTGGTTTAGCAGCATAAAGTAATTAAGAGTATCACTGCTTCTCCACACTGGTCTGTCATAGGTATTCCCAGGTAATTACACTTCAGAGTGAAAATAGGCACTTTAAAGTTTAAGAGTGTCCCCCTTACCCTTTTGTAAAAAATTTGGTCATGTAAAAATGTTTGGCCTTTTCACACATCATAAATAATATCCAAAAGTCTTCTATGTTCACTCAATAATCAAGACAATCAGGTTTTAAATAAGAAAAAAAAACCAATTCACAGATGGATGTTTTCACTTTTTTGGACCTGTTTATAAAGCTTTTGATCCTCTCAGTTGAGCCATTTGGAGTAGTCACAAATTCATTATGCAAAACAAAATGGTTCAAGAATAATGTTTAATTAATCTCTTCATTCATGGGTTGCATTTAAATAAAAGTGAAAAGATCTTATTATCTTTAATCACAATTCAAGAATAAAAAAAATTTAAATCAGCATTCATGAGGAAAACCCCCAATCATGCGTCACGTAAATAGCATGCGGGACCCTTGTTTAAGTGTATTGCCCAAGAGCACAACAGAATGACCCAGTCAATCCATTCCATGTGTTTGCCACCTTCCCTTTTCCTTCAGAATTAAGATGAAAATGATAGTCTTTAAGTTCTACAGAAAAAACATTTGTTTCCAAACCAAGCATGATTAAGAGAAGTTACCAGAGTAGTTTTCCTGAGGAAAGAAACAAATGATCATCTGCACTAGTTAACAAGGTTGGGTAGGGGCTAATTTACACCTTTTCAGAGAGAAATCTGCATCAACAAAACCATAAACACGTCATATTAATCTAGCCTGGCAGGCGTTCTACCAGCACTATACAGAGAGCGGTGGCGTTGATCTGAGGAGGCTTACTCTGCCGGTAGGCAAGAGGCCAAAAGCAAACAGCTAACATGGTTTGCTATCGGGCCTTAGAAGGAATTATGTTAAAGACAGCAACCCAACCCCAACCTCACCATTCCCCCCTCCCCGTCCCCCTCCCCACTTTCAAAGTGGGGGTAGGTATCGGGGTAGGTTAGGCTCCAATGAACATGCGTACCCAAATAAATACGCAATTTATTTTGTGCTCACTCTAAATATCAAACCACACGAGCTTTTACCTTTGTGCTTTCTTCATCATTTCTTCTCCTCCTTCTAGGAAAGATTTCATATCACTTGAGATAGAGGATTCGCCAGCACACAAGTCAACCACATTGCCGCCATCTTTGGTCTCGACACCAACCCTCTGCCTTCCACCTTCAACAAATTGAACAAGACGCATGGTGTGCTTAAATCGACTAAGTGTACAACTGTGGATAAGATCTGGGCGGATCCCGAGCAAATGCCGTAACATAAAGCAGTCAAACACGATTCAAAGTTCTTCAGTGGTTTGGTGTGCCATGAAAAGGGACGACTCGTCCACGTTGTCATGTACGACGTCACTAATTGTGTCTTGGCCCTCAGGACCGTAAGTAAGTTTGGAGTCTTGACCAGGGGGCCTTTCTGAATCGGAACGGGAGTACTAAGTGCTATCCAGTCTACGTAAGCAATGCTAAAAATGTTTTAAAAATCCATATCTTAAAAATTAGTGCCTGAATATGGTAGACGTGGGTTTAAGGATTTCATGTGACTGGACAATTTAACCACTTTGACGCCGTCAAATAGGCTGTCATGTTGACACCCTCGAAGAAATGTAGCATACGAAGTAGTTATGCGAGTGAGAAGGGAGCACTCGCGAAGTAAAACGCGTACGGATAGGTCAGAGGGAGATCTTCATCAACGTCTGATCTCTTGCGCGTGCGTTAGCCGCGACGAGTCCAACGGCAGCAAAATTTATCAATAGAATCCTGTAGCAGAGGACCATTATTCGACACCGCGCTTGTAAATAATGGTCTTTGGGTGGGCAAATCGAAACTCATTGCTACTTTTCTTCATTCTCATTTCGAATGAAATATCGATGATGAAGTAAACCTTCCTTACCTCGAACGAATGAAACCCGATAGATGGCATAACTATCACTACTGTGAAAGAAGATAGCTCATGGTATGCATGAGCAGTTTCTCAGTACAGGATGCCAAACTATTTTCAAGTTTAATATAAAAGTGAGTCTCGGAAATACCTTGGAAGCATGAAAATTTCCCCCATTTCATTCTAGGAAAGGTTTAACGAGTGGAAAAATCACTTTATCTACGGGCAAATCTGATGTGGGTAAGCTCATTAGATTGCACAATAGGTGAAACATTTGTAAATATATCAATCAAGTCCCAGAGAAATAGTGACTGACGCATTGCTATGAAAAGGAAGCTTTCAAAAACTGTTTTCCTCTTGTACATCATTTGATGCAACATTATGACTTTCATAGCCTCATCTATTGTACGGGTCTATAAAAGAATTATGTGAGAAATTTAAAGGGATTGGGGTGTGGCTAGTTTGACCATCTGAAGCTAAGCGGGCTACAAACAAATTAAAAGGCTATCGTCGCGTGATCAGCAAAAACAGACAAGAGAGAACGAAAAAAGATAAGTTTAATTAAGAGCATATCAGGCAAACGAATTTTTTCTCTTCTATTACAGGTAAGAAACGACATACATTACTTATTTCATTTAAAACAACTGACTTCAATTATAAAAACATTTTTTCTCAGACCATAAAGTGTCTGGCCTCAATGCAGTTGTTGTGCTGGACAGGAGGTGTAAGCTAAATCAGTGGCACATTATTCTTCGTCAATTCTCTTTTTCTTTTTCTTCTTTTTCTTCGGTTCACTTGATTCTTGGCTGATGACAGGCACGACTTCCTCTTCTTCTTCTTCTTCTGCCTTTCTCTTCTCTCCTTTCTCCTTTTTCTTCTTTTTCTTTTTGCCTCCCTCGTCGTGTCCATTTTCTGAAGCAGCGGACGTATCCAAAGGCGCTTGCTCTTCTTCCTCAACAGCTTCATCCTTCTGTTTTTTCTCCTTCTTTTTCTTCTTCTTTTTCTTTTTCTCAGTCGATTCGTCATCGGCCGCATTGCTCGTTTCCACAAACTCAGCTATAGCTTCTTTCATAACTTCAATATTCTTCCTTGGAGCCTCTCCTGTTTCGTAGAATTTCAGTCGATCCTCCACTTGGTCGTGTAACTTCTGACCAAACACACTGGACTGTGTTTCTATTGATAGAAAAAAAAAACCAGATAATCAGAATCAATCAATAAATCATTATTAACCTACTGATTTATTTACTTGTTTATCTCTTTGTAATTAAGTTTTTTTTGCACTGATATTTGATCCCAAAATCCCATAACCAATGAACGAGAAAAGTGCAAACATCTTGTTTCGATTGTGATCTGCAACGATAGGACTTCAAAAGTGTCACCTGGGCATCTAACAGTAGAATCTACAGTGCTTGATTTGACGGGACAAAAGTTCCCTGAGGGCTTGGTGGTTGAGAGAGGCAAATCAGATGGATTCAATTTCTTATCAGTGATTTTTCTTTTTATTTGCTCAACACTAGCCATATCTAAAATAGTACAAGTGACAGGTTCCACACATGATTTGGGGATGTGAATATATTTAGGTTGATGCAGTGTTTGGACCGTTAATGGTCCTTAATTTTCCATCATCTTCTTTGGTCATGAAGAGAAAAAACCTTATGAGAAAAACCCCTCTGAGATCTTCTGAATTCATCTGGATAGGAAACCAGAGGTAGCAAACAGTCTATCCACCTACAAATGTACTTCTATGAAATGATTATAGATCACTGTAAGAATATCATATCAACAACAGATCTACCATTATGAGACTGAAACACTAAAACATTTATTATGCAAACAAAGTTTAAGTTCATTATCAGCATACCTGCAAAGCAGTCAATCCTTGAGGCAATGGAGCACTTATTTGCCAAGTACCTTGATATCCGACCCTTGTTCTTCACCCCAGCACGGCCAATAAAAGATGAATGGAAGATAAGTCCATACTTTGGTGTGTTTCCCTTTTTCTTCAGTGCTCTATGAAAGAAAAAGGTAACATGAATCATATCACAATTAAACCCTTACCCTTACCATTAATATTTATATTCTCTGTTCTGTTCTCTATACATTTCCTTAAGTACTGAAAAGGAGAATTTGTTAGACAATCAAGACCTTCTTCAGTTAGCAATAATTTCTCTTATTCTTGTGACCTTAACCCTTTAACTCCCAAGATCTGATTGTTAATTCTCCCCTCCAGCTGCTACACATTTCCTTATTAATTAATTATGAGAATTTTGTGTTAGATCAAGATAACTTCTACCTGATAAATTTGAGTATTCTCATCACCTGTTTGCTGAATAATGTATGGATATTAAAGGGAGAAGTTGCATGTTAATCACTTCTGGGAGTTAAAGGATTAATTTTGATACTGTAAGGCAAAATTAGATACTAGTCACTCTAAAGGTTTATAGGGTTAAGAGAACTGCACAGTCAATCATTTTCCTATTTGACAGGAAAAACGAACACCTTTTTTGAAAAGAAATTAGTCACCTGAATAAAGCTTTCTCAGCTCCAAGTATCTGAACTGTGGATGCAGGATACTTTGCCAGGTTTGTCAAGCTTCCAGCATGAGAGATCAACCGAGCTCCAACCTAAAATAAAGACATGACCAACTTACCAATGTGACTCAAACACATGAAGTTGACAACTCTCCCCCCCATGCAACACTTTATCCCTTTATTTTAAGAATGATGAAAAAAAAGGAGGGAATCTTTCAGAGAACAGTGTCAAGTTTTTTGGTGTAATTTAATTGTATCTTTGCATTGTATGCTGATTATTTCAAATTTCTTGGCTTATCTCCTGTAGATTACACATGGACTTTTCAATAAAAATAGCAACATGGAAATGTTATCATCAAACTGCCAATGTTACTCTAAAATTACTGTTACCAATGTCACTTGACGAAATCTGACTGAAGTGATTCAGAAAAAAAAGCAACAAATTCTAACCCTGGTTGATGATAATTAAAACAACTGTACCAAATAGATACAACACTGTTAAAACAACTGTAACAAATCTGAGCAAAGGTGGCAAAGTTTTTGCAAATGGAATCACAGGATAAATTGCCAAAAATGGTACTTTGATTCATTTGCTATGAAGCAATGACACTGGGGAAGAAAACATGTACTTTTGAGGCTAATATGGTATTGGAGTTATCTATACTGAAAGTTCATTATATGTCACCTGCTCTCCGATAAGGGCAGAAAGATTGGGTGCCACTTGATTCATTTTAGAAACCAAATAAGTATGGAGACTCTTCCTGTATTCTGCCAGACTGATCACTCTTGATGCAAAGGTCTGGATATTTATCAAGTCCACTGGAGATATATCCATCCCTAAGGAAATAAAAACCCACAAAATTGAGATAGGTCAGTAACTGAGTTGGAAAGTTGTAAATGTCAATGCAGTATATTGTTATATTTCAGTAAAGTATCACCATGTATAATTACGTATAAAAGTTCTACCAATTGGACATGGATGGAATAAATATATTCATGTAACAATTAAGTGCACATTTTTGGAGAAAAATATATGCTGGTTTCCAAAATTGTATCTGCTAATGTTCTTGGGTGGTAGAAGATGATAGAGTATACGCGCAGTATTAGATACAACTAAGTCAATGCATTTCTGAACACATTCTACATCTTCAAGATCTAGAGTGATATAAGGGCATGCAATACTCTAACACCAGCCTAATGCAGGCAAGATAGAAGCAGATGATAATATGAGCTGGAACATTTCCTGCCTCAGCAAGACTTGACTTTCACAGGAATATTAAATTGATAAGTGAAATAAGTGTGAAAATCATTCGAAGACTATGCTAGAATTTAGCCATTATGAACACCTCAGTACACAAAAAACACTTCTTTAGTTTAGGGTAATTATTTACCAGTTCACTCACCCATTGATGATTTGGAAGCATCATAAATTGCTTTGGCTTTTGCTGAGTCCATCACAATTTCTTCCAACCCTTCCAGCTTGTCTTCAGAGAAATCCTTTCTAGATTTGATGTATTGAGCTGCTTTTGCATACATGTAATTGTCAGAGACTATCTTGACAAGCTCTGGAAAATGGTATGAATACCATTCTCTATACCAAGGAAAAAAAGCTCATGTGAGTACAGGCAAGCTTTAGGGGTGGTCTGAGTAGGTGCTGTGGGACAAGGGAGGCCGCAGGCATTTAAAGGTTATTTAAAGGGAGTAGTGTCCCAGGACAAGTTAGAATACTCTCTGGTGCTCATAGTAAGTGATCAACCTCTCCCTCTGCCATTCTAAAGTTGCATTGGGAATAACTTCATCTTCAAAATATTCCAAACATTTGTTTTCAATGAACGTTCAATTTCAAGTGTATCTGGAACAAACAGGGATAAATTTACAACACACAAAAAGGTATTCCAGTGCATTTTCTGTAATGATCATAGCGGTGTCAATAACAAATGCTTGAATATGAGAGGTTCTTGACCAATCAGATTTGTGGTCTTATTGGCTGTTTTAGGTCCAGACTGTCCCATTTTACACATCCAATTACAGACACTTGTATCTACAGGCCTAATTGGACAGTGTGGTAGCCAATAAAATTTGAGCTCTTTGAGCCACCAGCCTCACTAGACAATGCCAGCCAATAGAAAAGAACAAAACTTCTCACATGAGCAGGTTAAGGGGTCCACATTTTAACCAAACATATATCAATGCATTATATTCTTCATTCCCGAGTTTCTCACATTTTGTTATTGACACATTCAATTAGTTATGGCATTTCATGTTATACAATTCAGGGGTAATCATGCTGCTAATTTCAAATCAACCTCACGCTATGCACTCTGCCTATTTAAAAACTCTCACCCCGTTACTCCTCCACCATTCAAGAATCATCAAAAAAATATAGATTAATCAACAGTCAATTTAGGTTCAAATATCAATTTTACAAATTTTGGCACATCCTTACAATAATGAATATCCAAATTTCCATGTCCAGAAATTTTCCTACCATTCCCAAACTACACCATGCATCACTGTACACACCTGATTCTCATGGAGAAGGTATTGATGTCTTTATCCAGCTGATCCAACAAACTAATGGACTGGATGATCATGTTGTCTACACGATGAACATTAAACTTTACTTTTGCTCTAGAGTAACTGTGGCCCAAACCCAGCTGTGCCTTGGCAGCCATTGGACCAGTCAATCCCTTGATCATCTTCTCAAAATGAAATCTTATTCCTCTGAGGACCTCTAACACCAATCCACCAGACTCGCACTGGATGTTTACAGTCTCCTGAATAGCTGCCCCAAGTTTGGCATCCGAAACGCCAAGAAGAACTTTACTCTTCTTTTTCCCAGTTGGAACATTTGCCTCCAAAAATGTTTTGAGGTCATCATGGATAATACCTTAAGTAAAATAAAAATGTCATACTAAGTCAGCTGGAATCACTGGCAATATATAACTTAACCCTCTAACCCCAAAGAGTTACTGTCCTCTAATTTCTCCTCACAGTACCCCCCTTGGTTGAAATGTACAGGTCAGGAGAATAAGGAAAATGGTCCACAATTTAAGAAACTTCCAACTGTCAAACAAATTCTCCTTGTCAAGAATAGTGTGGAGAATACGAATACCTACACTAGGGTGTAAAGAGTTAAAAAGACATCACACTACCATAACTACATGCAAGTTACAATGCTTCAAAAATAATTACAAAATGTAGCTTCAAGGGGATTTTAGATCTGCCATGAAAGCATATTAATACTTTATTTCGATGCACAATGTGATCGATACTCGATCTTACTTGATGGAGGGTTGGTTGTGCAGTCAGAAAGACGAAGGAGAAGCACAACAAAACCAATTCTTTCTAACACGTGAAGCAAATTGTAGCTACGTCACGCACAATAATTATTTCATTCAATACGTACTACCAAAACAAACTTTACAACCCACGATCAAGCAACTTCAGAGAATTGTATATACGCTCACAAACCTTCAGATATACAGTTGATGTTATCCAGTGCATTAGTTCCCGATTTAAAGGGAGAAAACGCAGCAAGTTTCACTAATTTTCCGAATCGAGAAAGATCAGTAGCAGACTCTTGTACTTCGGGTAAAAGGACTCCGATTTCTTCCTGCGCGATGACTTTGAATACTGCATAGCCAGAGGCATGCTCGTACAACACAAAGAGAACCTAAATGGAGAATTACAAATAGTTAAGACTTCGCTAACAAATTGAAAAGATCGAAAATAACACTATAATAACTTGATGACCTACCATTTTGTTCAGAACCTCGTGGTGCAAAATTGGCTCCCAGTCTCTATGAGAAAATGGAGGGACCTGGGAAGTCTGGAAACGAATACAAGAAAAAGCCGCGCCGTTATCAGCCGCAATCTCGCATTTTTGGACGAAAAACTGTCGAGCTGACTCCCTCAGATTACACATATGAGTGAATAACAACAGATATCAAAGAAAGTTCAGAGAGAGCTGAATAATAACAAATGAAGCGAAAAGGCATTTGGACAAATGATTGTTCAACTTGACCTAAGTTCACTATGACCCAAAATACAGATTTCTGGATGAAAATCACTATAAGTGATAATGGAAATGCAATGCTTTCGTTTATAAGCGAGTAAAGTTTCAAAAAAGGCTTAAAATGTAACCAAGAAGGCCACCATAATAAAAAAACAACTCAGTAATCTGGCGGCACACGTATGGCAGTTTGCATTATTTGCACCAAAAATGCAATTAAGAGTAGTTCCTTTTGGTTTGGAGAGACCGCCAAGAGATTAAAAAGTATGACCTCTTAACTCACAGGTAAGCAGCCAGGTTTCTAAGCAAAATTCAAAATGGCGGTGTCCGTGGTCGAATTTCAATACATTTAAACACAACGCACTTACAATGAACAAAAAAAAAGACCTAAAAAGCAGAACGTACTTACAACTAAAATGACAAACAAACAAAAAAGATAAAGGGCGATTACAACTAACGTAAGCAACAAACAGATAAGAAAGAGTGCGCTTAGAACTAATGTAACAAACAAGTAGAAAAAACAGAGCGCGATTAGAACCAACGTAAGAAAGTAAGAAACAAACAGAAAAGACAGAGAGCAGTTACAACTAACATCACAAACAAACAGAAAAGACGGAGAGCGGTTACAACTAACATGACAAACAAACAGAAAAGGCATTGCGAGCTTGCAACTGGTGTAAAAAACAAACAGAGACTAGAATTAATATAAAAACAAACATATACGACAGCACGATTAGAACTAATGTAACAAACAGAAAAGACAGAGCGCTTAGAACTAAAGTAACATAGGAACAGAAAAGAAAGAATGTGCTAAGAACTAATCTAACGAACAAGCCAAACATAAATACAAAACGAGCTAAGTACTAACGTAACAAAAAACATTAAAGACAGCGCGTTGATTTAAAAATGAGGTATTAAGAAGAGGCTCCCAAATTTGGGTTTTCCGGGATCCGGGATTGGGCTTATTTGATGGCCGGGGTCAGGGAATTTTGAATAAGAAGTGGAGGGAGATGCGGAATTGTTGGTATGAACGGGACACAGGAATCGGCGATTTTAAGAGCAGGATTCGGGAAATAATCACTTACAACGAACCGTGAACGGGTATTACCGTTGACGAGAATTTATAAAGAAACTGCTGTACGTTTAAGTCCGAAACAGTTAGCCTCGCGTTTCACGTGAGATCACGAGATCGCATTTCAATTCTCCTTTCATGCGCAAAAGTGAAACGCGCCTTTGCCCCGAGCTTTTATTTTCGTTGCAACCCCTTGGTGATATCGGGACGTTCTAAGCTATGGAAGAAGTAATCGCTTCAACAGCAGAATTGTTTCCAGTTAATTATTCCTTATTTCCCTTGCTATGGAACTATGTGATTGTCAATGGATGCGAGACTATCGCAAGAGAAAACAAGAAGAAACCCTCCTTTAGCTCAAACTGCATGAGAGGAAGAGACACTTGCTCTCTCATTGCTCTCTGCGAGTAGCTGGGTGGTGCACAGCGCTGCTTTTGTACATCAAAGCTATGTAAGGAGTGAGCTGATGATTTTTTTTTTAACGAAACCTTTGCTTTTATTACAAAACACAATTCTACAAAACATTACTTACAATGCAAGACTCATTACGCTGTTCTACTTACAGAACAATACTTACGATACTTACAATGTAGGTTACCTATGCTAGCAATACAGTATAATATAATTACTTGCTATACGAGCTACTTACACTACAAATAATAAAATACTCTACTTACATTACTTGCTGAATATACAGTTACTTACAATACATTGTGCGGTATATTGACTTTGAGGAGGCAGGAGTACTCCCCAATAAAACATATAATTAAGACAAACTTTCAAGATTGTATTTAATGAGTAGCTTACTGATAAAATCCTGAAAGGAGATGGCCAGGCTATTTAACTTGGCTGAATAAATATAATGGCACATAAATAAGGCGGTGTAGTTGAATTTCCGTATTATTGTTGTGTCGTGGGAGCTTGTAGTAATACCGAACAGTCTCCTCTGTGTAGGAGAGATTTGGCTCGCATTCACTTGGTTAAACCAGTTCAAGACCTTTTGGGTAAACAATCTGGTAAACATACATTCGATAAGAGTGCTCAATTGAATCTCTATCTCCGCAGTATACACATTCATCGTTCGCCTTAATACCAAACCTGAATAGTTCTTTCTTAGTTACTATCGTTCTGTGGATTAATTTAAATTGAAATTCTTTTAATTTAGTTTCCCTAAAAATGTTTTTAAGTGATTTAAAGTTCTTAGTTCATACGTCTTTCTTTAAAGAGAGTTTTTCGCTCCAACGTTTAAGACCCGTTTGATCTTCGTTGTGAATCTTGACGTTAAGCAAATTATAGAAGTCCTTTGACTTAGCCTTGTATAGATTACTTTGGGTCGATTCGTTGAGGGGAAAGATATCATTTCGGGTAAAGAATGATTTGTTGATGGTGTCGGAGTCTTTGGCTAGAGACCATAGGCGTTTAGGAGAACGCTAACTACTTGATAATACTGTAAGAAATTGGATTTACAGGAATATTTATCACGGAACTCGTGGAACGTTAAAACATTGCCACTTTCACTCAATAGATCGTTAATCGATACAATATCTTTTTAAAACCATTCATTAAGGAAGATGGGTTTCCCGTCAAACAATAACTCTTTATTATTAAACAATAATAACTCCTGCTTTTGATCGTACGAGTAAAGAGTTTTTAACTCGTTGAAGAATTATAGTATCTTCTTAAATATCCAGCTCAAACTGTATGAGAGGGAGAGACACTTGCTCTCTCACTGCTCTCTGCAAGTAGCCGGGTGGTGCACTGCGCTACTTTTGTATACCAAAGCTATTTAAGGAGTGAGTTGATGATACCGCACCTTTGTCCTCACTGTCAGCAGAGATCATTCAGCCGTTCAAACAGAAGAGACCGTCACGAGAAATATTCGAGTTCGAAACCACTAGTCAAAAGACTTTTAGCTTAAGATTCTAAAACCTCCAGCCAAACAACACCTATTCTATTCGGGGGGATAGAAATGGGCGAGGCTTTTCGATTCAAGACACCCTGTAGCATTTTAATCGTGGGACCGTCTGGGTGTGGTGCGACGTATTTCATCGAGTCGTTACTCCTAGACCATTTAGATGAATTATTTGTAAACCCTCCTACTGTATGTGATGCGTTACTACTATAGCGCATGGAAAGTTGGTTTCCCTGATAAAATGCTTCTCTAAAAAAGGTGGTTAGTTGGATGATTTGATGACCAAATGAGGAAATGATAAAGAGGTGTTGGATCTTTCTACCAAACACTCCCATCATCACAACATCACCATCAAGTACCTGTGTCAAGACATGTTTCCACCGGGCAAATATGCTAAGAGTATTGCTAGATATGCTCATTACGTTTAACTTAACCCTTTTCGAAGAATTTGCTATTGCAAGCATTTCCCAACAAGTTTTATCAGGTAATCGCATACCAGAGAGAGATAAATAAAAGTTCTGTTTTCTTAGACGACACCAAAATTAAAAATTTCTATCATATAACCATCTTGCAATATTTGTAATCACTGCAAAATTTCACGTGTCACGTATTTGAACATCGGAAAGATAACTAGAAAAATTATGTTTTCCCGCCTCACTCATTTATGACTTTCTGCGTGACATCCCCCTGTAACACCCTTTCGCGACGGCGTGACAACATGAAAATTGTGTTACAGCTCAAATCGCCATCTTGTTAACCATATTTGGTAATGCCCGTTTGTTCTTGGTTGGAATACTACTAGACTATAGTGCCTCCTATTACTACTCTCGAGCGAATCTGTTTTTCGACGACAGAATTTAAAGAGCTCTGTAACACTCTCCAGGATGATGAATTTCTCGTTTAAACGAGACCGGTTGAAATACCATGGTCGTAGTTTCAGCTTCTATAAGAGAGTCCTAAGAATGTACTCTGTTCTTGACGCTTTTTTTCCTGTCCACTATGACTGTGGCGTTTTCGGAACAACATTCATTGGGTCCTCGTATGACTCATCTTCTTCACCTTCAGTCTGTAAGAAAACAAAACAATATGTATTAATGTAACTAGCAAGAGTCTTCCTTTTAACCCTTTACACTCTAAGAACAGTATGTGTATTCTCCATACTGTTTTCTAACAATTTTGTGAGGTGGTGAAAAGGAGAATTTGCTCAACAATCAAGACCCTCTTTAGTTCGGCGTCGTGTGGGTTAATGTGGTAGAAAATGGTTAACTAAGGGTAGATGGAGGTTAACTTGGTAGAACATGGCTAACTAAGGGTAGTAGGGGGTTAATGAGGTATAGCATGGTTAACTTAGAGTAGATGGGGGTTAATGTGGTATAACATGGTTAACTTAGGGTAGCTGGGGGTTAATGTGGTATAACATGATGAACTTATGGTAGTCGGGGGTTAATGTGTTATAACATGGTTAATTCTAAGGTTAGATGGGGGTTAACATGATAGAACAACGTCAATGGGACACATTGTAAACCACACATGAATAGTGTTATACCTAGTATCATTATGGGATGTATTATGTATGGAACATGTTATGGACATAACATGGACGCTTCATCTACAACTCGTAAAAATACTCAGCGATACCACACACCAAAACTCCTAATACGATACATTCATTTAATACTTTAATCTCTTACCTTAATATATGACATTCCCCACTGGGGTGAGGTGGGATCGCTATTTCCTTCTCCTATTGATAACAACAAAAGAACAACAAAAACAGTACAAATTTTCAGGTACATTACAGTGGGATAAATGAAAGCGGATAGCATAGTTGACAATAAATCTTGCAACGCCTTCGTGTTCTCCAAGAGCTTTTCGAGCATCGATTTTCACTGGGAAGTTTTGAAGTTCAGTTACTATGAAAAAGTACCAAAGCTCTCCCTCAACTTTCGCCTGCACCCTGACGCGCACTCTGAACATATTTGTAGAACATGGTGTACTGTTTCATAATGTTAAAACAAAAAATAAGTATCCAGCAATAAATTTCCATATATGTTGGGAATATGTATGGAAATGATACACATTGCAAGCGATTCACCAAAAATATAACGGTTAGTTGATCATCTCTTTTCATCATGGCGACCTTATTTTACAATGAGAACTTTTCTCGTCGTGAAAAATTACTATTGAACTTTGCAAACTACTTTGGACAAGTTACTATTAATTTGATCAAAAAAAAATTCACGATCAAGAAGAAAACTACTTTAATTTTCAATTTAGCATGTTAAGTCGATGCGAAGCCAGAAACAGTCGACCTCGTAGCACCCCCTACAAAAGAGGTTTGATAGACTGATAGGCTGATACCCACAGATTATCGTTACGTCAGTCGTAGTCACAAGTTGTGGGGTCAGTGACTTGCTATGGAGGGGGAAAGGGGTTTGAAGTGCTTTTGGAAGTACCAATAATTATGTGTTCCAAAACGAGGGGAGATAAAACTTAAGTCCAGGAAAATTTTGGCTGGTTGGTGAACCGATACCACAGCAACGGTTGCTAAGGAAATTAAGAAGAAACGTAATTTTGTGAAATATGATTAAAAAAAAGGAAAATAATAAATGGCAGATGTTGTTAACTCGAAAAATACCTTACCGTCGATCTTGCTCTATATACAAAGGCAAAAGAAATTCAGTAGAAACACCCTGAGGAGTCTGAAAACGTTATGAATTGTTTGGAGGATTTCATTTCGCGTTTAATTTTCTAGTTGCAATAGTCATGAAATTTCAAGAACGTGGTATAGAAGATATTTCTACAGAACCCAGTCTTATTTCTTTTATTCCACAATCACGCTCCTCGAACTAAAATCTTTCATCTGCAGAGTTAGAGCACATAAGCTTTTGATGGGAGCTTTTTTGGGATGCAGTAGAAAGCATTCTGTGCCTGGATCTCAGAGGAAAAGCAAGTTCTGATATAATCAAAAAAATCTCTGCGCATACAAGGCAGTATCTACAACTGAACAGAGGAAAGATAAATACCCTCTGCTATATACGATACATCGAAGGATCTTTGTCTCCTGTTCAGCAGGTTTAAGAAACAGAGTTCGTGACCACAGTTCAAGTTTTGGGGACAGCTACACAAACATGGCACTCCTTTTAAATTTCATCAAAGCAGAGCGCAAAGGATACTAGGAGACACATCTCGAGGCAACAGCTGAGAAGATCCCTCATTTTTGCTCAATGGATACAAAAAATATTTTCCCATCGGCTTCCAGTTTACGTCAGACATGAACCCACTTGATAAGAGAGCTCGATCGCAAAAAGTTTGTTGGTCGATCAAGGAGTCAATGAGCTTTGATAAGTGCTCTCAATACCAACAATTTTGTGTGTCGATCGGGGAGGTAACGACCTCTAATAAGAGAGCCCGATCGCAAGAATCTATTTGGACGATGGGGGAGTCAATAAGCTCTGATGAGAGCTTCCGATTACAAGAAGTTTATCAGTCAACTTAGGAGTCAATGAGCTCTGATAGGAGCTCCCGATCGTAAGAAGTTTGTCTGTCGATCGGGGGGTCAATGAACTCTGATGAGAGCTCCCAATCACAAGAACTTTGTCTATCGATCCGGATGTCAACGAGCTCTGATAAGAGCTCCCGATAGCAAGATTTTTGTTGGTCGATCAGGGAGTCAATGAACTCTGTTAAGAGCACCTAATCGCAACAAGTTTCAGTGTTGGACGATTGGGGAGGCAACGAGCTCCGCCAAGAGCTCCCTATCGCAACAATTTTGTTTGTCGATCGGGGAGGTAACGACCTCTAATAAGAGAGCCCGATTGCAAGAATTTGTTCGGACGATGGGGGAGTCAATTCGATTAGAATATGCTGTTCATCTGTTTATAAAGGTGATAGTAACTAAGCTGTCAATGTTTATCCATCACTCCACTTAGTTAACGAATCGCGTTGAATCACGAGAAGTCGATCTTGCTTTTGAAACATTTTTGTTCAAAATGTTGACTCTTCACAAGGTGACTTTTCATCTGAATTTTCATACAGTCTCAGTTAAGATCCGGCAAAACAGAAACGAGATATATCTACATGTACTGAGGAAATTAGAATTAGACAATATAGGTGATTTAAAGGAAAAAACAGCGTTTAAAGGCTTTCATGTAACATTAAGAAAAACAGAAGTTGGAGTAGGAAGAGACTGTACAACGAGCTGCGTACACTTCGAAAAAACCTCGTGGCTGTAGATTCAGTGCGGAAGATAAATAGAAGAAATTGTTAACAATAAAACCACCTTGAAAGAAAAAGGTGTTAACCGCGCTAAACTTAAAAATAAAGGAATTCTTCCTTAATGCTGAATTATGAATGGGATCAACCCCAAGCGAAAACTAAAAAGGATTGGAAAAAGAAGGGTATAACTACCACGGAGTTTATAAACAGATATCAGTTTTTAACAAAAGCAATTACCTTTTCTTCTACTAAACCGATTAACATTGTTTCCAAGAGCAGGTGGAGCATAGCTTACCGAAAGAACCAGTTTCCACGGAATCTAAACACCTTTTTATTACGAATTCGCGATAAGAGAAGGATTGCTTTGATCAAAACTTATAACAGCCAACAATTAGTGCTTCATAATTTCAGAGAACTATTTTCTCGTAGCAGTATGATCAGTGCACAGTCTTCATATGTTAAAAGAGTAAGGTAAACTTACGATCGATGGATATTTTCCTTTAAATTCCCAAAACTAAATAGGCTAGAATGACGCGCAAATAAAGGGGGTAATTCTCTAAAGTAACTGTGGTGCTACTTCGATGGGAAAGTGTAACAGGGTAATTTGGTATTATCAACTGAGTTGGTACCATAACTTGGCCACCGTAAAGATTTTCAAAGCTGACGTTTCGAGCGTTAGCCCTTAGCCATTCGCTGACGAAGGACTAACGCTCGAAACGTCAGCTTCGAAACTCTTCACGGTGGCCAATTTAAGTCTACTTTGCTGTGATAGAAAAGAGAAAAAAGCAATAAGGAAAAAGCCCAAAATCAGAATTCACAGGCATATGGCATACGAACACGACATAGGCATTTTTTGGAATCGCTCGATATTCCTAAAAAACAACTGATACTCCTAAATATGAACGAATTTTTCGATGGAAATTCTTTGAAATTATTCGGTTGACGGGGTATATAGCCAGAGGAATAAAGGGGTAAGTTTCTGAAGAAACTGTGGTGCTGCGTCGGTGGGAGAGTATAGCAGGTAATTTAGTGTTAACAACTGGGTTGAAAACGTAAATTGGCCACCGTAAAGGGTAAAAAAGCTGACGTTTCGAGCGTTAGCCCTCCGTCAGAGCGATAGACGAAGGGCTAACGCTCGATACGTCAGCTTTTTTACCCTTTACGGTGGCCAATTTACGTTTTCAACCCAGTTGTTAACACTAAATTACCTGCTATATAGCCAGAGGGTTGTTTTAAATGCTAGCAAGTTCCAATTTGGCTTTTTTGTTTTGTCCATGAAAACATTATTGTTACCAGGTGAATACCAGAAAGTTTTTGCAAGATACTAATTTTGTCTTGATGCCGACTGCGCCAGAAATAGTTAACAATGAAGAGGTAAAAGGTAAGGCTGACTAAAATAAACCCAAAATGTGAAGCCTTGTTTTCTCTCGTGGTTCTTAAGTGAAATATTAACTTGAATTAATGAACGCTACCCTAACAATTACAACTATTTAAAATGCAGGTCTTGTCACGACATTTTTGTATTAATCATGCAGTTCATCCAGGCACCTGCCTCATAATTGTTTTTTTTTCAGTGGGCTCCTTTCGGAAAAGTAATTTACAACGATGCAATTCTACCACAGAAATACGGAAAAAAAAAATTATTAGATGATATAGAATCTCATGTTTGTTGCTGCACTGTACTAGTATTATATTTAGAAGCCGAGGAGAGCTAAGAGGAACAGTGGATTGTGTATGTAGATATATGATGTACCGTGTCTGTCTGTTTATGTGAATTATGTTTGTTTATGTGAATTATGTTTGTTTATGAAAAATGTATGTAACTTTGAATTAATAAAAATTAATAAAATACAAAAAAAAAACAAAAAAAAAACGAAGAACTTCATAAAAAAAATCAATTCAGTTAGTAGCTTGCAATATCTGCTCGACATAAAATGCCTTCAACATAAGAATCGTCACTTGGAAATTACTAGACCTCCGATCTCTTTTTCCGTTTCACAGCCTGAACCGTTCAAATCGTTGAATGCCATAGGCAAAGCAATCCCAACGGCAGCATTCAAAAGGAGGAGATTGAGCGCCTTTTGAAAAGGAAGCATTACTCCGAAACACGCAATAAACAAAGCTACAAACAATGCGGTTCCCTTATTCTTCACACAAAACTTTATCCAAGACACTTTCGGAGCAGCCGCATCAAGTTGCGGTTTACACGACCCAAAAGCCACATGCAATAGAAGCACGATTGTTATTGTCGTTATCAAATTGATTGCCATCAGATAAAACAGTGTATCTTCGCAAAAACGATTGAGCCGGCATCGGATCGTTACAAAAGCGGCCAAAACCAGCGCTAAAACTGCTGTTGTATTAATTGCATATGAAGGAATTAATTCTCGTTTTCGACACGGTACAGATCGAGGTTCATTGGCAAAGAAAGCCAAACTTCCACTAACAAAAAACACCATAAAGGTTGCCACTGACGTATACATTCCATTGCAGTGATCGCAATCATGTTCCCCACAAAGTGCGTTAAAGCCTGTCCACGAGCTTACTGTGTTCGTGACAAGAACGAAGACTTGATAAACAGCTTGACAGAATACGACAGTCCACCTTTCCTCCAAAAATGTGTTACTTGCTTTGTTTTTATAGCAGTTGGAGAGCATTTGTAAGTTAGACAAGACTCCAACGAAAGCAATAGCAGTTATCAAGGAATTGTAAATAAAACCCATTCTTCTGAGGGCCAATTTGTTGCGTATTACCACCCTCTGTTTGACAGCTTTCCTTTACCTGTTTTCGAAATATTTTGGCCTTGTTTCCCCAAGGAGGTCATTGAAAAGAGAATCAATCGTGTTTCGAGTTCCAAAATCCCGCAGTTCTAATAAAAACAAAAATTGCGGGTCACTCTTACCAGTATTGGTTCCACTGGAAACCATCCCATATGGACTGAAACATAAAACACAGAAGAAAATAAGTCAAACGACACTAAAATAGCCTGATTATAATTATAGTCGCAACATCATAAATCAACTCATGGTAATATCAATATAACAATTAGAGGAATTCATTATACTGCCGGCTCAGTAGCAAAGAATGGTTCTTAACATGAAATCGATATCATTGCGTGCCAAAAATGTTTCTTTTTTTCACAAGACAGACCCCGTGACACATGCAACACAGAGCTAGGAACTAGATCAGCATTAAATAGGGTTTGAACCAAAGAAAGCTGATAAATTGAAAGCGAGACATAAAAGGACATTTGTTAAATGGAAACTGTCTGCATTGCCAGTGTGGGCCAATATTGGCCAATACAAAAATAACATATTGTAAATGTTCATCAAGACTACACTTTCTAATTCTTAAAGAGTTGATTGGGGAGGACTAAGAAAGTAAATACATGTTTTCTGACTTTGCCAGAGTATTTAAAGAGTTAACATCACTATACAACAACATACACTTAATGTGTGGTCCACTTAGTGGGAAAAAAAACTAACTAGTTTCCCGTGGGACCATACATTAAGTGCTTTGTTGTATATTTAGACTTTCCCTTCAACAATCATATGGCAAAAACATGCTGTTGTATTCGGCGCGCAGGCAACAACTACGCAATTGTATCCCGGTTGAAATACATTTGAATTTGATCAGGGGCACGTGACCAAGAAACAACCAATCACAGTGCTCGTTCTGTTGAGTGAAAGTATAGGTATATAGCAAAAACTCATTTTTTCTAAACTGTTTTCCATTAACGCGGTGACGTGGAAAAATTTTCACTACAGTACCTTAAAAGTGATAACTCTGGGCCCTGGTCTGATGTGTCTGTCTGCAATAGGAGAGCAACATCTCGTTTAGAAAACAGTCTGTTTAAGTATGATCAGATTTTGCAAAGAAAAGATGTGACTGGACTTGGTTTTATAGTAATGGGCAGATTAGGCTTCCACAAACAATTTTCTTATATGTATTCTATTTATTTCGTTTGACACAAAACAGCTCAGATCATGTACAGGTATGAGGAGCCAGGAAGGATCGCTTCATAATCTGGAACATTTCTCAAGTTGTGTGAAATGTTCATTGGCTAACTAAATTTCTTTCTCTGTAAACCATCTTGTTTGCTTCTGTTCTGTGTTTGACTTCTTAATAGACACCACACAGCAATCAAAAAGGGAAACAAACAGTGACTTTTAATAAAAGGTTTGAAGCCTGATGAAGTAGGGAGTCGTTTAACCCTTTACATCCTAGCACCAGTATGTATATTGTCCATACTGTTCTCTGTACATTTCCTGAGGTGTTGACTAGGGTAATTTGTTTAACAATCAAGACCTTCTTTAGTTGGTGATCATTTCATTAATTCTCATGACCTTATTGTGTAATTTGGGGCGATATTGTAAGGAGAAATTAGATGCTAGTCACTCTTAGCAGTTTAAGGGTTGAAACAGTACTCCTTAGGCCCTGAAGCACACTCACCCCAACAGATGTTTTACATGATAATCCACTTCCTTTCAGTTCCACTTCATCTTTGACTCTGGGGGAAAGGAAAAATGAAAAAGTCAGAATTAGTTTAACCCTTTACACCCTAACATGAGTATACCTGTTCTCTATACCATTCCCTACACATTTCTTATTGTGCTGACACTGAGAATTTTTTAAAAATTTTCCTTTATTTTCTCAGCCTTAATGTTTAACTCAGGGGTGCATGTGACACTACAAAGAAAAATTAGATGCTAGCCTCTCTTAAGGGTAAGAAGCTAAAATCTTACAGAGCTTGTGAACCATGATTGCTAGCATTTAACCTGGTTTCTGCACTATGAAGCCACTAATTAAAGATGGTTGCCAATTCCCCTGGATGGGATGCCTTGATGCTATCCTTGTCTTAAATTTTCCCTTAAAGTTTCCTGGTACCCACTTATGTTTGAGGGTGGAGAGAGATGTCATGAATGTGAATTATCTTGTGCAAGAAGATGACTTATTAATATATAGCTAGCAGTGCCTGAGGGCAATATGAAGCAAATCCTGTGTTCTGACTGGCTATCCAAGTGGGAAAGATGGCTCAGGATTACCAATTTGATTACATACACAATAATAATAAATTGCGTGAAGCAGACTAAAAAAAATTAGACATTTTTCAACAATTTGGCAATGGAGTTGTAAAAAGGAGCAGAGGATAAAGAAAACATATTAACCCTTTAACTCCCAAGATCTGATTGTTAATTCTCCCTTCTTGCTGCTACACATTTCCTTGTAAATTAGTTATGAAAACTTGGTGCTAGATCAAGATAGCAGCTTCTACCTGATAGGTTTGAATATTCTCATTACCTGTTTGCTGAAGAATGTATAGATATTGTAGGGAGAAGTTTTATGTTAGTCAATTTTAAATGCTTTTCCTGGGTTTATTGTCAGTGTTATGATACAAAAATTACAAAAAAAACCAAAAAGATATGAAAGCATGGGAAGAGTTTTATCTCACAGAAAATAAGATATGTGAAGTTTTTTTCATTCCTGAGCACAAGCTGAATTTGCTTGTGTGGAATTTTCTAAAACCATAAGGAAAACCAATCAAATCACTTTATTTTGTACTTTCTTTATTCAGTTTAAAGAAGCATGTGCCAACTCAGTTGGCTTTCTTCCCCAAGTTAAAATGACTAAGTTTCTTTTAAGTTATCTTTCACAAAATTAAACCAAACAAGACATCCAGCTCTTTTTGGAAAACTGTGAAGAAGCCAAAGCACTAGTCAAAGTTATAACATGCTGTAATGATAAATAAACTTACATGTATCCTTGAGAGTTTCCTCCTCCACTAGAAACTGTTGCAGATTTCCTAGCTGATGGATCCTGTGAAAAAGTACAAAGTTCTCTTAGAGTTTTTATCCTGGCTTACTGTAGTTCCATAAATTCTTCACAGTAACAGTGTACATGAGGCAAAAATGACTATTCAGTCTTCAAGATTGAGACCCTCATTTCATATTTTTCAGTATAAAAATCATGATTAAATTTTTATCTTGAAGAACAACCAATTTGTTGCTATTTCAATTATAATTTCAGAGAGGGAAAACAACATTTAAATAATTGCTTCATATCTACTCTGAATCATTCTGAATCTTTAGATGACCTCAACAAATTGCAAGAGAAAGCAGGTGAAAGAAGGATCGTTGACTGACAAACATAAATAGTTTCTTTCATCTGTTTCACTGACACACTCCATTTACTTTTAGCCATGATTGTTAGATGTGCCTTTTAAAAGATAAACACATTCCCTGGTTGTTCAGAGCCTGAAAAATACTATCCATTAGAGAGAAGTATGATGTTTCTTTAAACATTGTACTTTCTCAGTGATTGGTCAGCAATTTTTCCATTAAAGGGGATAGCAGAATAAATTTGAATAAACAAATGATAACCTATGGGAAAATTGATCATTCACCTGATCAGAATAACAATCAGGAGAAGTAATTTAAAGATCAAACATTTGATTAAGAGTGGTGCAAGATAAGAAAACTTGAGAGATAAAATGATGTCAAGGATTGCTAAAAATGATGTCAAGGATTGCTAATAAACTCCCTTTAATAAGAAAAATTAAAGACAACGAAGATATTGGCACATACGTCCAGCATACTGAACATAAGCTACATGTACTAAATGAATAATAAGGGTAAGTTTCTAAAGAAATGGTGGTGGTGCTGCATAAGTGGGAGAGTATTAAACAGGGTAATTAAGAATTATCAACTGAGTTGATAACATAAATTGGCCACCAGAAAGAGATTTAAAGCTGATGTATCAGTATCAGCCCTTCTAAGAGCAGCGAATGATGAAGGGTTCACCCTGAAATGTCAGCTTTGAAACTCTTTACAGTGGCCAATTCACATTATCAACTTAGTTGATAAATACTTAAAAACATGTACCAAATTCAGTGGATGCTTACAATCAAAGCCTTGTATTCCTGTATCATCTCCATATCCTCTTGATCTAGTTTTACAGCATAATCCTGTATTCCTTGCACCCAGTACTTATGGATAGCAGCACATCCACCTAACCCAATCTCATGCAGAGCATACTCCATAGCATCCTACATAGCATGGCATGAAAAACTCAGACCTTATATTATCAGGACAACTTCCATGTGAAATCCACAATCTAACTTCTAATGATTAAAGCCCTGATCATTCAAACTTGTAATTTTAACCATCTTTCATTTTTTTTCCAATTCAATTCATTTTCCTAGACATTTTAATCCCTTTACTCCCAGAAGTGATTGATTTATGACTTCTCCTAACTTTTTTGGTACATGATTTGGCAACTAGGTGACAAGAATAAAAAATTATCAGCAAGAGCATATTTTCTTGATATAACACCAAATTTTACCCACTACTTAACAAGAAAATGTATATATAGCAAGAGAATGAAAAATCAGTTCTTGTGTCTGAGTGAAAGGGTTAACCTGTGTGGAATACACAGATTGAATAATTCTATGAAAAGAAATTCTGTTATCATAGTAGAAGCCTTGCATTTTTATTGCTGTGAAAAAAATCAATTTTCAATTGGGTGTTGCAAGTAATCAAGGACTGCTGTGGTTTTGTTCACTTTACTCAAACTGAGACTGACCCAGAAAACTTGCACTAACCTCTCACCCAATCAGACGTAAAACTAGACCCAAATGCAACTTTGTTACTTGCATTTTCTCATACTTCATGCAGTATTCCTTTTTACTCTGAATTCTCATTGGTTAATGATGATGCTAACTTTTAAATAATCTTATCACACATAATCAATAAAATAATGTATATATTCTTCCAGATTAATAACTTACATTAAGCCTACAGTGATGGTTAGCCTCAAACTTCTAAAATGACCTCTGAGTTTTAAACCTGATTTTTAAAAAACAAATAAGACTGTGGCAAACATGAATAAGAGCTTGCTCTTACTGGCTAACGTTTGACTTACTGGAAAACCTGTTCTTCCACCTAATGCATTATTATCAACACTCATTCTCAAAAGACGACAGAGCTTGGTGTTAAAGTCATCTAGGATGTCTGTTAGTATTTCCAGAGAAGATTCACTGGCCACTGAAAAACCAACAAATTTGTATCTTAAATGAAGTGATACCATGTCATTTGCACTGTTAGTTTTTTGACACAATATTACTAAAGTAGTGATTGTGGCAGTGGTGATGAGCTGTTCACATGAGTCATTTAGAGGGGTCTCAACATTAAAAAACCAAATCAGATCTTGGAATGGCAGAGAAACAAACTGATATCAACTAGGGCTTCAAAAGGCTTAAAAAGAATGTTTAATATTCACACTTGGTAATTGGCAAATGCCACTGTTAATGTTTTATAAGTATGTTGCCATGATCAGTGATGAACACCCATGAGGACTGGAAGGTATACAAAACATGACACAAGACAGGAAGGAAAGGAAAAAGCAGATAATTGGATGATATTTATTTATGATAACAAATATAAAAAACTCACTATCAAATCCTGCAAGAGCACATAAGGTAGCTACTGACTTCATCAACAAATGTCTGTTGGAAGCACTGTCTAGCTCTGCACATGTAAGAGCAGAATGAGGTTCATGAGGGCTGCAACAGAAATGATGCATACAGGTATTGTCAGTGAATCATTCTACCTAACAAAAACTGTGACACTTATAACAAATTTAAACAGCTGCTTTTTTTTCCTGCTTATCATTGGATGAATTGACAGAAAACCTCTCAGACTTACTGTATTTCTTCAGCTATAAGCCAAGCAATTTTTTCAGTATTAGACACAAAAGTTTGGGAGATTTTTCATAAGAAATGGGGTTCGGCTTATAGCTGAGGGTTTGGGATTCAAAAACAAGTACAATTGCAAACTTAATGTTAATGCCAACTGACCGTAAATTCTGTGACTGCAGTACTCTTTACATGACATGTTTTAAAATTGTCAACAATATATTCCAGACCAGCAATCAGATTCTTTGCTTCCCATGAGCGATTTCTGAGTTGTTTTCTATAGCTTCAGCTTCTGTGATAACTTTTATCTTGAAAGCCATAGTATATGAAGAGCGGCGTGCTTTTGGCATGATGAGAAAAATAACAGCAAGGAGAGAGATACTCAATTGAAACAATTGTCAGGTTACAGTAACTGAGAGTATTGTTGTGTTTCTGCAGTCGCACGGTAGTGATTACATCTTCACTGATTCGCTTTTTTCTTTCGTGTTTATTTTAGTTCATTAGCTTTTGTGTTCAGTTAGCCATTACCCAATGATTTCCGTGAAGTTTGCTGACTCAAATGGCTAGTTACAATCAATAATTCTGCTCTCAGCTTATAGCTGATGGTTTTGCCTTTTTTTTTTTTTGGACAACACAAGTCTGTTGGAAGGTCTTGAACTATTAGGGTCTCTGCTTATAGCTGGGATCGGCATATAGGTGAAGAAATACAGTTACTGTCATTCTAATATCTGACCAATCACAGCATCATGCTGAGATAATTTGTTCATCAATGACAAAATGGATTTAACGATAATAACATGGCATAGAAATTTCAGCACATTCTTCTTGCATATGGTATGGGAAAATAAAAGATATTGAGAAAACAAAATCATGGCTATCAATATCAAAATGAAAAGCAAAGGAAATCTAGCTACCAATATACTGTGGCTTGTCCAAAACAAACGATATTAAAATACTTTGTTTTTAACACACCTCTAAAAATATTGGGTGACTCTAGTTACACTGAACAAGTTGCATTGTAGAATTTAAAGGATGTTTCATCAATAAAAACTCTTGTTTGCAGTCATTTCACAGAAGATCTTATATTGCATTAGTTTTGTAGAGGTATAACTATCCATTAGCCTATATACATATCATTATTAATAATAAAAAAATTCATATTCAATGAACTCTTATTCCTCTTACTTTACAGTTTCTTGAGCTCGTGAGAGAATAGTGGTTTGCATAGGTGGTGTGACAATTCCATGACTGGAGCAGAATCGCTTGGATCTTGGTGGATGAGCAGGAAGAGAAGGAGCTTCAGCACCATCTGATTTCTGATAAAATAACCCAAGGAAGACAGAAATCATTCATTTTTATTAGCCAAATAAAATTGATGCAAAATGAGAAACGATATAATTAACAAATAGAGAAGCATTGATTGTGCTCTGTTCTGTTGTGAAACACACAGGAAGTGGCTAGAGTGCAAAAGAAGTGTAGGAGAAACACAAGACATAGTCAAGTGTTTCTCTGCACTTCTTGAGTTCTCTAACTGCTTCCTAAGTGCTTTACAACAGAACAGACCACAATCAAGGCTTCTCTACTTGTTTTGTAATAGAGAATCCATCAAATTCCCCATGCATTACTTTCAATTTTCAAAACAAACTTTATTTTCAATACAAACAGCAGTGTTGTCAGAACAAGCTCTTAGTTGTTCACTCAAAGGGTGGCCAATGTAATTTCTGAGGCTTTCTTCACTGTGATGACCAGAGAGTCGCTCTCACACTGTCATAATTAGTATGAATTTAATAGTTTAACATTTTTCATCATTCCTGTTTTGTTTTTGAACACAAAACTATGTGTGTAACTCTCTTCTTGTGTCCTAATCCAAGAATAAAAGCACACCCCTTTTCAATTTTTCAAAAACTCTTCCATCTTAGTCTGGCATCGTTAGGGGTTCATGTATGAGTCCATGAAAGTTCCTGACAAGTGTCAAGGTTTTCAGCTCTCTCCACTCAATCATAACTTGGTCATATGTGTTTTTCTGTGCTACAAGCAGTTTACATGTTTTAACTATAGGTTCCAACTGGCTCTTTGTACATTTTCCCTACCTCTGATTGACTGTTATGATTACTTTAGTTTTAATTTTACAACACTCGATCGAATCTCCCCTCTTGGAGGGAGGATGTATCCCGATTACAATTTTGTTTCAATAACTAAACCAAGTGAGCATTTATTGAGCATTCAGTGATTTTTTTGAAAAAAAAGCAAAGGCACACAATAATAATAAGTCTATCATTGTACCGTTCCCTCTCCATGTTGATGTTGGGCTGCCATTAACATCAGGCGCATACGTCGTTTGTGATGCTGTAGTTCAATACAGTGTAGTGTTAGGTTCTGTGAGTGTTTATCAAGTGGCGGTTTGACAGACGCCATAAACTTCATTGGCAATCTATAATAAAATAAAACAGATCAGTCATAAAAGCAAATAGATATACACTTTTCTTTAAATTCTATCTCATTGTTGAAATCGTCTGATTTAAATTGACGATAAACTATCGACCAAGCTTAGCAACTGAAGTCTGTTAACCAAGTCCACCTTCTCTCACTTACTCGTCTTTTGGTGGGAAGTGTTCCGAAGATGGCTGATGCAGTCTTGGTATTTCGTAATCTGCAGCTTTAGGCTCCGTCATTTCAACGTGTAGACCGGCTGTTTTTGGCAAAGGAGGATCGAGTTCTCCCCAATGTTCAACACAATTCATTGTTGCCGCCATATTGGTTATCGTGGCGTATTACTGGGAACGACTCATACATAGGCTGCAGCGTCCACGAATGACAGATACGCCTGGCAAACTTCCGCTTTGTCGCGTGACACTGAAATGGTTTCGATGGGCATTAAGTAGATTTCTTTGAAATCTTCCTCTTAAATCAATGTGAAATGAACCCTAACGACGAAAAGGCATCTCTACTCCACTCTGGATGTTCAAGATCCACTATTTATTCCAGAAACTTGTCTCAAGGGGAAAGGATTTTAGAGCTATCCAAATCGAGAGAGTTATCCTCAAAGTACAGATTGTATCGCAGAAGATGGTACATGCTCCTTGTCCTATTTGTACTGAATGTCTCCAATGCTATGGTGAGCCATCGAGATCTCTTATAACTAGAACTTGCTTGTAGTTTGCCCTTCACAAAAAAATAAATAAGGACTGAAATCAGTTTTAGACTGAAGAAAAAAATTTCGGTCTAAAATTAGTCAGGCTTTCGTTCTAGGTCGTGTGTAGTTCATCGACAGGAGATCCCAATCTGTATCAGCTTTAGACTGAAGAAAAAAATTTCAGTCTAAAATTAGTCAGGCTTTCGTTCTAGCTCGTGTGTAGTACATCGGCAGAAGATTCCAATCTGTATCAGCTTTATCTTTAACATACGTCAAATCTACGAAAAATTTATTATGTAAACATTAATTTTGTAACTATAGGATACATCAGACACTTGATAGATAGTCCTTCATTTTGGCAAAGGAGTCAATTCTCATGTCGATAACTTGCTTTTAGTACTTGTATGTCAATGGTGATGACAGGTCGCTTTGTCCAAATCACTAAACTTAATGTTGCACTACCAAAAGTGAGCTTTTTTCAGCTGTGCATCAAATTTTATGGCCCTTTATCCTCCTAAGATAAGATTGATAACTCTGTATCTCCTTTCCTGTTGTAACATCTTCACAAATGGTATGTCTCATCCCATTGATAGAGGCTTAGAGTGGAGGAAGAAAAGGGGCAATTTCAAAAAGCTTAGCTGAGAACGTAGACTATATTTTTATAAGATATGCAACTTGTCACTCTATATTTTTGTCATTAATTGGATACCACCTCTAACAAGTTTACTAAACCAGATTTTATTTCTTGACTTAGTTGTGGTTAAGTTTTGCCCCCGTGGCTGACTACACAGCTTCATATTATGACGAGAGTGTTAATGCTGTAAACTGGCTTTCGATTGTGTTCCTTCTTTGTTATTTATTGTTTGGCTTGGTGGCAGTTTGGATCCTTGATGTTCTTGGTTTACGAACAGGGGTAAGTACAATAAGTAAGAGTTGGTACATTAATTAGTTAATAAAGGGGGGTAAGTTTTGAAAGAAACTGTGGTGCTGCATCAGTAGGAGAGTATAACAGGGTCATTTAGTATTATCAACTGAGTTGATAAGTAATTGGCCACTGTAAAAAGTTTCAAAGCTGATGTTTCAAGTGTTAGCCATTTGCCAATTGCTCTGACAAAGGGCTAACACTAGAAATGTGAGCTTTGAAACTCTTTACAGTGGCCAATTTATGTTTTCAACTCAGTTGAAATACTTCATTACCCTGGTACATTAGTTATGTTTGTTACTAGAATGTGATCAGTTACCTTGACTGCCATAGTAAATCAGGTCAGTATTGTTGTGTACCCAATGCAGCGGACACAGGGTGTTGTGCGCTGGAGTTTGGGGAGTGTCAACCACTGTATAAGAATCAGCAACACAAGTTGATTCAACAATGTTTAATGCTATCAGCTGACTATCATACACATGCGGTGAAAACTATAAAGGGGAAATTACAATGTACAAGATTAAAAAGTGGGCTGAGGTTAATCACAAAACAAGTGAAATTGAAAAGGAAAGGAAACTGAATACAAAAGGCTGGAACTTACGTCTGATCCTGTCTTTACAGGCTTAGAGAAACTGCAACGTTACATAACTGGAATAATCTTATGTAAAAAGAAACTCTGATCTATCTCCGCTGACCTCCTTACTCCAACTGACTTAATACTTAAGGGATGTACCACTATAAGGGTGTAGTTCACATGTACAATTGCAAACTGGTATATCAGGAATGCTAGCCAAGTAGGTAATTCAAACTGTGAACAATAGTACACTATGAAAATTGGGTTGTAAACTTGACAGAGAAATAAGACAGAACTGTTTTCCTACTTAAAATAAAAACAAAATGATTACGTAATCAAAGTCTTCTCTGAATGTTCATTACAAGTATAGTTGTATCAAGTAACAGACCATTAGAGAGAGGAATTAATTGCTGTGAACAAATAAAACAATGAGCATCATGGTGTGGCATAGATCCTGTCTTTCCTAAGACTACAAAAGCTTAAAAAAAAGGATGAAAGATTTGCCACATGGGATTGAATAGGGTGAAGAGGAGCACTTTTAGGGAAGGAATTTCTTTGTAGAAAGAGCATGACTCCAATTTCATGCCATTTTTTCTAATCTAGTATTTGTTTCATCCCCTTTGGTTTTTCTATAGTGGGGGGGCTTTTGGAGTCTCAGGGCAAAATTCTGGCAGGACTACTGTTATTGTTTACAATACCATTGCCACCATTCCCAATGTTGATGAAATACATCAGAATTTCACCTGCAGATGAAATTCAGATGGAGAAATGATCTTCCCAGGTGAGAATTGTTTCTTCACTTGCAAGGATCATTTGTTCATCAGGTGGTCACTATTGTTATCATTTTGACGGTCACTTTGTTCCTAATTACCAGGTTCTTTTGGGTGCATGGTTGAATGCCATCGGTGCTGGTGTTAGAATTCTCAGTGGACTTGATTTTGTCCTTCCCAACATCAAATTCATTGTAGTGATGATTGGTCAAACTTCAGCTTCACTTGCCCAACCATTTCTTCTTGGGTCTCCTACTAAGCTGGCAGCTCTGTGGTTTGGAGCAGATGAGAGGGCCACAGCAAACATGATAGCATCACTTAGTGAGTTTCATTATTAATGAACCTCATCTTTTTTCGCATCTTTCACGAGGCCACAAATTCCCTCAACAAGACTTTTGGAACTGGTGGTACTTCTTGTGTCTGACCATTAGTTCTGGAACTTATTAACCCTTGAACTCTCAATAGTGATCAACACATAACTTCTCCCATTGATATTCATAGGTTATTCAGCAAACAGGTAATGAGAATACTCAAATTTATCAGGTAGAAGTTGTTTTCTTGATCTAACACCAAATTATCGTAACTAATTTTCAAAAAAATGTGTAGCAGCCAGGTGGGAAAAAGAGCAATCAGATCTTGGGAGTTAAAAGGTTTAATGGACTGGTCAATGCAATCAGTTCTGTGACAGACTAATTCTTGTGTGCATCTACCTGAGATCAGAAAGTTAACGTAGATTCAAATTAAAATGAAATCCTGATGAAATTAAAAATTATTTTACCAAAACACTCAATTTCACTTATAAGCAATGAACTACTGTCTGTAGATCACCTAGACCCTGCTACTCCCAGATCCACTCAGTAATTATCCTCGCTGACTGTCCTTGTTGATAAGGCAGGAGATCAGAATTGGTCTTACACTTCAAGCTAACAACTACCCTTAAGCTGATAAGCTTGTCTTTTTATATGATCTTGGTGCTAGGCAGTATATCTAAATCTAAAGGAGGGCTAACTTAGATTGTAATCACTTTTGGGAATTAAGGGTTAATTGATAAATTTTTGTACCTCTACAAGAGACATGTAATGATAAAACTGACGTACTTTTTTTATATCTTTGGCAATTTGTTGTTAACCTTTTTTAATTGTTTTTAATTTTAGGCAATCCCATGGGAGTTATGATAGCTAATGTATTGGCTCCTGTTATTGTAAATGATGAAACAGGCATTCCTTTTATGGTATGTTTCTTTAAAAAAAGCAGTTTCTGAAAATTACTGAATGTTACAAGACTTTCAGTATTCGTATCCTTACAGGAACTAGTTAATTGTTTTGTTAGGTAATACATTTCTTGAGTTGTACACCTATATCACCAATTTGTTACTTATATTTGTTCAGTTAATTTCTTTAAGGGAAATTAGCAGTAAGTTGACTTTGAGAACATTGGAAGAAAACATGGATGTTAACAAGTGTTTTTTTATGTTATTGAAACTCAGTTCTTGATTCATGATCACGGTTTCAATTTTTAGTTTCTGAGAATTTTCTTCAATTTTTTCTGCAGTTGGAGATATTTTCAATTCCTGCTTTTCTTGGTGTTGTCATGGCAACCTTTGGAGTATGCAGTAGCTCCCCACCAACCCCACCCACAGCATCAGCAGAGTCATCATCAGAGCCTTTCTTTCAGGGTCTCAAAAAGGTCTGATAGAATTTTTACTTGTATATTGCTTTGCCCTTGTCCAGTAACATCCTTTGCCATTAAGCACTTCAGCATGCAATGCCTTAACTCATGGACATGATTGCGTACTAAATGTTTATCTCTAACATGCTGTATATGATTACACTACTTTGTGGTGGAAGAGTATTTTACTCACATATTAAGAACCAGAAATACACATATTTAGAAAAATATTCCATTTTTGTCGTCATTTGTCTATACTAGGTGACTACTTATCCCATTCACACCAGCAAAAAAATGTTTAGTTCAACTGCGTTTAGCTGAATTACAATCAGAAACAGAGAATTGAAATACTTAATTTTGAGTAGGATTCAAGTAATTGCCAACTTGTATTTTTGATATGCTAAATTTGAAGTTGACAACATCCTTTCTAGCAGCTTCAATGAAGAAAATGATTCTCAACCGTCTTTAGCAAGACAACTTTAAAACATGTCTAGGCTTTGATGAGAATGCTCCTACTCATTGCAGACATGCTTACATGTCTCATTTGGAGTGGCTGATGAAACAGGCAAATCCCAAATCCAAATCCAGTATTGTTACTCACTTCCCAAAGGTAGACACTTCCCATTGACATGCAGCACCCCTGAATTGGCACCAATTTAAGGCCATGATACCACACAATCTCGACCTCTTAAACTTCTGAGAAGCTGATATCTCTCTGAGCTGGAAAGTTCTCTTCCTCTTCAAATTGTACCCCTTTTGGGAATTTCTACTTTACCCAAATATTATAAGGAAAGAAGCCCACTTCAAACTGTTACTTGTTGTCTCACATTATTAAAGACATAATATTATACCACTGAAATTTGTTTTTGAATCTTGACAACTATCTTATGTTTACATAGCCTCACCCTTTGTAATGAGGTACTTCTGCATTTTTGTTCTGATCAGCTTTTGCAGAACAAACCTTACCTAGTGTTATTGGTGACATTTGGTTCTGGGATAGGCCTTTTTACCTGCCTTACAACAATTTTAGAACAAGTTATCTGCCCCAGAGGATATAGTGATGTAAGTATTGTCATGAAGATTTTGCAGTATGTGTCCTGGGTTATTAAAATAACAAGCATAAAGAACATACCAGACATTATATTAATTTTTTCCATGCCTTCGGCGCATGATTTACAAACTTTTGGATCATGTGTACTTAAAGAAAACCAATAGAAAGTGGATTCTATTGCTTCACCATCCTTACAAGAGGCAAAAAAACTTTTCTGTCCTCCATCTGGTCTGACTTCTTAATACACTTGTTTTTCTAAACTTTCCTTTGTTCTCATAAGCTGTTGTGTTTAGTTTTCCTTCTGGATTTTATTATATGAGACTTCATCAAGATTCCAAGCCAATCTGAAAATGTTATTGTCACTTGGAAGTTAAACACATTAATAAGTTATCAAACTCTTTTGACTGTAAAAAAATGTAGAATATAATATTTAGAACTGGCTTTCAGAGAAATGAAATGGTATGACATTGAACCAAAATATTTTCACACAATGTACAATTGTGCAACACTGCACTTTGTCTGTTGTTAGCTTCTGATAGCAATTGTCTTTTGATTGTTGTTTAAGGACATGGCAGGAACAGCAGGTGCTGTTTTGATAGCGGTTGGTTTGGTGGGAGGTGGATTCACTGGTGTGTATGTTGACAAAACCAAGAAGTTTAAAGAGACAGCAAAGATTTCATATGCACTGGCTGCAGTATCATGTTGTTTACTCTTATACGTAAGTAATTGATGCCTTGAAGGGTTAACATTGTAAGCTGTCCTCACCGCTGCCTGTAACAGGGTGGAGCCTTATTGTCTTAGACCAGCATAAATGGTTCAAGTTGTACACCAGGACATGATTGTTCAAATGGTCGATAACACTATCCAGTGGATAAATCTCTATCTGGTGGATAGCCCTGTATGTTTTGTGAAAACTTATCCAACAGATAGCAATTTATCCATTGGATAGCATTATCTGCCCTTTATACAACTGGGCCCAGGACATGGTTGTTCCAATGGTGGATATTGCTATCCACTAGATTATAAACCCTTTACACCCTAACATCAGTTTCCAAGTTCTCCACACTTTCATTTGTTCTCATGACCTTTATGTTTGAGTCAGGGGGGAATATTGTAGGAAGAAATTAGATGCTAGTCGCTCATAGAGGGTCAAAGGGATAACGATGACTGAAATCCAAGATACAGATTTAAAAAGTAATAATATACATGAAAATAGGTGCTTCTGATTGGCTGAAAATGAGAGCATTTTTCTTGTAATTTGAGTGCAAATTTCAAATAGCATGGTTGCTGTCAAATTTCATCTGTCTTCATTTAATTTATGAATAAGTAATAACATGCAATTTAGTATTAATAAACACTTGCAAAATTTTTGAAAGACTAAAAATTGCAATTTTGTTGGCTTTGAAAAGTTTACTTGTGCTTAATAATGCCAAATGGCATGTCTTTTGAGAAATCATGTTATGGCCTGTACTAATTAATGATGACAATAGGAGATGAGCTTTATTTGTTTGTCTCATGATGGAGTCACTTTCAATGTTGATTGTGACGTTTCAACTGCAGTACTGCAAGTCTTCATCAGGTGATGAGGTCGATTGTTTGCACGTTGCTATGTGTAGCACGTTGGTTTGCTGCTATTGGTGCATTTTGATCCTCATTATAATTCTGGCTGTTGTGTTGTTTGATCATGGGTATCCAAGCTTCAGGAATTTTGATTCCACTATCCCTATTGATGTTGTTGGGATGAAGTCCTATATGGATAGCCTCTTTGACCCTACCTGTGTACCAGTGAGGGTCATGATAAATAAACTTAACCTTGCTCCAAAAGGAATATGCACTGTTTTGTTATAAATCAATGTCATTGCCTGATGAAGACTAGCAGTATTGCAGTCAAAATGTTGTGATCAACATCCAAAGTGACTCAATGGTGAGACAAAAGAATAAAGTTCATCTCCTATCCTGGACTACAATAAACAATAACCACATATTTTATTACATAATGCTGACAATGCTCTCAAATTTTCACTAGGTGAGTAGCAAGCCTGGTCAACCTGCTCTTGTTGTGGCCACCTGTGGCTTGTTTGGTTTTTTTTCATTTGCCCTCATGCCAGTCTGTTTGGAAGTAGGAGTAGAGTGTACCTATCCTGTGGCTGAAGCAACAAGTGCTGGGCTGCTGTGGATGGCAGGGTATATTGGTGGTTTTTTTGTTGTTGTTACTTACTACTGTCCCATACACAATCCTGACCTCCCTGACTCTAGCAATCAATTAATATTGAATGACAACTTTTGTGATCCCTCATTCAAACAAAACATCTGAGTGTGATATCCAACGAAAGTTCATAATGGAGAACCTTTGTAATGGGCCTTGCTCACCATAGAGTCTCTGTGGCTCAGTGGTGGAACATTGGAGCTGAGAATCCAAAGGTCTGAGGTTTGATTCCTCATAGGACTCAGAAGTTTTTCTTTGTCCCTCACAAATGAAAAACATCTCTCTCTAAAAAAAAACTTGCTCCGGTATTCTTCTCTCACTGGTGATAAGTTTTACATCTGATTGACAGAATACACCAAGTCTGCACTCTTGGTTGTGTGGTGTGATTGTCCAGGTAGAGGCAAGTCATTTTGATACAAAGTGGTTTTGACACAAGTCAATTGGATGCAAACCAAAGTTGATTACTCATGACCATGAGCCATTTTCGGTCAACACTCTCACTGACCATCATCCCCTTGTTGCTTCATGCACATTGTAACAGTTTCAGTCACTTAACAAAGAGTTAGCACTACTTTACAGGGTATAACTTTAACCTAAGAATTTTATTATTTCTTCTTCACAGTCAAGCCACTGGGGTAATATTCATATTAGTTTCACAAGCTTTAGCATTTCCCAAAGTTTTCGAAAAGTCCAAGTGTCATCAGAAGTCAGGCGACAAGAAAGTTCCGGATTATCTGTATTCCATGATTTTTATGACGTCAGCGGCTGTTGCTATGGCAATTTTGATAATCTATGGCTTCAACCCTTCTTACAAACGCCTCCAGATGGAGCAAAGAAAAGAGGCTCAGAAAATTCTTCAAGCGGGTGCTGAGCAGAGACTTCCAAGTATACCTAACCCGTCTGACCCAGACATCAAAAACTTGTGCTAGGATAAAACTTGCAGACATTTCTTTTAGTTTTAGCAATGGTGGTTTGTTACTTCATCAGAGCGTATTTTGACTGACCGTATAAACCCTCCACCGGAACTCTAGAATAAAGGTAAAGATCACAAGAGGCCCATGGGAACAAATGTCTTGACTAAGCTTGGAATCACAAGTGTCTAAGGGGTTGATGGTTTTAGTTCTGCATCTGGGTCCAGTTGTTCAAGAGGTGGATAACTACCTAACAAATAAGAGTTAAAGAACGTACTGCGGTATCCGCTGGATCAAGGTTCATTCGGTGGATAGCGTCATCCGCCCCTTGAACAAACGGGGCTTTGGATAGCATATAGAAATGAAGCAAAACTAAGCGATTTAAAATTACTCTTCAAAATGATTTGAGAATTGCTTTTTAAGGCAGTGTACTGTTCCAAAAACTATCCTTGCCTTCCTCCGCACATGTTCACATAGAATTTGCGGGGAAGCCAAGTTTAAGAGAGTACGATTTTTTCAAAAACGCATTAAGGTAAATGCAGATTTTGTCAGCCGGAAAATACTTCGTTAGCTTCATAAGGAATCGGCGATCTTAGTCAGAATGAACTGAGTGGGCAACAAACGCTTCGAGAGGCGTACGTTTAGAGTTCAATTAAGCCGACTCAACTCGATAGTTGATGAATTTAATAGTTTCATTTTCACGATCCTCAAAGTTGTACTCGTTCTTTTCAGCGGTCATGTTATGGCTGCAAAGCAAAATGACCTTCAAGTTACAGAAAAAAGTTAAATAATGTAACTCTTTATCTGGCGGGTGTAGGACTTGATTAAATGTAACGCGAACCTAAAAAAAATGATAACTAGGTTATTTCATATATTTTATATAAATGTATTTAAATAACGCTTGTGGTGCTTGTTTTTTAAAAGTCCTCAAGGCGTTAAGTTTATGTGAGAATTATAAATGATATAGAATGGAGATACATGGAGGGATGCATACGATAAACGCAGTTAAATTATGCTGATTCTTTAATAAGTTCAACCGAGGAATTAGCCAGATATCATCTTACCACAACGGTTCTGAAATTATAGCGAGACACGTCTTTAACAAAGAATGCGCTCAACCATGTCTTTAGGTTAATATTCCTGTAGTTTATTTTTAGAAAATAAAGTATTTTTATTTTTAAAAGGATTAAGATGTGCTACTGAGATCATCGCATATAGTGCACCTCGTGCCTCAGATTTTGCGCCCATTTAAGAATCGATAGAAGCCACGAGTTTTCATGAGTCGCAAGTAACTGTGAGAAAGTTTTCAATGGTAAGACAGCGGGATGTACCGATGATGATCTATCAACTGCGTCTTTCAGAAAAGCCGGTGCATGGCGCCCAACATAATTCACCGAAGGATTAAGCTGACATGTCTCAAGATAGTGATGACTCTGATGTAATCTAATGCAAACAAAGCAATTGAAATGTGGTCAAAAGCATATCATCATTCTTTTTCTTGCCTCTGATTGTGCCGGAGTTTTACCCGGTACTGAGTTCTTCGTTTAGTGCATGATTGTTGTGTCTGCCGATAGTGCGCATTCCGTGTCCTGCCTTCTTTTGTACCTGACTGATTACGTCTTCGCATAGCACTCACTTACTTTCAATGTGCCAGATTTGTAGGTCTCCTGATATCGCTCACACCATCTTGCGCCAGCTTGTTGCATCTCCTGATAGCGTGCACTCCGTTTTATGCATGACTATGGTCTCCAGTTAGCGCACACTCCGTTTTTCTCTCCGATTACTATGTTTCCCGGGCGTGTAATTTCGATTTACGTCTCGTAATAATTTGCATACTGACTTGTACCTGATTATTACGTCTCCTAATAGCGTGCACTTCGTCTTTGTGCCTGACTGTTTCGTCTCCTCAAAAGTGGGCTTTCTCTTTTGCATACGATTGTTACATCTACCGTTAGCGGCACTCTGTTTTGTACTCTATTATTACGTCTCGCAGTAGTGTGCTGCTCGATTTGTCCCTGATTGTGAAATCTTCCGATTACGCACACTCTGTTTTATAAATGAATGTGACGTCTCTAGTTAGCCAGATCGTCACTTCTCCCGGTAGAAATTTCTTCTACTTTCGATTTATGGGCAATTTCTGCAGCTACTGAAAACACAGGCAATATTTATCCTTAATTTTGCTCGGCTCCTTGCGATTACCTATACTAATTAATTCGTCTTCTGATAGCGCACGCTCCGTTCTGTGTCTGACTATTACGTCTCCTGATAGCGCACTCCGTTCTGTGCCGTACATCTTTCGGTGGTGCGCAGTCCCATTCGTGTCTGATTGTGACTTTAGGTAACGCTATCTCTGTTTTGCGTCTGATCTTTAAGTTCCCCGTCAACGCACACTCTGTTTAATTTATTCGCCTGGTTTATTTGAAGTCTCCTGGTTGGACAAATTCTTGTTCTTGATGTTTCGTCTTTGTTAAAGCAGTAACGTGACTCATGTGTGATCAATCTTTTGTTTGACTGTTACCTTTCCCAGAAAAAAATTATCCTGTGTTATTTCATGTTGTCCCATAACAATTATTAATGCAAAAATGTTGGATTAAGTTGGTGTTAAATATCCTTAGGACCTTAAGAACCCCTGAAAGTTTTTTAGTGGTGCTCACTATTCAACTCTCTGTCTTCCTTTGGTTGCACCGTTGCGCTCCTTCCGTTTACTAAGTGGCTAGAACATTCACGAAGTAGGGAGAAAGACTACGCTTAATTTTGAGTTCTGCCCTAAGCTTTAAAAGGAACGGAGCACAGTTAGTTGAGGCTTCTCTTACCATACGGTTTTATGAACATCATTTTTTCAAGCCCGAGAGTCTTACTCCAGTTGTATGGGGGTAAAGAAAGAAGAAACTTTAATGCTGCATCGGTGGGGGATTACAAGATATTTTGGTTTTATCAAAAGAGTTGATAATATAAATAGTCCATCGTCAGGAGCCCATTGGGCTCCTGCCACCGTAAAGAGTTTCTAAAGCTGACGTTTCGAACTTTCACCCTTCATCAGAGCAAATGGTTGCCGACATACTGTTGTATTGGGTTCCAGTCTGCGGTGATTTGGGCCTAGTCTGGTAAGGGAGGTTATTTGCATGCGGTTTGAAGTCGCACATACTTTGGCTGAAAAGCGTTGGTTATCGACTTACTGGCACATCGCTTTCGGAGAATTTCAGTCATCTTCTCTTTGTACCCCGCTGCTTTTAGGTTCGGAGTTAAGTCCCTTTTTAATGGATACCAGTTGCGGCAGGATGCACAGAAGAAAAGGGCTGTACTTAATTCTTATCGTCCTTAAAAGAAAAAGATCAGCGAGGATCGTGAGAAGATTGAGCGAGTCAATGAGCAAGGCAGTGTTGATAAAATCTGAGCCAGAGCAGGTTGTCAATTGACAACGTATAAGGCAAGACAAAAGCCGTTACGGTTTGCTTTCCATCATAGATTGCCACTAACATCAGTAGTATTTTTACGTGACTGAGCGTGTTTAATTATCCATTTTGTATCACTTTCATCTGTCTCCCCTCCCTCCCCCCTCCCCCCGTTCCAAACTTATGGGATTGACATTACGAGGACTAATTCAGGAAAAATTAACAGTCACTTGTTCTGGGAATTCGGTATTTTGTACAAATTATGGCTTATGATTATTGAATGCTGCTATAAATTCCATTCAGTGCCATTTTTCATATACTGAATTGCTAAAACAAGATAAGACATTCTGATTCCCCTTCCAGAGAGATTTACTCTAATTCAGAATATCATGTCGCAATGTGCTGACTATACTTTTCAGTCGAATATCTATTCCTTCAAATGAAAATGTTACACCAGATACCGCCTATATCTTTGTATTCCAGTAATGAACGAAGAATGTTTGAGCTAAACATCAAAACACATGTACATATTGTAGGGCTATTTTTTTTAATAAAGTATCGATACGCTTCGTTACGTGATATTTGAAGTACTTTCCCAACGATACTCGTTATCAAGGCCTGCTCGTTATCAGTCCCCCAAATCATTTCGTGAAGATTTGGTAATCTATTTGGTTTTCTGAGTACGAACGAACCTGGAAGATGGATAGAAGAAATATTGCTAAAGATCTGAGAGAGTATTCATTAACTCTTACAGGCCTGGTAGGGTTACAGCTACCATGCCTGGTTTCTGCAGCACAACCTTCCTCGCCACTGGCTCAATTCCAGTCTTATGGTCTCCTATTCAACATGTCGAGTGCAACTTTGAAAGATCACTTCTCTTTCTCCCCCGAAAATCTCGCTCAAGGACGATATCACACTCTTGTCACGAACCTTTTCAATCACCAAGGTAAGCTATGGTATTCACCTCGTGAACTTTGTGCCTTCGTCTTCAACTTAATTGTGAAGTGGGTTTTATAAAAACCAAATGTGGTGATGCAACAACCATGAATCGATGGTTGTGAAAATTGTATTAGTGACGCAAATGATCACTGTTGCTTTTCAACTTTTCAATCTGACGATGATCTACAAACGTGTAGCAAATACTGCCAATATATACCATGTTGTGGTTTCAATGTAAGTTGGTTTGATTGGCATGTGATGGCATGCAATTTTTGAAGTTCAAGGCCAAAGTATAAATATTCATTAGCTACTCTACTGCTATAAATAATTTGTTAATTAACATAACTCAGAAACAGACACCCTGGACAGAAAGTCAGAATTCTTAACTCATGGACCCTTTTGGCCTTTTTTGATCTAAATATTGGCTTCATCAAACACAACTACATACTGTGATTTCTGTTTAGCTTGATTTAACCACAGGTGGCCCAAGCTCCAGCTGTGAGATGATTATCTTGCATAATAAGAGTCATGGCAAAATTATAAGAGTTTGTACAGGAATATTTACGACCACTCTTAGGAATAAAAAATACAGTCAAATTCGCAATGAAAATACCTTACCTTACTTCCACAGTGTATCATTTGCTGTCTGACAGCTTGCTATGTTGAAAAAAGCTATTTTGGCAAATTATCCATTTCTAGGTTTACTACGTATATAATAAAAGCCCAAGGCTGCACACTCCATTTCTGAATGCTCGATCCACGAAGTGAAAAATCTAAGCTCAAAATGACCAGGTGGCCACAAATCCAATGCAGAATCCCAGCACATATACTGTAGTTTAATTTCAATTCACTATAAACTCAATCTTCCCCATGAAATTGATGCTACGCTGCAGTTTGCTGAAAAAATTTCCAGTTTAGACCTTTCTAACAGCCCGTATACAAATACACCTTAGTACACCTAGAAATGGATGACTCACCAAAATAGCTTCTTTTCAACATAGTAAGCGGTCAGATAGCAAGCGATGTGCTGTGGAAGTAAGGTGAGGTATTTTCATTGAGAATTTGTATTTTTTATTCTCAAGAGCGGTTGTAAATATTCCTATACAAACTCTTATATTTTTACCATGAATCTTATTTCACAAGATGATGATCTTACAGCTGGAGCTTGGGCTGCCTATGATTTAAAGAGTGTTCATTACACAAACACATTCCCAGAAACCTCCATTGTGAGATAAATATTTCAACATAATTATAAATGAGTAGGGTGCTTCAAGTGTGAGAAAAATCATGAACAGCTATCAGTTACAATTCTCAAAATTGGAAGTTTGTACATCCTTTCTGTGTGGATTGTGTGATGTTTCATGGTTGCTTATGAGCACAGACATTATTATGCAGCAGCCATGTAAGATCTCTGTGGATGTAAAGTCTGTCCAACCTTCACCTTTGTTTGATGGGCAGAAATAGAACCTTTTATCCCCAGGTTTAAAGGCTGCTGCATCTCTGCTGGTCTGTCACTGTATCTCTACTCTCCTGTTGTGACATGTGAAAAGAAGATTTATCCAAAAATAGTTTCAGGTGTTCTGGTATTTGTTAGCATGTTTTGTTTTGTTGTTTACTTTTTACTTATAATATTCAATTTATTTCTATATATGGTCTTATGCCCAAAGGTTATTTTTCTGCTTTTTATGTGAGAACATGTTGAAGTCTGCATGGAGTGTGAGTATTGGTCATGCAAGCAGCTGGCAAGTGCGAGCAGAGAATACCTGTTCACCCTGTTGTGTTTTTAGACATAGCTATCCAATATACTTGACATCACTATTCTCACCAACAAGAACCAATACTTTATTAAATGTACAATAACATCCTTTGGAAGCCCTTTATTCATTTTCAAATGAGACAGACATTCAGGAAAGACTGAAGATATTTAACAGATTCATTGTTCAGAGGGAATGTTTGACTTGGATTGCTTACAACTGGGTTTAGAGAAATTGTGTTTAGTCAACTTTTGGGAGCAGAAGAGCACAATCATTAGTATGCCATGGGCATTACTTCTCTGCCTACCTACTGCTTGCGTAACTCATGCTCAACACTTGTTTAGAGCTTTGTGTATAGGCTTGCAACAGAACAACAGCTCTAGAAGTACCACAGGGGGCTTAACCCTTCAATCTTTGCAATGTTTGTTAATTTCTCTTTTTCTGACTTTATTTCATAGATGAACAGCACCTATTCAATAACTTTGCTACACTCGTACCAAATGGTTACCATGTCCATAGACGCTTTGGTCGAAAGCATTTATTGGCAGCATTCTTTGGGGGTGGAGTTGCTGGAAATCTCACCCAGTATTGTTTCTACATATTTCAAAAAATCCGCTGGGAGACTGTTCTACCATCACCAAATTCTTGGGGTCTTCTTGGGGATTTCTTGGGCAACAAAGCAGACATCTTGCAAAAGTTTGCTCTTGATAAAGCCTTTACTTCAATTCATGGAACAACATCGTGCAAAGGTGCCAGTGCAGCAATTTGTTCTATTGTCGCCATTGAGACATGTGCAAATATTGTTTCCTTATATGACAAATACATTGAACTAAGAAGGCGGCGAAGGTTAGGAATAGCAGATCGAGAATGGGACAATCAGATGACGCAAGAAATGATGTATGAAGTGTGCCATTTGGGGCTTGTAATCATAGTTCTTCTGAGTGACTTGGTGCCTCTATTAGACAGTACAACTCCTGGTAAAGGAATCATTCGCACATTTGTGGCTTACTCTGCAGATGGCATTGGTCATGCAGCACATATGGGGGGTTTCATATTTGGTGTTCTATATTATTTGATTGCATTGTCTGGCAACAGAACACCAGGTAATAATAGATGATCACAATAAAGCTCAATTATGGAGTGGGAAGTTACAGAGATTTACCAGACCAAAATGTTTTAATGGCCAGTAAATTCTTACTCCATCAAAATGTACAAACTGGTATTTTTAGGACATAAATATTAGAACCATGCCAAAAGTTTAAACTTTGTTACGTCAAATATTTTCTGTAATATTGGTCACACATGCTTCCTTTTAACAGACACTCCTTCTGGAGAAAGAAGTCCCTTGTAAGTAAAGAAGGTCTTTTTCTTATGCCACATGTAAGTGATTGTCCTTAAATTTAGTCTCTCAGGATTGTTCAAAACACAATTGAGCTTACCCAGGATTATAGTTAATTTATTTTTTTTGTTTTTGTTTGTTTTTTTTCTTTCATAGCTTGTCAAAGAGCTTTCCTGTTAACATTTTATTATATTCTGTCTTATATTTCACTTACTAAAGATCATACCAGATACATTTTGCACAACCAGGCCTTGGTAGACTGTAAGCTATGTCCCATTACCTTTGATAGACCATAAATAATGTTTATCAAAATCATAGCAAAGGTATTGAATGGTGTGCATCAAACAAAAAATTACTTTAAGAAACAGACTGAAGTTTTTGTCATTCAGCTGTGAAAAAATGTTACCAGCTCACAATCACCAGACAGTGATCGAGCTGTGCCATCAACTGAACTTTTGGCAACATTGATGCTGTGCTTATATGAGGGACGCATTCACTTGGTATTTATTTAGTAATTCTTAAAAAAATTAGTAACAGTATTTTAATTAATAAAAGTGTTAATTTTACAGTGAGACAGAAAAATGAAAAAACTCTTATTTTACAGTTTTATTTGGTATTATATATGGGTTTGCATTTTCACTAAGACAAGCTTGCTTTCCACCACTCTCTCATGTCCAGTCTTTGTTCCTACCCAAGAGGAGGAGCACAGGCTCATGTTCCCAAACAGGGGCTGGTAATCGAGCTTCATCCTAGCAGGCTCACAAAAGTTAAAGTGGCCTTAAACTAAATGGACATCTGCGTCAGACCACAATAAGAAACCAAAAAAAAGTTCCATAGTTTCAAGCAATTGAGTACAGTAGTGCAGTTACTTGGGTATTAATATACATGAAAAAAATTATGTGCTTCTAATAGGCTGAAAATGAGTGCTTTTTTCATGTAACATGAGTGCAAAGTTATACTACGAGTGCAAATTACAAATGGCATGAGTATGCTGTTAAAATATAGTCTTCCCTGACTTTGTGATTTTTTTTCATGTAAATCAGAAATTAAGAAGCAATAACATTTCTTATGTAATTTGGTGTAAATAAGCATTTGGAAAATTTTCATACTTCAACTTGCACTCACGCCTATTAATACCAAAGTGCAATTAAAATCATGTTATTACTTATACTAATAACATTCAAGCACAAATTATAGGCTTCTGATAGGCTAAAAATGAGTGCATTTTCTATGTAACACAAGTGCAAATCAAAGTAATGTGCACACTGTTAAAATTCTGAATGACTTTATTTTCTGTGATGCTTTCTTCATGTAAATTATTACCAAGTAATGACACTATTTCTCACGTAATTTGTAAAAAATAAGTGCTTGAAAATTTTTCAAAAACAAACATTCTAAATTCTAATTCAACCTGAAAACAGTGGACAAGAAGAGCCACCTCATGGACTGTCCACTGCAAAATCCCATTATTAGTATAATAATAATTATTATTAAGTTTTCTTAATGGATGTAATTCATTTTAAGGCCTGGTTTGTCTTTCAAGGCAAATAACCTACAGAAATTTCCATTGGAACTGGAGAAAAATTAAAGTAGTTTTCAAAAACTCTTACAAGCCCAACAGAAAGCACATGATATTTCAATACTTTGTTGTAAAATCTATGAAAATCCCCACACTTCAACCCTTGTGGGCCACAAATACAGTGCAAACGTGAAAACATGTTTCCTGTCTCTATCGCTTTCATTTGTTGTTTAAGCAGGCTTTTGACAAATCTGTTTTAAATGACTGTACAACTACCATTCACACCCAACCTTAACGTCAATTTGCTAAATTTCAAAGTTCTGTAAATGTCACCTATTAACTATTGCTTCTTATTGTTAACTGTTTCATGTACCCATGGCCTTTTCATTAATGAATTGAGTTACTGCACAAATTTCATTGTAAGTGCTTTCCTTTCAAGTATTCACCTTGTCACTTCAAGGCTTAGGAAATATTTTTTCCCCAAATCAACTCCATTTCAAAGAAAAACTAATTATCAATAGTAGCATTATCAGTGCCACAGTCCTTATCTATAGTCAACATTAACAATTTCATTACTGTTATTACTATCAGTATCATTATTTTCCTTAATTCTATGGACACTGAAGTGATTCAGGAGAAATCCCAAAATTGTTAGCTTTAAAATAATTATAATTGTAATGATAATAATAAACTTCATCAATTTTTTTTAACATTCATAGTATTGGTTAACAGAGCCAGCAAATTATCATGCAATTTCAGCTCACCCTCTACTGACCCTTTCACCCCTTAAAGAGACTGGCATATAATTTCTCCATACGGTATCACCACTGAATCAAACATTAAAGTCATGAGGTAAAAGGAAATGAAACCAAACTGAAGAAGCTCACTATTGCTACAATCTCCTCATCAGTACCTCAGGAAATATACAAAGAACAGTATGGATGATATGCACCTACTAGCAGTAGGTGTAAAAGGTTGAAGAGAACAAATAAAATTCCTAAGACTCCATAAAGTACTATAAGTATTAACAGAGGTGTTACTTAAATAAAAAAAGTAATCTCTTCATTGCAATTATCGTAAGAGTGATAATGAAAGTAACACAATTCATTAAAATAAACTTTATTTAACGCTCTCCTTCAGATTGTTTGTAGATATAACCAGAAGATCATTATACACTTTAAAGTGCCATTATAACAAAGAACAAATACATTCTTGGTCTACCTCATACACCACCAATGCCAAATTGTAATTTTTATGAAAAAAGTTCTTAAAGGAATTAATTTACACTTTTGAAACAGCAAACATAAGAAAAGATTAGGTTACAATTTATGGATTGGATCAAATGGTTAGCATGTAAACTATTAAAATTTACAACATCCAAAATACTGTCTCCTTCCTGCACTGATCCCCAGTAACCTAATAGTAATCATTAAGTTAATAAAAATCCTCTTGGATAATTCAATCTGTATCCTGTTACATCATATCACCAGAACAGACTATATACAATTACAAATCATTGGGTCTGCAAGAGAAACCAAAAGAATGTGTAACATAATTTGCTTTAATATTCACAGTTGAACATGTTAAGAACTCTCTTCATGACCACAATACAAATAACTAGCGGACAATGTATTATTAATGGCCTTGTCAAAAGATTTGGGTCGGTGCCCTGAACAGGTCATTGTTTAGTGTTGTAAAACTCTTAACTCTGACAGAGTCTATCCCCAACTAGCATTAAAAGTGAACTGAATTGTAACAAGATGCTAGGGTGTAGACTGCTGACAACTGAATGCTAAAGAAACTTGGATAAGCTCCAGTGGTGAAAGGTACAGAATAGGGAGCCATGTATAGCTTACATAATAAAAGCTCCTAGTTTTTCATTTGATAACAGACGGTTTGTCAATTAAAATAAGCTTGATGTGACAATTATGAAGTAAACTGTAGGATGATATCTTGGGGTTTTTTAGTTACACTTGCATTCCAACAGACCTAAAATTCATATTGGCTGATAATGCCTATATATTTGTCAGCAGTCTTTAATAACTGCAAAGGAATATCCAAAGGATGCTGAATTGAAAACAATTTGAATGTAGCAGATAGTAGAGTACACTTTAAGAGTCAAGAGAAAGCATTTAAGAATTGTTGTTCCACAAAATCCTATTTATTAAGATGCTAAAAATATTTTGTACCTGACAAACAAGAGGAAGGGTTTGATGGATTACTTAAAAATGGAACACTGCAAATCTCAGCATTTTGTTGTCTGCCAAAATCTACACAAAGTCAGAGCTTTTGTTTTTCTTTATAAATGTGTCCTGTGTAACATGCCTTTTCTGTTTGATTGGGCCAATACAGTAAAAGAAAAAGGTTTTTGAAAAGATGCCACTCAATTGAAAACCATAAGAACACCACACCAGGTTTGTTTCTTACAATTTTGGGGGCTCTGCTGCCTTCATCAGTTTCATTATATTTTCATCTTTTTTTGTCAGTACCTTGTAACCAGCCTTTAGTATTTACCTTTAATGTTATTCACGAGGCTAAACATCTTTGCCTCCCCATTCCTTGACAGCTGCCCTTAATGCCCCTGCTTCTATTTCTGGTCCGATAAGAGGATTAAGTTGACAGAAATAAGCACAAATCCAGCTAAATCATGAGTTAAGGACATAGGAACCTTGAATAATATGAATTTCCTTGTTTCCTTAAACAGTTAAAATGCAAATGTACCAATATTAGATTAAAAAAAATTTCAATAAGCAAATAGCTATAAAGCTCAAAACTCTAAAAGGATACAATAACCAACAGCAGACAGCAGTCATAACAAGCATCGTCTGTATCAATCTGAAATCACAGATAATGGAAAGTTAACTTTGTCACGACCTAAAACCATGTTTTCAAAGATTCTGGCTTGAAGAGCTGCACTTCAACATCCTTATAAGCTTAATTTTCTTCTTTTGAATACAGTTTAAGTCGAAGGCTCAATTTTTATAGAAGATTGGCTATACCCCTCCGAAACTGCTCAGTTTCTTTAATACGCTTATGATGATGTTTTCCCGAGAGGAGTTAACCACCTAACCACAGAAATGATTTAATTGTACTGAACTTCTCTTCGTAATCTCAAAACATTATCCGGTTAAAAATAGCCATGAGAAAGAATCAAACTTGATATCGCGTAACACCTAATTCTTTTAACTACGGAACAAGAAAATGCGTGGCAACTAGTAGTAAAAATAAATCATCAGATCTTAGGAGTTGAAAAGGGTTCACAGAGATTTAAACCAGGTAAAGGACGTCGGAAACATTACATTCACATTGGATTTCGCCAGACTTAAAAGGTATTTTCTGAGAGTTCAGTGGCATTAAAATTTGAGAAGTATCAAATATCATTTACCTCTTATTCGGTCCTTTGATAAAAAGAGGAACAATTGCACCTACAATTACCCATATGGCTGTTACAACAATAACTGGAACAACTGCCAAACCTACTGCATTTCCCTTGTTCTCCATCTTGAATTATCCGGACATGTAAAGTCACGTGAAGATGTAGCATTGCACCTGTAGAGGATGGCGGGAGTCGATCCAGTTTCTCTCGTGTTTGTTACGTCAACATGGCGGACGAAAGTGGCCAAATTGGCGTAATGTTAATTTGTGGCATTCCTGCTGCTGGAAAGTCTACATTTGCAAAAATATTGCATAAATACGTGCAGGAAATAACGGAGGGCTCTTTTCACACAATATATGTGTGTTACGATGACTTAATTCCTTTTGATTTAGACTTGTATGGTAGCAGTACGGAAAACCCAACTCAAAACGGTTTGGAAATGGAAACCGAAAACAGGGTTGGTAATAGCGAGACTCTAGAGAATTTTGAGAACTACTCATTATGGAAACAGCACAGAAAATACATACTCGAAGCAGTCGAAAAAATTATGAATTTGTTACAAAATAGTCCATGTGGAAATGGAGATGAAGGAAGCGGATCAAATCTTGAGGCAGTTGAATTGAAGATGGAAGGATTGTCTGGTTTTCAAGAGTTTTGGGGCATTTTCCTAAGAAGCATATCTAAGAAAGACAGAAAGTGTTCCTGCATTGAGAGTGGTTCAAGTAGCTGGAGGTAAAATACGTACGTATTTCATCCCATGCCATGATTGCTCTAAGACCACGGACCTACGTCAGCGGATTTGCTTGGGGTTGCCACCTGAAATTGCCCAGAATCCCCTCATTTATAAATCAATGATGTTGCAAGGCTTAAGATTTAACCCTCATGCATATCACTGTCATTGTTACAGGTGGAATGGTAGTGCTCATGTCATTTTAGTGGATGACAATATGTTTTACCACAGTATGCGGTATGAATACGTCCAGCTAGCAAGAAAATGTAAGTAAACTGTACACATAGGGGGGTCTTTTAAGCCTACACCAAAGGTACTGGTATGCATGGAATTAAATGATAGACAATGCAGTTACACAGAGAGGCCAACTTCTCAAAATCTTAAAGGTAGAGATATTTGATTTAGGATCACATCCTCCTCCACTTTAAGAATTGATCAGTTTGTCCCAGTCTCACCCCACACATTGGTACAGTAGTTGTTGGAATGGACATACTTAATACAAATCAATTAAAAATTACAAAATTTTAAAAAAGTTCAACCATACTTGATAGGGAAACTTGATAATTTTCAAGGAAGAAGGAATTTTACCTTTTCAAACTTGTATCTAAGATTTTTTATTGTACTTGGTAAAGGGGACTATGAGATATGTTCTGTATGTTCAACTCCTGCAAAGACTGTTAGAATTTGATATATAAATTCTGAATGACTTGTGTAGCAGCAACCCTACTCTATCCTGTTCATTACTCTTTGGGATGACACCCCCTTTTTCTCTGGGGAGCTGCCCATACTCCATCCAGTCATTAGATAAATTAATAAAGGGGGTTTCTTTCTAAAGGAAATGTGGTGCCGCGTTGTGGGAGAGTATAACAGGGTAATTTAGTATTATAAAGAAGTTGGTATTATGTAAATTGGCCACCTTAAAGAGTTTTAAAGCTAAAAATCAGCTTTGAAACTCTTCATGGTGGACAATTTACATAATATCCATTCACTGATAATACTAAATTACCAAGTTATTAGGTAAGTTCTGAGTCTATCCATTGTTTTATGTAATACTTGGCTCATCCAAAGAAATTGTCCAGAACTATTTCAACCATTCTAAATAAAATTCTGGTTACTACTATGATACTGAAAAAGAGTGTTTCAGCTGTCACTGTTTTGTTTCAAGGAAGACAGAGCTGGGTTTGCAGAAGTGTTCTTGAAGTGTCCACTTGAAATTGCGGAGGAGAGAAACAACTTAAGGAGCCACCCAGTGTCATCAGACACTATGAAGAATATGTTTAGTAAAATGGAACCTCCTGAGCCTGATAAGTTTCCTTGGGAGCAGTTCAGTGTCACAATTAAATCTGAAGTACAGTGGGATATTGAAATAATGTAGGTTGATCCGCTGAGAAGATTTGAATATTGCATTTATTCCACAACATCCAAATTCTCACAAGAGTCCATTCATAATGTGAATGCATCATATAGAAGGTTTGGCTCCTCTCTGAATTCATTGCTTTTCTCTAAAGCAATGATTGACATTTTTTTATATGAAAAAGGGGCCATGCACTAAAAATGACTTAAATTCATTTATTCATTTTTAAATTCATTTTTATAATTGCTTTGAAAGAATTTACAGGAGGCCACACCTTTAAATAGTTTTTAAGACTGGTTTACAACTGATTTCTCTGAATACTTAGAAAAAATTATTTATAGACTGGACTTTTTTATAAGTGACATTCAGTGAACTCTAAACCTGCCCCTCTTCAGAGTGGGATCAGGTTTATTTAAGATACATCTCATGATAACAGTTTAATAATAAATGATGCCTGAAAATTCTTATGTGATGTGATGTATGTTATTTAATATTTTTTCGTAAGGGAGAGTGTGACTCTACTTATTAGAGAGGCTTTGAAGCACCCAGCAGTACAATGTGTGGAGGACTTTGAGGAAAAGGTGGGAATGTTTATAACTGTGACTGATGGATTTTGAACTCTCGACTACCTGTACTGTTCACAAAATAATGTTTCTTTGTTTATAGAGATTTAATCAATCAATGAGAAAATTACAAATACCCCTTGCTGACAACATGATCATGATTAATAGTAAAGCCAGAGCCATATCATTGTTTTGCTCATCCATAGATACTATAAGCCTTCATAAATAACTGATATACTAGATTGGTAAAAAAAAAAAAAAAAATTTTTGTTTATTGCACTGGTAAATCCATAGAAGATTAAAACAATTGAAGTGCATTTTATGAAAGCAATAGGCCTCACATTTTTATCAGTTTACCAGCATAATAACCCAATTGAGATGTTGGGAGAACACAAGAGAAGTTTGTACATCACTCCAGCTTGTGATTTACATCTCAAGTGGGTTATTATACCGATAGACCAATAAAAAATGCAGTCTACTGCTTTAAGAAGTATTATCTCAAATTTAGAAATCAATAAACAAGTGCAAATTTAGTCAATTAAAAACCTAAGGAAGCTATCTAAGTAGTAGAGGCTCTCTTTTTATGCTTTTATAGGAAAAGTCAAGAATGGCATGCATAACAAGCATTGTCCATCAGACTGACCAGGTTCTTAGAAAATATGTCAGTAAGGTTATCTCTGAGGCAAAAGGTAGGTTCTAACAATAAGAAATTAAGAATTACATGCCACTTGTCATGTCAGGTTTAAAATAAAATTCTGTGATATAAAAATTGTAGCTACTTCAAATTATTCTGTTCTCCTGTTCAAATTCATTTGCATAATCCCAATAAAGGTATTTATGGGTTATTTTGTGTTTTTGTACATCACAAACACGTGCAAACATGCATTGCATATTGTTTTGAATCAATAGAAAAAAAAAATTGTAATATTAATGAACAAGTACCAGTAAGTTGTGATATAATTTGAATAATTGATGCTTTTAGTCATGAAAGTGTGTTAAACCGTAATTAATGTGGGACAGGTTTCACTTAGAGGATTCTCCTTCCAATTCCCAAATAAATTACAGTGGTTCATTCATGTTTTATTGCACTATGTTTACTTCATGTCAAGCTAAAAAAAAAACTTTTTCAGTAAACCAAACCGTTTCTGCTCGATTAACCTCACAATGATGTGCAGATAGAAGGGGGGAAATGTTTAATTTCTTAATACTGTCTGAGAGGGAGGTTATTCTATTATTTTATTATTTTTCTATATTTTAAGAAGGAAAAACTATCTGTTAGATCAGAAATAATCATATTTGAACAATGGCAGCCATATGCAAGTATTCCAATACCTTGCAAATAATAATAATAATTGCAATAAAAATATTTATTGGTATTATTGTTAAAATTTTTATCTACTCTATGACTGGTAAAATTGCTCTATTTTCCTAAAATATTACCAATGCAGGCAGTGGAAAGGGGAAAAAAGAGCTTCAGTTCTTGGCAGCCCAGTTAAACAAGCAGAAGAAGGCATTTCTGGACAATCTACACAGCATCAAGAGCTATTCTGAATGCAGTGGCAAAGAGAAGAGGAGTCTAGCTTCTAAACAACACTCACCTGGTGATAAAACAGAGATCAAAAGGGACAACTCTCGTGAAAGAACACTTAACACAGTTTGCAAGCAATCAGACACATCTGATGAAAAGCAACTTGCTCTTGTTCAAGGAAGTGTCCTACATTTTAAAAACATTGTGGCTGGACAGTCAAGAATTGGTGATTCTAGATCACACTTTTGTCTCTGCTGCTTTCCAGATGTTGAAGATAAAGAAGAATTTAAGTCATATGTGGAAGAATTATTTAATGAAATTATTCAATCATAGAACAGTGCTTTTAAAATCAGACAAACTATAGAATTCCAACATTAAATAGGCCAACAGTTTTAAGCAAGAACTCAATACATGAAGTTTAAATTTTTAATGCTTGCCAAATTTTAATTATATTTCAAGTTTCTTCTGAGTTTTGTCCAATGTTAAATAACTTTTAGTAATTATAAGTCTCCCAGAAAATGATGGATTTACAATGTTGCCAAAGTTATCCAACCCTTGTTATTATGAAAAGTTGTGGCATAGATCAGGAAAGAGAAAACTAAAAAGTTAACAAATGATACAACTTTGATTCTTAGGAAAAATTACTTTTTTAAATTGTCATATCACTGCTGGTTTCCCCCAAAAAGGTTCTTTTGTTTTCTTTTTATTTCAATTTAATTTTCTTAAAAATTGGTAATAGTTACTATGAGCATAAACACATGCTTGTTGAATACGAGATGATTATAAGCAACTAACACATAGGACCATACACCTCACTAGCTGTCTATCATCTGGAGTTATGTAAATGTGAAAGTCAAAACCCCTCAACTCCCATAAGTGACAAGACAGAATTTCTCCCTTACAATATCAATCCAACATCAAGCAAACAAGTGATGAGAAAATGAAAATATTAATTAGGGGATTGTTAGTTGATACAATACCAAATTCTCCAAACTCACATCACAAGAATTGTATGATAGACAGTAAGGAGAATTACTAATGAAGTCTTGGGGATGAAAAGATTAATAAATACTTTTAATAATGTACATAAAAAACTTAGTGCTTCTGATTGGCTGAAAATCAGTGCATATTTCATTAACACAAGTCGTAAGACTACGAAATTTAAGGTAGAAAATGATTTTGTAAAGTGTAAATATCTCTAAGGTACCTACTTAGTATGCAAACCCTGCTCTGCATAGCTTAACATGATTTGCTAGTTAAGTGTAAAAGGATGACTTGGGGTATTGGCTTATTAAAGCCAAATTCCTAATCATGTTATTACCTAAACTAATTTATCATTTGCATATACCTATAGGATGTAATTTAGTGTTAACAACTGAGTTGAAAATGTAAATTAGCCACCGTAAAGGGTAAAAAAGCTGAATGTTTCAAGCGTTAGTCCTTTGTCAGAGTGATAGATGGAAGACTCTGACAAATCGTCAATGAATCGCTCTGATGAAGGGCTAACGCTTGAAACGTCAGCTTTTTTACCCTTTATGGTGGCTAATTTACGTTTTCAACTCAGTTGTTAACACTAAATTACCTGCTATACTCTCCCACCAATGTAGCACCACAGTTTCTTTAGAACTTACTCCTTTATTCATTTACCTATAGCATGGACTCCTTTTACACCAGATTAAACTATTTATTGATTAAAATAAACCCAGTTAGTTGGTTGGGTTCTACTGTAAAACTTGATCACGATGTTTTGAGGAGTCAAACTGGGAGCAATTTTTAGTTGGTTATAGTTAATTGGTTTTAGTTAGTTGGTTGGGTTCTACTGTAAAACTTGATCACAATGTTTTGAGGAGTCAAACTGGGAGCAATTCAAAAACACTACTGGAAGGAGACCCAGCCCTGATTGTTGAAAAAAAAATGTTTGCATTATGCAAACACTACAACATCCAACAATAACTTGAAAGGGTCAGGTTATGCATTTATTCATCTCACAAACCCAACTATACTTTTAGGCCTGCTTTCTGCTCAAGTAGGATTCACTTTTCATAAATATGTTAATATGCAGCTATTAATAATATAACCTGTTACTACTAACATTTATACTCTAGTTACTCTTAGGAAAATCAATTATTATAGGAATAATTATTAATGATAGACAACCCTATTCACCCTCTCATTTGTAAGGAGTTTTGAAGGCCAGTTGGCTTTCTAGCTCTTATTGGTTCCCAACAGAATGACACTTCTATTGAGGTCCTATTGAGGATTTACACTGTATGTGCCTGATATCTTTTGAAATTTTAAAAAAGTGAATATTCTATAATACTAAATGTTGGTGTTGGTCAATACATTCCGACAACATTACATTGAAATCTGAAAAAATATTTTTAGCAATACCCAACATGTTGCTTACCCAGTAGGTTACTATTTTTTCTTGACTCAGTATGCATTCCAATATTTATCTCCAAGTCTATCACCCAGCTAGAATGTCAAGTACACATACTTTAGGTACATGACAAACTTTATCCTAAAATCAATTCACCTAGTGCATCACTCTGGATTTTGTGTGAAAATTTATTAATAGGGAGCAATTCATAAACTACTTGTTCTAAAAATTAAGTCATCTTCTTCTATTAAATATCAACTGGCATTACACAACATACTTATAGCACACAATACCCCAAGCCACAGGTAAAAAGTCAGAAATGGGGAAAAGACAATGTAAACTCATAGATCTGCCAGACTAAGTATGAATTATCAGGAAGATAAAAATAATAATTATGGATGATAAATATATATAGACTAAGAATTTGAAGCAAAAGATGCTAAACAAAGATGGGGACTAGGATACCCCAATCAAACTAACATGTATTTCAGGGAAAACAAACTTTAAAGTGAAGTATGGAACAGGTGACTTCCAAGAAACACAAAATAATTATGATCATCAGTGTTCCTCGTCTTAAAGCTGATTATCTCTAAAGCGCCTGAAATAAAAACAAAAGAAAGGTAAGTTATTTTAAGACCCCTTTGGATGGAGTGTTAACTAACACCCATTGAAAGTAATTGCAAAAGCCAATCACAGCAAAGGAAGGGGCAATTGAGAACTAAAAGTAAAAACAAGCAAACTGTCTGAAGCACGAGAAAACACAACCAAGATGTGATTGGCTTTAATTTTGCATCTGACTGGCTAAGAGGGTGGCACTAGTTTTCTGGACCAGTCCTACATCAATGTAAAACAAAACCAATTTGATTCTGGGTTACTTCTGTCACTCCTGTCACTCTGTCAATACATGTTGCTTGATCCTTATTGTATTATTCCAGTAATCGTGCAATTTTAGTAAATAGGATTAGACTGTACATTCATTACATTTGTGATAACAGTGTTATATATAGCATGAAATTTGCCATGTTTTTTTTTTTTACCTTCTTGCATTCTCAAGCATTTGTGCTTTCCTTTGATTAAGAAGTCTTTGCCTTTCCTCTGAATTTCGTGAAAATTTTATTTGAGGTGTAGTTGAAGTTTTCTGAAAGAAATAGTCTTGATTAAAAAAGAACAAACAAACACACTGGATTGCCCTGACTCATTGTCATGACAAAAACACTCACTTCATTAGCATTCCCTGAAGAGGCAGTCTTCCCATCACTATCTGACTTAGCTTCCCTGTCCTCTTTCTCTGGTGTGTAACTGACTCTTCCTTCCAAAATATTGGTGATAGTTGTATCAACACAGTGTGTCTGACCTTGAATAAAGAGAACATGCCATGCATTTAGGAGGGGTGGGCTAAAAAGGTAAGGAGATGTCAGACTATGGTTGGTTGTGTGCACTTCAGTTCTTCAGCTTACTCTGTAGCAATGAGCAATGACTGAAAAGCTACAATGTAGATGTAAGGTTTAAATCATTGCATTGTTCTACTCTGTACTTAAAATACTCCTTCTAACTGTGCAAGATGTAGTGATTAACTTCAAATGATGCACAATTGACATGAGTAACAAACTTTATCTAGCTGTTAATATTAAACAATTTACAGCACTGATTAAACATGCAACATATTACTTCACAATAATATAACCAATGAGTGGAAAAAGTAGTTGGCACACCTCCCTTTACAAGGTAATCGACAACCCTCCAACGAACATAATAAACAGAAATTATAGCTTTTAATAAATCATTCATTTATGATTTACAGCACAGACAAAACATTCAGAACAGTTTGTTAAATATCTAGCTAATCAAAATCTCTTGAAAAGATAAAACTGGAATCAAGTTCCATTTGTCTAATGATGAGTAGCACAATCACCATACCCACTTCTGTAACATGTATGGAAAATGTGAAAATTGCTAGTTTGGGACAAAATCACTTCTTTAGGTCTGATTTAAATTCACATTTACTATTACAACTGATTTATTTCAAACTATTTTATTTTTGTCACATTTGATTCAAATTTGTATTTACCCATAATCCCTTGTGGGTGTGGTCTTTTTCACAAATAATCAATTTCGAGTTCACTGACACAGTAAAAAGTAGAAATAATAACATTTTGTATTACATGGAGGCTAGTATCTCCCTAGTGAGATCAACTGGCACTCTAAAAACTGACTTTGCCTCTTTTTACAACTTGAAGATCACATCACCATTTTTCTCTTGGAAATTCAGCTCTCTTTTTGCGATTCTTTTCATTGTATTTTAGATTCCTTAGCCTATTCTTTTCCTGCTTTTTCCTCCTCCACTCTTTGATCCTCGCAAGCTTTTCTTCCTTTTCGTTAACCATACCTCTTGTCAAGCGCACTTGAAGCGATATTTACAGATGGCTAAATCTCAGAAAAATTATTGAGCTTGAAGACCCCCGACCCTTAATAACGTCGCAGAAACCAAAATAGGAAATGTTACCAAGCTATTTTCGACACGGAGATGAAAAGATGAAGGCGAAAATGGCGGAGTAAACAGCAGATTTCATAGCGCTTTTGGTGGCATTTGTGGCGAGACTCCGTTCTCAATATGGCGTCAACATGGTAAAAAGCGTAGCGACTTGGTCAAAAGTGAATATTTTGGCCGTTTCTAAAGATATGGACCCGAAAACTTGGAAATGACAAGAGAAACTTATGAGCATTGAAGTGTTATCGATTTCGAAACCCGACTTTGCCGTGTTTGAAGTATAGTAGCGAAGGAGCAGGTAAGTTGATGAAAAATATTATTGTGTAATCAGGTTTTACAAAACCGTAGCGACTGTTTTACACTGATATTTCTCCGTTTATAGTCAATCCTTTAGACTGATTTTTCGCTATCTTAGAACACCAAGTATGAGCATCTGGTTAATGTGTTTTTGTTCCCACAGGATTCCAGTTCAGTCATTCTGCGGACAACAACTTGGTATACTTCCAAATTCTGAAACCCAGCGTTACACAAAGGATACTTAAGAATGATGAATCTTTTCTATGCGTTTTAATAAACTTGAAATGTCAAAGTTTTGCTCAAATGTAGTGTTTATTGTGTGTTATCATTAGGTGTAATTTGTTTGCTCAAACGAGCTTTCTTTTCAGTGAAAAATGTATTTAAAAAATTTTACCACTGAGATTGTGTTACGCGTTACAACCAAAATTGGCTCGATTTTTCATCTTTCACGGGTATTTTCTCAAAGACAGTAATGTGGTTTTCTGATTTTTTGCTTTTACTATAATCAATAAGAAGAACTTTACCTGTAAGCAAAGATTTGGCTTCAATGAAAATGTAAAACAGAAGAAATCATTGAAAGTTTGCAGTCAACCCCCTATGGGCATGGTGATTGTGCTACTCATCAATATATTACAAATTGGTTTCATGACAGAAATAGTTACTCAAATTTTGTAATTAAAACCAACTTACTCAAATCTCTTGATATAGCTGATGAGGGAACCTGAGGAAGTACTTCTCTAACCTGCTGTACCATTCTTGCCAGCCTTGTGTTTCGACTTGTACTGTTCAGGGGCTGACTGGGAGGGGTGCTTCCATTTGGGGCTGACTCCTGAGATTGGGGATTTCTGTGAACTACAACACAACACACAAATAAATTATATTTAAAAGATGAGTTTTGTGAAAAGAATTTTTTTTAATCGTTTGAGCATCCAAGGTTCTTGCAGTCAAACTATAGAAAATGCTGTGACAAACTGGTAACCAGGCACAGTGGCCTGCCTGGAGCAAGACACATTGGTTGCATCATTGTGTTAAGTTTCTTGCACAAGATACTTTGAATTGCTTTCACAATGCTCCTCTGATCTCCATCCAGATGAATAAAATTGGTTCTATAAGACTGTCTGTGAAAATCAGATGAATTTTTGGAGAGAGGGGTGGCAGGGGGTTAACTTGCTATGAACTAGCACTCCATCCTGGAGGCATTATTCCTAGTCCTTCTATGATATAGCAACTGAAGACAAGCAGCAAAAATTATGGGTCACTTTAGGCCTCTGAGACTTAACTTCACTGATGCTCTTTTAAAAGAAAAGGTATACCTGCTTCCAGGTCTTTTACATCCTGAGCGGTGAAGCTTGTGGGTGTCAGCCCAGAGGAACTAGCCATGTGCTGCAATATCAAGAACAAACATTATCATGCAATGAATGCCAAACTGTGTACTCTTGTCACTGAAAAAAACTTGTAGACAATCTATACAACCATTGGCGCTGAAAATCTAGTCACAATTTGTATAAATGTCACAAAATGGTACTTTCTGTGTTGCCATTCAACTTCTGGTCATTGTCAAGTATTGAGGTTGAAATTAATGATTTTCTCTGTCACTGTCACTCACATCTACCTACAGGTGATTAGTTGAAATTGATGCATTCTGGCATAACCTCCTTGGTGCATTTTAGCCATTATTACATGCATTTTGAAATCGCTGGTGATCCTTGCAATCTGATCGGCTCTCATCGGAGAAATTTATTCATGAATTGCATCATGTTAAAAATGGGTTAGGGTAAATATAACTTACATGCAATGTAGGAAACCATGCTTTGAGAACTTCAAACAACTGAGCCCAACTCTTTTGCCAAATTTCTTTTGCTGTATTTTGGTTGTAATTTAGGAATAAAAAATAAATATAAGACCAGGGTGGAGGAGTGTCACACCTTCTGTATATCACTGGAAATGTCTTCTGCTTTGGATTCTACTTTGGATTCTACTGGAGGAAGAAATCTGCAAAAAGTATTAAAAAAGGTTTCTGATCATCCACAGGATTTTGGAGAAAAAAGATAAATTAGAAGGTACTGATATTGATTGTCATGAATGAAAATATCTATGGCATAAAACAACAAAAAGATTTTAAAGATATGAATATATTTGATTAGCAATCAAGAGCTGGTGCAATAATATTTCTCTTGTATGCTAAAATAGACATCTGCTATATGAGCAGAAAACTCAACCAGAATAATTAATTAAAGTTATAACAAAAAGGCTTCATTTCACTGAGAGCTCATCAGGATCAATCCCTTAGGAGTAAGCCCTTTTTTAAAGCAAAGAGAATCAGAGGGAGTTAAACCAAATTATCTTTGTTACTCCCCCTTACTGATGCAGCACCACTGCTTCTTTAAAAATAAATTATACCCTCATTGTGGGACACTGGCCCCTGAAGGAACTCACCTTATATTGTAAAGTGTATATGGTACAAACAAAGACCAGGAAAAGTCCTGCCACCAACCACTTCCTAAAACATGCTATCGAAAAGGGAAACAGTTTTAAAAACTTTTCTCTATATCATTGTCTTATTATTATAATAGCATTCCTTTATGATAAACCAGTTTTGGTGGATTTAAAATAGAAGAGCAACCAGGACTTGAAATTCATCTTTCCATAAAAGGCCATTCTTTGAGCAAAAGTCAACCTTAAAATCTGAAGCTTTTGGCTTTCAGTCTAAACTTAATGTTTGTTTCATTACTAATCTGAAGCTGAAAACTGTAATATCAGTTGATTGTTTATCTCAAACTGACAGCCAAAAACTTAATTGTCAGTGTGCCGGGTTATCCTTTTCTTAACTTATAAATAACTAACCAAAGGAAACAATTTATCAGAAAAGGCCTTTTATAACAGTTGGTCAAGTGACCTACAAATGGTAAGCTGGGGTTGTGTTAACTCAAGAAATGAAAATATCATATTCTACTTAGAAAACAGTCAGAATGCAAATATTTTCTGTATTTACCAAGCACATATGTTGCACCCATGCATGGGCTGAACCACAAATTTTTGATTAATTTTCGTGGAAAAAAAAAAATTAGTGAATTGCAATCAGAGGTCACGTAGCTGTTGTAATGAAACCAATTACCAATTAAAGTAATTTTAAAGTGATGTTTGTTTTGAAATAATAGAGAAGTACAACAATTTGAAAAAAACTTTACTGATGCTGGTGTCAAAATGCTTCAATAGTGTATACTAAGCTGTGCCCCCAAGTTTCATCCCTTTTTTTCAAATAAAAACCTGTGGCCTATCCATGGGTAAATAATGTATTTGAGGCAAAATATTGATAGGAGAGCATAATCCTCTAATGCAAATCCTTCTACTTTCTAAAAGCTACCAAAACTCTCTTTAGTGGAAAATTTTTCAGAATGCCCACATATCTAAGATTATAGAAAGTAATAGAAAATCCTTAGAAGTTTACTTCCAGAACCACCCTCTGTAAGTTACAATTTCAAAACTATTTAACTGAATGAGAATACAAACTCACAGGGGGTATTGGGACAAAAAGAGGGCGTCTCACTGTGATTACTGCCTGCAAAAATAAAAAAATTGTATTATTAGAAAGGTATTTGAAGATAAACACAAATACTGGATTACTGGAACTAAAAGAAAAACACACTTCTCCCTAATCTTCCAAGACCTTGGAAAATAAATTTTTAACTGTACATTACTTTTGCAAGAATTCTGAACCATTTCCATGATATTAATCTTTACAACTCCCTTACCCATCAGTGACTAGAATTGTGTTAATCTTAGTTATCAAGGTAAAATTTATTCAAAGACAGAGAAGATATTGCCAGTAATACCACTTACAGGTAATACAGTGCTGCTAAACTGGAAACACCATGGGCTGTAACAGTAAGGAAAACCAAACAAACTTTGTCAGAAATGCATCAAATTATTCATCAGTCACATTTTGAACTTATCAAGTTGACAGTCAATGTTGGTAATTATCATGACCAAATGCCAATGCCATGATCCTGGCCCCAATAGCCAATAATTCATGAAGAACTAATTTGGTTGAAACTTAACTACATTAAGTTTCAAGCCTTAGAAAGGTACTAAATATGCAGTAAAATGTTGGGTGTTATTACTTTACACACTATGATGGCAGCTGAATTACTTTGTAATTAAGGAACTGAATGAAAATAAAACTGCTCATCTAAAAAGTGTAAAATTTCTTTAAAAGTACTTAATCATTGTTAATGGCAGAAAATACATCGTTTGTTAACAGTTTTAGGTCTAAGGTACTCAGTAGTTTTTAATATTCTACTGTACTAGTTTTTATTCAGAATTTATATTATTGTATGATGTTAAGCTCTTAGATTTTTAACATTATTAAATTGTTATTATTATTTTTAGAGTTTGTGTGATGTTGTGTGATTTTACTGACTCAATAGATTTAGATTTAGATTTAGATTAAGATTAAGAAAAACTGTATGATACATACTTGAATTTTAAAAGGCCTCTCTTTCCATTGGTTATTTTTTCCTCTGGAAATGCCAGAAGAGGAAAGTCAGACCCTAAACAAAAGAAAAAAAAACTATAATTGCAACAACAATAGATATACAATGAAATAAGGATCAAACTATTGCCACTATAAGTTAGAAACGTTTCTTTACCTTCAAATAACATTTTGATTGCTACAGATGTTGTTAGTTAGAAAAAATATTCTAGATCTAAGTATTTGATTACAGGGAAAAAAGATAATTTGAAGGCAAATACATCAATACCATCACCTGAGTGGGAACTATTCCTCTTTTAATTTCGTAGAAAAGGTTGTGGTTATTCATCGTGGTGAATAACAATAAAAGCTAAGTTTTTCATTTGCCTCATGATGTAGTCACATGTGATGTAGATCCCATCACACGTGACTACATCGTGAGACAAATGAAAAACTTAGCTTTTATCACTCCCCTTTTCAAGTTAAGTTCATCCTGCTCACAAAGGATTTGAACCCTTAAACCCTTAAGAGTGACGCTTTCTTATTTCTCCTTGCAGTATTACCCTTGAATTAAAAGTTAAGGGAGAAAAAAGGAAAATAAATTCAAGAAGCTTCTGATTGTCGAACAAATTCTCCTTGCCAGTACCAGTGCAGAGAATATGAATGCTAATGTTAGGGTGCAAAGGGGTACATACAAAAAAGCTTAATATACTCCTAATACCGGTAATATCCCTCATATCACAGCCTCCCTTACACTTCTTGTCTAATCAGGGGCATTAAAACTGAAAATGTAATAAAAACTTTTTCAAAGTACACCAATGTAAAACTTTCAGTACATAATTTTTCTAAATTGGTTCCCAATTTTTCAACTAAGACCCTTGTGCACAGTGGCGCCCTGTATATAAATGTTTCTCATTAAGTTAACACATCCAGTGATAATCAAACTTTCTTGTGACAAAAAGCTGAAATCCGAAAAAGTCAATAGTATTTTTGTTATTCCTTATTTTTTATTAATTATTATTAATACAACTCTAAATAAATGAGGATTGTGCAGTATCAGTCCAACATTTTAGAGCACAAAAGAAAGTGACACATTGTAGAGTTGAGCTTCTCCAAAAAATCCTTTACACCCTATTTTACACACAACACCAAAACTACATTAAATCAACTACACCTGTAGCTCTTACCCTGTAAGTACTCTTTAATCTCTCTGTCTACATTTTCTCTTTGTTTGTCAGCACTAAATTCTTGATACCCTAGGACCCACTTTAAAAGCCATGGACAATCACATCTGCTGTATGGCTGGAAAATATCACAAGGTCTTTGCTGAATACAACATTTCACTGTAGATATCAATTAACTTGTAGGTGATAGTTTGTCTAATGATATAGAGTCATTATCAGTAGTAGTAATAGTAGCATATGGCTTCATTTATTTCAACTACTTCTGCCAGGCAATGGGGTCGAGTCACCACAGTAACAAAGGTTTAAAATTTCAGTCAGCTCTGTAACCACTTGCAGTATAAGCTTCAAACAGCACTAATCACAGACCGAAAAAGTCCCCAAACAAATTGTCAAGCTAGTTTGTGAATCAGATTCAAATGTGGCATGTTCCAGCCACCAGTCCAGATACTGGTCAGCAAAATCACTTGAAAGTTTATAGAAACAGTGAAACTTTGCCTTTTTACTCAGAAATTAATAATAAAGATATCTCTCAATTTCGCTTACTTTTGATTTTTGTCTTAAAGTAACAAGCCCCCTCCCAATTGTCTGAGCTGAATTTTAAGACTAAAACTCAGTCATTAAGACAACTTATAGGTCAGACTAACCATAACACTAGGAAGTATTGTTTCAACAGCAACATTATCCAGGCATGTAACATGATTGGTGACAACAAGCTGTAAAGAATAAATGAAAAACATGTACACCACAGTTAATTGTCCTTTTGTTCAAGAACTTTTAAGTTTTGCAGTTTTTGAGATGATGGCATTCTGTTCTCATTCTCAGAGTAATTTAGCTTTCTAGAAGTTATTGAATATAACACAGTGATAAGTTATTGACAGGGCACTCATCCATTATCTATATGACCGTGTAAACTATGGTGGGGAGCAAGTTTTGTAGACTAATCACAGCATGAACACAAGCAAAACCAATGAAATACTGGATTTCTTTTGATGCCAAAACACAAACAGTTCTTAGCAAATAAGCAATGTTGAAGAATCTTTATTAGTACCTTATGCTGATCTTTATTAAAGTTTTCAAATCCCTCATGGGTTACAGCAATCCCTAATATCTTACTAGATACTCTGAGAAGAATCCTACAAAATCAAAAGGAACACAATTTTAGCTTCTCATGTTAAGGCCTTTAAGCACATCTAGTTTATTAAAATAATTTTGTAATACTAGTGATCATTAAAATAACTCATCTAATTAATTTCACATTGAGCTGGAACATATAATATTTTAGTAATGGTAATGCTTGTAAACATATTTAAAAAGTATTGGATCATTTCAAGCATGTCAAAAGACAATCATTTCTATTCGATTGGTAGTCTTTCAAGACACATCCTAGTTCTTTGGCACCAGCATTTTTTTTTCTGAATAAAGACTCTGTCTTTACTTCACACTATATATGCATACCTGCATATGTTTACTCACTCATTTGTGACAGTCAAGTTTAGACACCACCTCAATACCATTTCCTCACTTTAATTTTCCAGATATGTAAATTTCATAGGTATGTAAAAACAATGCGCAAAGCATTTGAAAAGCAAGTCCAATTTATACACCTGTACTGACTTCATTGTATTTAAAGCTTGAAGAGTGATAAACAAAGTGGTAATAGAAACAGATATTTCTTGCATCCCTACTATTCAAGGAAATGAGAGAGGAGGGGTGCACTTACCCTAGAGGGGTGCACTTACCCCAGAGGGGTGCTTGTTTGACAATGTGGCACAGGGGGGTGACACTTATTGAGTGGACGACATTTATTAGAGCATTGGCATATATCCAAGGAGATACAGCATATGTGAAAGCTTGCACTCATGCATGCAGTTTTCAAGCTATAATTGGAATTTGTGGTTAAACCTGACCACACATGAATTTTAATCTCAGACCTCTTTAGGAGCAGCTGTACAGTGACATAGTTTCTCACCTCCTTATTATTGATCCTTTGGGTAACACTGTCAACATAAGAAGAAGCTGAAGTCCGAAGAAGATTCTAAATATCACAAGCAGGAGGCCACATGGAATGTATAACAATAGTGGTAATGGTCCTCCACCACCTGGCAGCCTAGAATCAAACAAACAAAACAATAGCTTCATGAAATAATTATTTAACAAGTGAAATTGCCCCCTTTGCACAGTCTCCCTAAGGTCCATAGCCCTACATGAAGCTCCATTGCTGCAAAGTATGGTTGAGTTGCCCCAATCATGAGGTCAAGTCACTCTCAATCAGTTTTTGCTTCCTTCTCAGGGTAGACTCTTATGAAGGCACTCATCGTTTGAAGGTTTTGATACTCAGGCTGTTGACCTTCCAAGCTTTGAAACTTATCTCAAAATATGTTTAAAAACTTATACTTAGGTCATAAGTTGGGAGGGATATAACAATGATATGGAGAAATAGAACGTGGGGAAACTTTGCTAGGGGGTGATGTCACATACAAATAATAATCGTAATAGTCTAATTTTTGGCTCAATTGACTCAAAATTGATAAGGTCATACATTTACATATTAGAGGACAGACTATTGAAAAATATTGTCACCAGATAACAAGTGCTTCTAGCTGCGAGTTTACATAACAAACATATATTAGTAGGCTCCATGTATTTGTTTATTGTAAGGAAATATGATCGCAAAGGAAATTTACAAAGTAAATGATACTTTGAAGTGACATCTTGATTTTCAAAAGTTAGCGCTTTTACTCCCAGTAACTCAGTAGTCACTCTCCTTTCTGTTAGCCAGTCTTCTAAAAGTGTTATTTACAGGAATTTGGTTCTGAGCTCGAGATCCACTATTGTGTTCTTTAGGTTGATGCTTTCATCTTTTTATATATCTATTATCACAGTGTTGTCCTAAAAATAATAGCTGTAGTAAATGCCTGTCTAATTTAGTGTCCATAAATGTGAATCTATATCAAAGTCTCGTTCCTTATATACGAGGAATTGCCCTTTTATTATTCTAAACTTCGTACAGGTTTAACTTGAAATAATATGATCAATACTTGATGCCATTTTACCTGTCACGATCCAGTAAGTCCGTAAGTCTCAAATCTAAGGCCATCTTCTCTTATAAAACACCAGAAAGCAGTCTTAGCCCATAAAAGAACAAAATGAAAATAATTTAACGTAGTTATATTCCAGGAATCATACCACGTCGCCGGTCCGTTGCCGGTCTTACTTGGGTGACGCTATAGAAGGTGTTCGTAGAGGGTAAGAGTACACGATAATTTTGATCAGCGGGGACATTATGAAACCCGCGAGAATTCGGGAATATTGCGAAAGCCCGCGAAGGGAAGACATCTAAAAACAGAAGACAATTTTTGATTAGGACGCTAGAATGCGTAATGATGGCGGCGACTAATCATTCTTCTTTAAATAAATCGAAGTTACTATTATTTATACAGTATTTCTGTTGAAAACCAGTACTTCTTGGGTTATCTCGACGGGAAAAGAGACGAGTTCGAGGATATGCTCGAAAGGTTTCTTCTTAGTTTCACATGCTTTGTAAAGAAGGCCTTGCAATCAAAGGAGTTAAATCACAAGAAGTTTTCGAAAAATGGTAGGTAGTTTCTTTTATTTTTAGTTGATTTGTTTGCCTTTATCAATTCGGTGTGGGCCTTGTAGAGACTTGATCTTTGGCCGCAATTTTGTAAAAAAAAACTTACGCAATGCTCCGGGCGTAAAAGTGTTGAAATATTTAAAAGTATTTCATATATAGGAAAGTCCTTGGAAAACACTCTAAGTGCGTAATCTAGTATACCGAAATACTTTTTCAAATTATACATTTGCAGCGTCTCCCGTCTTTGAACACAATGGTGGTAATGTACCGATCCAATTTTTTGGCAAACCGTTTACCATCGTAAGCGATGAAACTCGGCATTGCCCCCACGAACCAACAAAGGTGAGAATTCCTTTTGAAAACAGAGTTTGAAATATAATGAAACGTACCAGAAGTATTCGATTTTTGCATAACCCGCGAAACTTTTATAATTTTTCTAGGTATTTTAGTGGAGGAATCCATCGAGCTTTTCGCATACTGAGGAAACAAAATCGGAAAGGTCACTTACATCCATTTACATCAGAATTCCCCATAAACATAGGGTGTGTACAATTCTTGAAATTCCCGTTCGTTATTTCACGAATTATCTGACGTTTCAGTGTTGACAAATTTTTCGTATTACGTAAGTAAAAAACATTGAACTTCTCTCAACGGACTCAACGCTGCAAGGAGAATCTCTCTCATAATTTAATTTTTTAAGAGACGACATTACCGTCTAAAATTCAAACGTTACTGTTAGGCTTATTAGCGCATTGATAACCTTGTAAATAGCTCAAACATACTGAAAACATTTGTATTAGTTTTTGTATAACTTTCTCTGTGAGCCACGTATGAGTAAACAAAAACAGAGAAGTATATATTGATGGCTCGTTTTCATGAATCTAGGATTTTGGGAATCGCTATAAACTACGCGATCACGCATTTAGTAATATTTCTTCTTCTCTTAATGATTGATACTGGAAGAAAACAGTAACGGTGTAATGCTATTTTATGTGCCCGTTATAAAAAAAAAATTTGAACTCGCATTTAGCTTACAGGTGAAAATCCCATGAAAATTGTTCAAAAGAAATATATCTCAGTGGTTATTTTATGACAACCACAAAATACTCAAACAAAATCAAGAAACTGCCGCAGGACCTCAAGTTTGTTAAGAACGATCTTGAACAATTCTTTTATGAATTTTTCGTGGGCTGAAGCTTACATGACATATTTTATATTTGACCGCTGTAATATAAACTTGTGTGTTCGACCCTCGACGAACGCCTTCGATGTAGCATCACCCTGCATCACCCAGCATCACCCGTCTTACTTTAACTATCAGCGGCTGAGCCTGCGACAGAGAAATTTTCTGGTCAGCAGATTCTATCATGTTAGGTATATAATTTAAATAAATCTCTTAAATCTGGTCATGGTGAATGTCTCTCGTGAAAATGTAATAACTTCTCAAATGATCTCTAGTTCTTCGGAATCTTCGGGTAAGTTGAGAACGAAATAAAGAACTTGTTAATTAGAACTTTGATGAGTTATTTTCATATGTTATTTCCGCTCCTAATAACACGCGAATGAATGGCATAGGGTCTATTTGTAAAAGTGCAGAAGATAACATTCGCCTGCTTAGAAAATAAAGAAAAGGGGCTGCTACTACTTGTAGCATTAATTATTTCCTCAGACTGCTCTGAGCAGTGATAAATTTGAGATGAAACAGGCATTATTTGCTAGGGGCCAAGTGGGCTCGGCGGGAGGGGTGGGGGAGAGTACAAAAGAAAATGTCGAGGAAGACTAAGAACGACGTATATTTAAAAAAAAAAAATGGCGGTCTAGATTAATTATTTCACACCTCTAGCATGACACTGCTCTTGCTCTTTATTCCGGAAGATCATCTCTACCTGAGTGATAATACCCGATCAAAATTTATTTCAAGCCGGGGTCAGGCATCTTTGACCTCAATATATGTGCACTTACAAGAGCAAGAAACAACCTCATTTATTAATCAGAACGTGGGCTCGTGTTTGCATTTAAATGAACCTGATTTGAATATCCCAAGGATCAGTGAATAAAAACAACAGCATTTGCCAGAGAGGCTTTGAAAAGGCGTGTTTACCGAGTCGCATGCTTAAAGAAGTCATTGTTGACGAAGCAAACCCTACAGGTTGGTTATAAATGATTCGATATTTTCTTTGAAGGATTTTAGCTTAAGTTCTCGCTTCGCTGTTGTTATTTTCATTTGCAATATCAACTCCGTGAATTTTAACACAGTAGGGTCTTAAACCTTCGGTTAGGCTGTTTAAACAAAATAGGACTTGCGTGTCTTTTTTCCCGTTACAATACATCCGAGAAATAATTTGGCGAGGAAGGTGGAGTATTTTTTAACGCAGGTGTGCTCTGGGAATAATCGACCTTTCCATGATCGCGCGATTCAATGGCAATACAGCGACATTACAGCTGTAGCTTCCAATCAGTTTGCAGTCTAAACATTGTAGTGACTTGTACTTGCAGGATGTCGTCTTCAGTAACGCCAAGAACCACGCGAACCCCCGTGGAAAGATCGAGGAGATGGAGCGCTCCTCCGCGACAGAAGGTAGTCGGACGCTCGGTTCGATCTCCCGATGAAGTGGTCCGGGACGTTCGAGGTCTAAAGATGCGCCAAAGAGTTTCTTTGGCTCTCAGCGATGACATTCTGCGGGGAGAATTGGAGGACATGTTATCCACTCACAATGAAAAGTCGATGAACGCAGACTCTTTCCGCACGTATCAAGACTTCTTGATCCCTTCGGGAGGCTTTTATGGCGGTGGTCTTGGGGGTATGTCCGCCAACGTTATCTCAGACATCAGAGGGGCGGACACACTGCACTATTCCAAATTTGAAAGGCAATTGCGGTGTAAGGTGGCATCTGTCTATCGCCTGATACAGCTGTTTGGATGGGGAAAAGGAATCTCCGATCGAGCTGCATTTACGGTACGTACATATACGTGGGTGTTTAGAAAATCGCATTAATGTTCTACTAAGTGTTATGTTCATTTTATTATTGATGTCGTTTGTAACATATGCAATCGAAAACTTCGTAAGAGGTTATTTGAATTATTCAAAGTTTTGCTTTGTTCTAGTGTTCTCTGTGGTAAAATAACCTACTTCTAATTTCCTTTATGATGAAATTCAAGACTCCAATGGTTGCGTGTTTAGCACAAAAAGTTAAAGATTGTATTTCAGGAATTATGTACACACCACTTAAGTTTATGTTGATCACTTTGACGTGTTATTGATATTTCAAGACTCTTTCGTCGTCGTAGACATATAAGGAAATGTGTGGTAATATCAGCAGCGACAAAAGATATTTTGAGCATTTAAGGTGATACTAAGTTGATGTCTCACTATCTCCCTTCTTCCTTTTTCAATTTTTGACTTAACAATTTAATCTACCTAGGGCATTTCACAAAATGAATCCTACTAAATGTTCACTTTTGGAAATAATTAGATCTCACATACTATACCCTGGTAACAAAGACTTGCCCAAAATGAATGGAAATTGAATTGTTTCCTATTGAACTGTTTGAAAACTGTTTACATTTCCAATTAAGTGGTCCTGGTGTTAACTTACAATTTTATAGTGATTACACCAAAACTTCCTTGGTTCTAAAATTATAATCTATATATATCATTGGAAGAGCAACCTTGCATATATCTGTGTTATAAATAACTGTGATTCATACGGTCTCTGATATGTTCTGCTATGCAGATGACATTTGGTCCAAAATGAATGATGTTGCTCTATGAAGGGATTATTTTCACTAGTGGTTTTAGTAGTATTTTTCCCTTGTAATAGAAAGGTTGAATATTCAATCAAATGTTAAAAATGTATGAAATGAAAGGTTTTGCCAAAACATGCAACTTTCTAGACTAACCAACTCAAACTTTTAATCAATACAGCAATAATCCCAAAAATAAAACTACTGACAGTAACTTGAAATATGATTTCAGACTTACAGTATGTGTAATTTTGAGCCAAAGTGTAATTTCATTACCCAAATTCTAATTATGTTAAATGGTATATGATTTGCATTTTTCTTTGGAGTAAATCCAATTACAGGTATTTTTGATGATTGTTATCTCAGCCTGTTTTGTCTGATTAGAAAAGTGAATGATTGCTAGAGTCGTTTAGGGACAAGGAGTTGGACCCCATGGGGTGCTGATTGGACTGTTTCAAAAAAAATTCTCACAACAGATATGAAAAAAATTGTATTTCTTGTTAAGATTCTGCCAAAATGAAGCTGAAAAGGATCACAATTTTAAGTGGTTTGAGAGAGGTTAAAAATTAAGTGATATATAAGATCTCAGGGTCTATAGCTGAAGTATAGTGATAACATGTGATCATTTGACATTAAGTTAAGAGATGATGGACAAGTCACTTTTCCTACGGTCTTTGAATGAATGAGATAGCACAGTATAAATACTGAGAGTAGAATGACAGTAAAATTTGAAATTTTTTTAAGCCTGCTGATTAAACTGGAAGATTATATTCTTCAATGAGCACTTAAATAATTTCAAGTACCATTTCTCCTTTAAATTAAATTAAAGACAGCAAACATATATGACCCTCCACAGGGTTTCAGGGAATAAGGTGAACGCATGTACACAGCACGTTATCACATGCTTGCACGCTAATGGCATGACATGCTTGCCATGCAGATATACGCATAAAAACAATTGATTTTGGAAAGCGTGTTGTAGCCATTGTTCATATCTGGCTAACACGGTAGAGCTTTGTTTCTACAACACGCTAGATTTTTTTTTTTTAACAAGCTAAGTTCTTTTGTTCCTTAACATGCTAGTTTATCTTGTACAACTCAGCTTACTTTGTTAGTTGTGTTTGTCAGCTTCTTAATAAATTATTGTGAGAATGGTGTTTGTACAGTATATTACTTACAGAATATAAGCGGAAATGAAGATCTTCTGTCCTATCCAAAAGTTGTAATAGAAAATGAAATATTCACGGCAAATCATGGCTCTTTCCCTGAGGATTTTCACCAGGAATTCAGTGAGCACGACATATTTCACAAGGTCCAGAGGAGCTCAGTTTGAATGCATGAATAGCTTTTTTAAAACTTAATTCTTACTTTGTAAAATATAAATCCTTATCACTTCACACAGTTAATAAGCCCAGTACCGAATCTTTGGGAATCCTTTAGCAACAGATTTCTGGCTTCATGTCCCCTATGCGGTTGCTGTTTATCACTCTTGCAAACCAGCATTCTTAAAATAAATACCAGTAACTGTTAGTTAGCCAGTACTAATTAAAGCTTTCCAAGTGAAGCTATGTATTATTTACTGTAAGCCAATCTTGGCATCTTACAAGCTCTTAGTCTTTAGCACTGCAGTTTATACCTTGCATAACGTAACTGTAACAAGAGGATAATTAAAATTAAAATTGTTGAAGGTATTAACAAGATTTTTAGTTTGCAAACTGAGCAAACTTGAAGTTTCAAACTCCTCTGGATGACACTACCACTGCACCACACAGACTGTTGTTCTTGTTAATTAAATAAATAATTACCTGTTAATTTAATAAATAATGCCTTGGAGACTAGCAGAACAGACAAATGTGGTGAGAGCACAGTTTACCCTGTTTATGAGGTAGCCATTTGCTTTGGATCATACAGGTTTGCTCTTATTATTTTAAAAGCTTGTGCTTGCTACCTTCAAAAGTTCATGCAAGATTTCAAGAGCAGGGCACTTTGCTTGTTCGGCCTGTGTTTTGCAAGCTGTTTTAAGAAAATGAGGAATTTGAAAAAGGAAGGAAAAAAAGTCAAACACAGTTTTAAATGATAGACAACAAGTCAAGTTATTCCTTTATGTTTGGCAAATTAGTTGCACCGGATACTGAGTATCATATATTGATTGGGCAAATCAGTGAGCTCAAAAATCTTAAAGCTTAGGATGTACTTCTTGTACAAATCAAAAGCAACTTTAACTTTAAGAGGCATGTTATAAAATTGGCACAGTCACCATGTTATATGCGAGCAAGATCTTAACAAGCAAAGTTAATGAGGCAAGTAACTTACAGCAGCTAACTTGTTGAAAGTTCATTCTTTTCTTTTAGCATGCAAGATTACTGTGAGCTTGCATTCACCTTATTCCCTAAAAACCTGTGGAGGGTCACATATGAACTTCAAATAGATATTTGATGACACTCTGTTACCAAGCTTATTTTAAAAGCAACCAGACCACAAGATATTAGGTTACTACAAACAATCTGCCTTCTGAGAGTAGTGTAAAAGTCTGTCACATTTTTTCTGTAATGGTAGAAATTTATAGGAAAAAGCTTACTTCCACCATCCCACACAGATATCTGGAGTTTTTAAGGTGAAGAATTTCATTTGAAACCCTTCAAGGCTGTGCTTAGAAAAGAATTGCTGACTGTCTTGCGATTCCCTTCTCTTTTAAGGGGGGGTTCCCAGATTTCAAATGAGCAAAGTTATTCAAATAGCCAAAAGACAAAGTTGTAGTTGCCTGATTGTGCAACTTGCTTCCTGCCAGAGGACAGCCCTACCTTTCATTAAAATTGCATCCAAATGTGAAACTCAAAGTAGAATTTGGAAGGATACCTGCTCATTTCTGATTGTTAATTCACCCCTCTAGCTGCTACATACTTCCTGTAAGTTAGTTATGAGAATTTGGTGTTAAATCAAGGTAACAACTTCTACCTATTAAATTTTAGTGTTTGTTACCTACTTGTTGGATGATGTATGTATATTAGAGGGAAAAGTTACAAGTAGATCTTTTCCAGGAGTTAAAGAGTTAAGTTATCAATGGCCTTTTGTGATACCTTAAATTACTTAGAAACATAATTTCTATGTTTTATCAAAATTATTCTGAGAGCAAATTCAACAATTGAATTGTTAATATTAAAAATATTGTTTTATATTAACTTACTTTTAATTTTTTCCTTCTAGGTTTCTGCATCTGAAAATGACAATGATGAGCATCAGTATTTTGTTGCTCCCACTGGTTTGTTGTTCAGTGAGGTGACCGCATCTTCCATTTTGAAGGTAGACCATAAGGGAAATGTAATGGAAACAGGAAACACAAATCTTGGGCTCTATAAGTCAGCATTTGAGCTCCATGCTGTCATACACTCAACAAGAAAAGATGCCAAGTGTGTCATTTTTTTGTCAGCTGACTCAGTGAAAGCTGTAAGTATGATTTTGCCACTACTTTTGATGTTTTAAGTTAGAAATTAAGCTGTTTGAAATAGGTTTTCCATTATGTAGTTAAGTATATCAATTGTTTAGATTTAGGAGCATGGTACTTACTTACCATTTTATATCTGTGCTTCTTTGAAATTTATAATTCAAACTTTTTAAAATGTTTTTGGAATGGAGAAGAATTTCTTAGTAAACATTCTCTTGCCATCTTTCTCATTTGCATCCAAAACTTACATATATCAACAGCAAACAAACCATCCCATCAAAATAACCATTTTCATTTCAATTATTTGAGGGATACCTTATGATAGAGTTGCTCAAGTTTCAAGAACAAAATTCTGCAAATATCTTTAAGGTGTCTTGCCGAAAACAAAGTTAAAAAACTAACTTGAAGTTCACAACTAGCTTGACACTCGTTATGGCCCAGAAACGTATGTTTTCAATTGTTCCATTTTATCTTGTCATTCTAGTTTACAAAGGAATAAAGAATTTTGACCAAGTCATGGATTGACTAATGACATTTCCCTCAGGCTTGAATTAAGACTCTAATTCTATATGATTGTTTTCTGTGTCAGGTTTCTGCACAAAAGAGAGGATTGGTACCAATCACTCAGGAAGGAATTGCAGTAAGTGTCAGTTATTAAGCACTTGGCTAGCAAAGTGCAATTTTTTATTGTAATAGTTGCTGTTAATTAATTTTACCATAAGAGTAGGACCACAGCAAGCTAACAATTGGTTACAACTTTTTGATCAATTTTAAATAGAACTCAGTTATGTATACCATGAGTCAATGTGGTTCCAATGTTAAATGTTGCTGTTACTTCATGATAGGTTGGAGAAGTTTCTTATCATGCTTTTCCTGGGTTGAAGCTGGATGAAGAAACACAAGATTCCTTAATCAACAGCTTTGGACCATCAAGCAGGGTATAACTAAAAAAAATGTTTACTTGCAATGTTCAACATCACCTACAAAAAGGACTGAGAATTGATGAAGTTGGCAAAGATAAACACAAATGGCAAATGATGAGATGAAGCCATATAGGGCAAATTTTGCATGATGCATAAACTGTGATGTAGCCCCTTTTGTCAATGGCATCATTATAACTTGGGCAGAAGTCTACTGAGTCTGCCAATTACTTTTGCTCTAAATTCAGTTGTACTCAACAATCCTTTCACAGCAATCTGTTTGATTTTTGTTGTTGGTGTGAACACATCACTGTCTCTATGGTATGGAAACCAGATGTCAAGGAACTTTTTTATGCGATTGATGTATATAACATGTATGTGCTTTGTTGTGAGACCTGAATGACCTGCAGTGTATAGAAATGTTCTGAAGTTAATCAATCATCCCTTACACTGTTTGGTTGTCCAGATTCTCACCAAAAAGTGCCAACATATACCAATTAAGCCATTGAAATACCATTGACTGCTGTGCTGTGGGATTTATTTTCTAGTTTGTAAATTCTAGTTTGTTACACTCAGTAACTTTGTTGGTATTTTAGGTTTTAGTTTTAAGGAACTTTGGTGCTATTTGTGTTGGGGAGACCATAGAAGAGACTACATATCTGGCTTACCTGCTTGTTACCGCTTGCGAACAACAGGTATGTACTGAGCTAAGAAGTTTTTCATTGTTTAACCCTCTACACCCTAACATCAGTATCTGTATTCTCAGTACTCTGCTTCATACATTTCCTTTGGTACTGACAAGGAGAATTTGTCTAACAATCAACACTACTTAGGTTAACAATTATTTTGTTTATTCTCATGATCTTAATGATTGATTCAGCTGTATTATTTTATGGAGAAATTAGATTCTGGTCACTCTTAGGGTTAAAAACAATACTTAATAATGATAAGTGTTAACTGTGGTTGTAATGAGTGAGTATCTTGGTTTTCACATTGCAATATATACTGGTGGTGAGGATGTCAGTAGGTTACTAACAGCTCACATGTATTGACTATGATAATTTTACTAGTACATCTATTAAATATTGAACTGTTGTCTTTATGCATGAAAATTTAATTTTATCCAAGTCATGTTTTGTGCAAAACATAAAAATATGGTGAAACCAGAATTTAGAGCACAACTGATGTTGCTAGCTCTATCTTTCCATATATGGATATGTATAGAAAAGCAAACTGTGGCAAGTATCATTATTGGATGAAGCTCTTGAGTTTTTGTCAGTTAAGTTCTTATGGTAAAGAAGCTTTGTTCTGATTGGTTGCTGTTGTTATTCTGGTTTTGGTTTTTCAACACTCCTTTGAAAACTGCTTTTATAATATTAATCATAGCCAACTCATATCTAGCTTTTATAGCTGGTGTCCTTTCAGATGCTCCATGGATAAAGAGAAGGCTAAAGAGCACCAAAACTAAAAGTAGAGCTGTTAGCGCAGGAACCTATTTTTCAGAACTTTCTTTACTTGTCCACCGCTCAAAACTATTTTAATTTGTTCTTAGGTATCTGCAATGCGCGCAGGTATGGACGAGCTTTTGGAGATTGATGATGATGGCAAAGAAAGCATGATGAATTCATTTTATGGAGGTTTAGATGCAAATGAGAACCAACAAAAGATGGCCGAGCTTCAATTTGAGGCCTGGATGCGAATGCTTGACTCCAGGGTAAGGGATGTTTGTGGGATTGGGCGAGACAAATTAAAACCTGCCACGTCAAGAGTCGTGTGAAGTTTGTCCTCAATATCCTGAAGATATTCTTTTAACCCTGTTTGTGTTAGAAGGTTATGTGTCAATGAGATAGACCCTTTGATTTCTAAAGAAATGAAGCTTATTGAATCAGTGTAACCCCCTGCTGAAGGTAGCTGCTCACCTGTGTTTTCTTTCATTTCCTGGAAGTCCAAGAAGTATTTACGTTTGCCCCGATTGGCCATTAGATCGCTTTTCGATTTACTGTTGTAAAACTCAAAACGGTCAATCTGAATGAAAGTTTTGCATCTGATTGGTTAAGAGAGTTGTACGAGTTTTCTGAACTAATCACAGAGCGAAGTAGACCAATGCAATCTCAGATGACTTTCGACTCTCACTGGAAAATTTCTCCAGGATCTCATTGATACTGGCTTCAAAGCAATTTTCAAGTGAATGTCAAAATTAAATAAGGATTACTTTCGTTCTGCTTTCCTTCGCTTTACGATTGGTCTAGAAATCTTGCTAGCCGCGTTTTCCCGCGCTTGATTCTGTTTTTGTGCGTTTGCGTCCAGTTCTCATTGGTTCGTTTTGATGTTAACCCTTGTTCTGGTTGACAGTGGGTTTTGTTTTACGACACTCAATCAAAACCATTTTACTAGAAAACTGCCCTGTTTTGTTTGTGTGAAAATTTGAGCGAAACGTGTGGTGGTATAGTCTTAAAATGCTGAACATTTCATTATCTTACTTTAACCGACGTGGCTTTTCTTATCCATGGCTGTAGGGTTGCAAGACTGGTTACAATTACCGCAACCCTGAGATCTTTAAATCAGAAGAAAAGGAAGCTAAATCACGCGAGACAACACCAGCTAAGACTTCCACAACTCGTACGGAGATGACAATCTACCGTGACGCTAACGTACGCCGCACAGCCTCCCTTGGACGAGGAAACACCTACAGGTAGCTAAAGAAATGGAGAAACGTTCACTGTGTCAATAATTTTCGGAATTTCGTTTGTTTTTCCGACTTTGCTATGCTTGTCTATTGTTGTAAGAAACTTGCATAACCTGCTAAAAATCGAATGCAAAACAACATATGAAACTGTTCTTGTTACTTTAATGTAATTTCAGCTCTCTGCTTCCTTGTGATATTTAAATTTCATCTAATAAGCCGATGTGATAACTTTAGGACAGGTTTTGTGACGCGAAGTCGAAAATAGTGAAATAGTTTTGTTCACTTCAGTTAAGCCGGCAGTAAGCTTAATCGAGCAGAATGGCAGTGTGTTTTAATTCACCACACAACCAGAGACGAAATGCTCGGTTCGTTCTTATCACAAATGAACAAAGGGGGCAAGTTTCTGAAGAAACTGTGGTGCTACGGTGCAGAGTATTACAAGATAATTTGATTTTATCAACTGAGTTGAGTGTCTAGAGCTGACTTTTTGAGCGCTCTTCCCGTCTAAATTAAACTATGACTTCGTTTTCGTTTTCGTTTCCTGCACGTGGTGTTTTTGACACTCTTGTTTTCTGTCGCTAGTCATGGGTTTTAAGCCGTTTTAACAAATCTGGTTTCTTTCACAGGAGTCGCCTGAAGTGGCTGAATTCACCTGTGAAGGCCACCGAGTACAAAAGAGAACGGGAGCTGGACAACTCTGAGCCGGTGCTTATTAAAGACAGACAACCTGAGAAAGATAACAAAGACGAGGAGGTAACTGGTTGTTTTTGCATTCACGAAATTTCTGCGGGAAGCGCATTTTAAAAGAGTTTTAAGAAGTTGAATTAAAATGAAAATACAACTGTACAATTGTTCGCATTTACACAGCTATGAGCAGGGTTCCTTTGTTACTCCGCGGTAAGCCTGCTTCGAAACTAACAAATAGACCAAAGTTATAATAAAAATATTTGAGACTTTCTCCTCTTCTGTTTTTCATTAGGAAGTGTTTATCACCACCAAAGTCGTTTCGGTGAACCAGTCTGCGCCAGTCCTACCCACAAGTGATCAGGAGAGCCAAGAGGTCACGGAGGAAGTGGTGACGTATGTAAAGGCACAGGAGAGGCACTTTGAACCTCAGGAAGTCAAGGTGTTCTTGGATGACTCCCAAGATAGCCTGGACGCAAGTGGCGAGCGCACTGGTCCCGTGATTGTGGAGTTAAAGCGAGAACCGGTGGGCCTTGTGCGAAGGAAGTCTGGTAACAAAGTGAAGAAGCGACGAAGTTTCCGAGAGAAGTTTACTAAAAGGCTCAGCAGTGGACAGTAGACACGTTATGCTACAGTTTTCTGATGTTTCCACCACTTGGTATGTTTTAAACAATTTAGTGCAATACGCTGAACTGTGCTCCTTGGCGAGGGTAAGGAGTAATTATCTGTTTTTGGAGGTTGTAAGAACAATAATTTCGGTCATAGAGGAAACCAAAGGTTGATGTTGTCTGCGCTTTTGTAGTTCAGGTAAATCAGAATTCTGGTGAGCGAACCAATTAAAATTTCCAACTAAGGTTGAATATGCGTGGAAAAAATTCCGTTTTTATGCGTTTTTAGAATGGGGAACTTTTTTCTTCTCGAAGAAAGCCACGTTATTTTAAACTCAAAAAAAGAGGAAGAACTCACGCAGTGCTCTTACACACGCTATCTGTACGTAGTCTATGCGCCCGCCTTTGTGGTTTTTATTACACACTCATCAGGCACAATACGCACATTCCCCGTTTTTGTTTGCAATGTTATTAAGAGAGATCTCAAACCAAGTTTATGCAAAAGAAGAGTAAAAATAATCATTTGTAGCAATAATGTGTAGTATCTGCATCTGTCTTAAAGGAGATATTTTTGTAGTTTTCTGTTAAACCTACTAAGAAGGATGAGGAAATTTAAGGAATTTATAGGTAAATTTTGCTGTTCGTGTTTGCTGCAAACGTGGCATTGTGCATACGCCTCGTGCGTGAATAGTGCAGCTCAGATGAGATATGTCAAATCTTTCCTTTCATAGAGTGGGACTCGTGTTATATACTCGAGCATTTTTATAAAAGTGGATTTTTGCCTTTTTAAAATGACATTTCGAGGCATGCGACAGTTATGCTGTATAGTTTTATCTTAAGGGTGCGTTTTAACATTATATAATGCCCAGAGTCTGTGCTGCGAAAGTTTGAAACCTAAAGCTTTCGAGATATCTCTAGAATTGACAAAAATAACGTATTTTCAATTGAAAGTTGCTATCGTCTTTCTTCTTCATTGTTTGTTGTTTACTTTTTAGCTTTTAAACTGTTTTAATGCTCGTTGCACTTTTATTGTTTAATTGTTCACTATGTTGTCTTCACCAGGTTTTGATATTTACAATCAGTGACACTGGTAGAATAATTAAATAACCAGTATTGGCCATTATGCATTGCGCGCCTCTGTTTTTGTTATGGTTTTCACGAGAGCGAGGGTTTCAATGTTTTCCCAAAGCTTGTGGAAGAACCACATCGACTTAATGGCCACCGATGGCAAACGCCGCGCGTAGTGCACACTGGTCAAAACTGGGTCTTAAATTAACCTTCATCATTCCTCAAGAAAGGGGTTTAAAACGACTTTTAAAGTTAATCTGTAAGAGATGACCATGGAGCTTGTTCAAAGAAATTGTTATTTAGTTTGCTAATGTAATGAACTGGCCATGTGTTTGCTTCTTGTTGTTGTTGGGTTTTTTTTTTCACTTTTTTTTCTTGCAAAATGCATTTTTCCCATATTTGCCTTTTAATTACAATGATACTCTGGAAACGATTAAAAAAAAAGAAAATATTTGACATTGTCGAATGTCAGTATGCATGGTCTAGTAAGACTCGTTAAAGTTAATTCAACACAGTGTAACGGTATTCGGAAGCGTAGTAACATTATGGTAATTCTGTCAATATTGTTTATTTTAACTTACATCCAAGGATAATACATCTTACTGAATTTTTACGCAATATAACGCCGAGAAAAAAAGGGAAACAATTTTCAAGTGTTTCGAATTATATGGGTAGTATCGTGATAGACTCCTGATAAGAAGAGGGAAACCATTAAAAAATCTGCCAATCAGTCAGCTAATTGTCAGGTTTTATGTTACGTGCTTAAGTCCAGTGGTCACTTAAAGAGAGGAAATGTGTTAAGCTATCGTAGTGCCTGTTGTAGTTTGTTTTAGTAACAATGGAATTGTACATTACCATTAAAAGCTCCTTAAAAAAAGCTCTTGTTTGTTGCATCATTTGTACGCTTGTTTACTATGTCTAAAGATATCCAACGTTGACTTTATGCTCCCACTGCTGAAACAATCACTCGAGTTGAATTGTGTGAGGGCGAATTCGATTTGTTATCTTGTATTAATCAAGTTTTGGAAGAATTGGGCGAAAAAGGGGGCATGTAGTGTTGTCATGGCAACAACAGTTTTTCAAAATTTTTCATGCCCCCTCTACTGGCTTAATTTCGGAGTTGGAATTCTCTCGAATATTCTTCAAATTAAAAGTTATTTTTCATAAACGCAAACAGCATGTCCATCATTCTTCTAAGTATTTATTCCGCCATGCGCATGAAGTCTGCAAAGCGTGAGATCATGGGACGGAAGGGAGCCAGCACATAAAGAGCAGTGGTGAGGAAGGGGGGGAATTTCCTTTTTCCACTCCCTCTCTCTGCCTCTGAATTTTTATTTCCTCAAGTCCTGTACGATTGCGAGACTACCAGTTGGCTCAATCTTGTTTTTAGCTAAAAGCCGAACGGAAAAATTTTCCATGCAGAAGGCTCAAAAGCTATGAAAACAATAGTTATATCTAGCTTAATAGGAAAAATTCTGAAAGGATTTTTAAGTTGGAGCATTTTTAATTAAATGTATTTTGCCAATTAAAGACTTTAAAAAGAAGGTTCTGTTTTACAAAGGTAAAAAAAAAAAGCAATTAACAAACGTGACTGCTTGATTGCAAAATGGTTCTAGAGCGTACAATACACAGATGGAGGTTGCCCATGTCAAAGCCATGCGCGGTCCTTAAGAAAAGTCTATGTAGAGCCTGTTTCCACTGCTAATAGTAGTAGTCCTATTTTTAACTACTCGTTTCATTAGTGTTCTTAGCTGCTAGGATCTCTTAATTTCATCTCTTCACCGCAGTGCAAATATATGAATTTCATATATCTAAAATCATCTCGGATACTTCCTCGTCCCAAGAGCCTATCAGTTCTCTTAGCCGACAAGGCCTTGACTAGATTGTATCAAGGCCCTTCACGCAAAGGGAATCGATGGGCTCTGGGCACGAGAAAGGAGGCACGAAACCCTAACATAGGTGATCTCCCGAATAACCCGAGTAATGACCATCCTTGACGCAATATAGATAACAAAACAGTCATATGGGCAATCCAATAACAATTCTGAGGACGAAAAGTGAACAACATCAAGCGTATTTGCGTGTCGCTATCAAAAAGCAAGGGGTTTTAGATTTAGTAGTTCAATCCGCTAAGTCATGTGACCAGATCAATCACGTGATCAGTAACCAATAGGGTTATTTACTTGTTTTTGCCATTTCCTAATTATAATTTTAGCGGAACGATCAAAGCGGTGTTCCTCCCGCCTAATTAACAGCTGACACCAGTCACAATGGTTCAAAGAGAACAAAAAGGTTATGTTGCGTCGAATTGAGCGCAGTGTCTTGGAATTTTGTCGGAACAGTCTATTAGTTCAAATAATTTTAATAATCAATAACAGGGAACAGAATGAGCTTTCTAACTAAATCCCCTTCGACCGTCATAATGCTCACAAAACAAATTTAGCCAATCAGGTCACTCCTACATTTCGCGCAGGCACATCAAAGTTTGCCGATATTTATAAATATTTGCATCTGAATGCATGATTTCATTTCTCGTTAGTAGCTACCCCTTTAAAAAGAAGGTTATATCATATTTTGCTGTTATCTTTTCGAGTCTGACGGAAGGCTGTGCTTTTTAACAAACAGTTTTTTTTGGCATTTGATTGTGGACCCAATTTGTCTAACCTGATTATCGCAGTATGGATAACTCAACCTTTCAAGGTCTCACTTTCATATCGATGGCTTCAAATAACAGCCCAGTTCTACCCAGAGCATTGATCAGTTCGGTGTCTTCTGCCTCTATTTGGGAAGGTTCGATGGTTCAGGAAAATGAATGCAATCCTCAGCAAATATTGAACTCATCAGAGGATCAACAGGTTAATCACAGTGAAAGTACAGATGACAGGTACGAAAAAATGGAAAATAACTTTGTTAAAACGACCATTTTTTTCGAAACCACGGCAGTCGTTTTCGAAGCAAAGAAAAATATTAATGCTTTTTTTTTCAAATTCAATTATTAAGTTCATAAGAGTATTAGTTTTGGTGGGTAAAAATGGGTGGCATTCGCATGTTCTACGGCGATCTTCCATATGGAATTGTGGGCACATATCACTATAGGCAAACATTACAAACGAAAAAATAGGTCGATTATATTAAGATACTCACCTACTGACATTGGTGATCCAAGAAAATGGTTTTCCTACCAAATATCTTGAAAAAAAAAACGAAAAGCACTTTTGTTTTAGCTTTTCGGGTGATATCGAGGAAATATTTCTTTCGTCTGCAGGGGGTAAAGTTCGAGATATTTTTAATACGCATTTGGTGCAACTTGAAATGAATTGACCAATGTTTTCAGTTTCTTAAAATCCTAAAGAAGAATGAGATTTATTTCCCTTCAGTTTCAATGTTTCTAGACTAAAAATTTTTATCCCCTCTCTGCTCGCAGTCATCTGAATTTTCGTTGCGTAATCAGTTAGTGTTGACGACAGGAATATCTTGGAAAACTTCTCTGATATCAAACTCGGAAATTTGCAAGAACCTTTTAATCCTCGTCGCAAATGAAAGGGCGAAAATCGCAAAGAAAAAAATAAAGAAATTCCGGTCGGAAGGTACTTCAATAATAAACTTATGAACCGTACCTGCTGGAAAACAGGATAGCACTGAGAATCATAATGAGTTTTTTTCAGTTTGTATGAAATTCCGGTTATCTGTAATGCTTAAACATAATGTCTACTTACTTAATGACACTCGCCTGTTTTTATACATGAAAGGAGGGCCAGCCTTTCAAGGCCTCACTCGGTTACGTCTTCGTGGCTTCGATGGTTAGTTCGCGGGTTTAACATGTCGGCAAAAACGATGTCGAGCTTTCTTTCTCGTTACATTTATTTGATATTTGATAATGGTTCTCCAATAGTAAATCTATCTCTTTGTGAAAGCACCGGTCATCATGTTTAAAAAAGCTGTTTTTTCGATGAAAAGAGTTTATGTTTCAGCTTTGCTGACTTAAAAACATTTTATTTGAGGAATTATTGTTTTCCGAATTTCTTTTAAGAATAAGTTAATTGTATAATTTGAGGCTTTAACAAAGTCAAGCGTTTCAGCTTATCGTAGCATTTAAATTATGAGGACTAAATAATGATATTTTAACCAAGATAACGCTCTTAAAACCGAATTAACCGAGGTTACCAGAGTAGTAAACGGTTGTGAGATTGAAGAGATCTCAGGCTTTGATACTGATTAGAACTTCATGACTATGTCGAAGAATTGTCGGGATTGCCGGCCTATGTCGGTTTATTTTCGTTCGACAATGTTAAGAAAAGGCAAACTGTTGGACTAGTTTTCACCTGATCAAGGATGACTGGGGTCTAGAAAATGAATTATTTAACCATTTTCTTCAATTATCTTCATCAGTCCTCTCTCCGCACAAGAGCAGCAGGGATCATCAGACGACCCCGCAGATGCTTGGTTCAACGCTGCAGGGATCCTCCTGTCCCTCAAACACGCGGCCGCTGAGAGGAGTGCTAGGATGGGGAACCCAACAGATACCCCGCAATGGACCCCTTCTGTGGGCGACCCTTCGATTTCGCAATCACAGGTTTGAAATTTCAACACTAACCAGGCCCCAAATCTTCTAAAATTTGTCATCTTCAGATTGGTGCTCGGATCCCATTCGTTACTAGTGCCCTGCGTTCGACTCTTTTGGAGAAGAGCTGGGAAAACTGGGTCGAGTATACCATTGAAGTACATTTGGTAAACCTTCCTTAGCTCGATTACCAGCCGCTGTTTGGGAAATGAGCCCGCGACGCTGATCCCTTTGAGAAGATCGAAGGACTCGAGAAAACGGCGAAAATCGAGATTAAAACCCACCAGGAAAACTGAACGAGACCAATTTCTTCTATCTTTTTATTTTATTTTTTTTTCAACTGTGATTTGAAACTGAAAAACAATAGCTTTATAAATAACGTCTATCCCTTTACGTTTTCGGAAAGCCTCGACTTCATGTGCTGGTCCTCGGTTTTCCTGAACTCGAATCCAAATGGGTCCTAGTCTCCCGCTGCAAAGGTTTATATTGCAACTACCTTCACTTTTTTACCATGTATCTGACATGACATTGTGACAGAGATTGATTTGTGTCAAGCCACTTAAGATTTTATTCACAAAATATCGTTTAACCTATCAGTTTTGATTGTTTTCTTTTGGAGACCTCCTCAATTTCAATGGATGGATTTGCTTCTGCAAGTGTGGATACAGCAGTTTTCTTGTCAGCTGCTGTACACAACCCATGTGGTGCAGAGTGTGCTCAGGATTTCTATTCAGGATCCATTTTTCAAGAGGAGACAGTCCTGTCTGACAGAGAAAGCTCAGACGCGCCTGGGTCCAAGGCAAATAAATGCCGTCTATGCGACAAGGTATATGCTCGGCCTTCCACCCTACGCACGCATATGCGGACCCACTCAGGAGAGAAGCCCTACCAGTGCCACATTTGCATGAAGTCTTTCTCACAGGATGCAAATCTAACTGCGCATTTGCGAATCCACTCGGGGGAGAAGCCTTTCAAATGCTTGGTGTGCGATCGAAGGTAATATAAGCAACTACTGAACTTGTGACTTGGTTAAGGTAGTCTGGGACTTTGAAGTGACCACATCTAATCTACTTTGTGTTTTTCGACTGCTTATTGACAGAACGACTTTGAAGTGGCCACATCCAATCTACTTTGTGTTTTTCGACTGCTTATTGACAGAACACCTACAATAGACCTTCATGATTTGTCGTGCTACTCTTTCCTGGATTTCAGCCATAGATTCTTAATTTGTTTTTAGTCCCGAGGATTCTATATTAGCATATTCTCTGACCTGCGAGCAAACCCACCATTATTAGCGAGCGCGTTGCTTCGCAGGAAAGTATAATGCCTTGAGCAACGTGAGCCGACGCGAGGGCTGCAAGGGGTCTAGTACTGATAATTATTAGAGCCAGACCCCCAGCAAACCTCTCCCTGACTCCTCTCAAATCTTCCCGCGGGCGGATAAACGTGTGTCCTGCTGCTCTCAGGCTACATTCTCCTTCCTTTTACCCAGGTTTATTACATCTTGACCTCTAGAAAACTACTTTGTGTAACATCCTTGTGAAAGCTCAAGGGGGAAATCATGTTACTGATTTGCGATATAACCATATTTTTTGTAGGTTTGCCCAGTCCTCCTCTGTCACCACACACATGCGCACTCATACTGGTGAGCGCCCTTATCGATGCAAAATGTGTTCTCGGGGATTTGCCGATAGCTCCACTCTGACAAAACACCTGCGAACTCACACAGGAGAGAAACCATACAAATGTAAGATTTGTCAACTTAAGTTTTCCCAATCAGGAAATTTGAATCGACACATGCGTGTACACGAACACGGCATGTAAGCAAGCAAGCTTCTTCCAAGCCGAGCTAATACGTCCGCAAATCCAATATTGCTTGCATCATGTATAATTTTAATGAAATAGCACGTCTCCCACTAATTGTTTCCTGGGAATCGCTATTTAAGATACCTTTTAGAATCATAATTTTGCGCTCAATTTTGAGTGAACGAGAAGAATTAACTGAATACAATTTTTTCTTATGAATTGTTTGTAGAATTTGTTTGTTTAAAGACGCCGGCCCTTTCGAATGTCTCATGTCTGTCCAATTAGTTTATTTGTCAAATTAGGAAAAGTCCTTCCTTCTCTTTTCCTTATTCCTCCCCCCTCCCTCCCCTTCTTCGTTTTTCTCTCCCCCCCCTTAATTTTTCGCTTACCCCACAAATTGACTGTCTGAAAGAGGCTTAGCTGCTCTGAGAAAGTTCTATGGTTTTTACTTCCGCTGTTGTAATTTTGTAAATGAATCAAATACTAGCTTAGAAGGAGTAATGATTTACCATGTTGTGCTAGGTCCTTTGCATGGATTCAGGAATGAGTTGAACTTAAACGAGTTGAACTTAATACGCGTGTTGTATATGTTGTAGATGCTGGCTCGGTGACTTTATTTAGAAACAGACTTCATACCTCTTGTACGAATGTTGAATAAACTACAACGAAAGAAAATTTGCTCTTATATAATTGATTAGACTTATGTGACAAACATTTGTGAACCAAAAAGTATTTATTTATTTTAAGCAGGGAAATTTGTTGTTTGGTTTCATGTTCTTAGAGGGCTGTTCAGTTTGTTTTGTTGATCGCGATTCGAATTTGCTGAATAAAGTGTTGTGTTATGTGATATCAAACAGAGTTTGATTGCATAATTTAAGCTCGAAGAAATGTTAATTTAAAGATTTTAATATCTCCTAAAGGACTTTTTGCGCACGACAAGTGTTACAGAATTTCAAGAACAATAGTGCAGCTCCCACGTTGGAGAAACATTTATGAAAGAAAAATTTTCTGCGATAAACTTTGTCTAGCGGATCGCATTACAATTCCAATTTGTCACTACTAATTGGAACGAGCGTTCAAAATTCCGCACATACAGAACCAAAGTAAACTCCGGAAATATACCAAGACATAAGAAACGTCATAATTTCTTTTTTATAAACGTTATTTAATTTGTCATCTTTATTTCTGGAGAGTCATACCCTCCCAGTTACTCTTACGGTAGCTTATGGTTTACGATGATAAAACTAAATCACATTCTGAACAATTGAATGAAAGGTGTCCAAAAGGTTTCTCTGTTCAATTCAGCCCCGCTTCATCAGTAACTTGGTGATGTTTTTGTTGGCGATGCTAGATCTATTGTCTATCTTTCGCAAAACAAAATCTCAGAAAGTTTCCCTTGGTTTTTCACTATCCTTTGTCTTCATAGTCGGGGTCTTTCTATCTACGCTACTAAGCACAAAGCACTGTTAAGACTTTTTGCAAGCGGACATAATTATCACGTACAGTTCTTTTTTTAACTGTAATATGTACAACTACTTTGTAGCAATAACAGCCCAGGAGGTGTTACGACTGCATGTGTCCTCTTTTCCCGTGAGAAACGTTAGGAACGAAAACGCTGAGCTGTGTCACAACTAGGCTGCATGTGTTGTGACGAAGATAAGTTATCAAAGGCTAAAGTTGTCCCTTGAACTTTAGTAGGCGTCGTTGAACTCCGAAGGCGCGAACTAGAAAGCATGGCTTCTTCGGTATAGGTCGGATAACGCGATCGACTCTCGCCAAAATCTACATCGATGGGACCGCCGAGCTGACAGCAACCCCACCCACTGGATAGCTTTTCTTGGGGGTTAAACACGTATTTTCCATTTCTGTAGTTACAACGGAAAATCAGCTTGTGAAAGGTGAAACGAAACTCACGGTTCCTGATAGTATAGATGATAGGGTTAATGCAGGTGCTCGCGTACTGAAGCCATTTAATTACCGTCATAGCAACCTTATAATCACATGTCTTGTAGCCGCAATAATAGGTTACTATGTTGATGATGAAAAATGGCCCCCAGCAGAGAATGAATGCACCAATCACGATCGAAAGAGTTCGCGCCAGTTTGATCTCGATCAACACGGACCCAGTCCATTTTGCACGATACCGAACCACGCGGTAAATGTTTCCGTATGAAAACAAGATTAACAACAGCGGAATAAAGAAGCTCAGAGTCACAACAAACATGGCATAATTGAATTTTTGGTATGCAAGTCGAAGCAAGGCAACGAAAAGTGAAAAGATCCATACACCGAGGATTGTCCAGCCAGCGAGTTTTGTGCTCTTCATGCGATGTTTGTAAACTGTCGGATAAACCACAGCCGCAAATCTGCACAAAGTAAAGGAAAAATTAATCAAGCGGGTGTAGAAAACCTTGCATAGAACGCGCACCTTGTCGCAATTTGCCCTGGGAAACGTATCATACGCAACTTGAGTGCGCGCGTTTTGTGGGTTTTGTTCAGCTAAAATAGCAAGTAAAGTACGCATCCCAGAGACAAACTTCAAAATGTCTTGTAGCCTGTGAAATTTTTAACAAATTGTTTTAAACATGCCAAAAGAAAGAAAATGTGTTTAAAAAAAGGGCGGGAAATAGAAAATTGTTTTACATACTTAGTAACGGCATGAATAAGAAATCATAGGTTTTCTAGAGTGTACTTCTCTAACTATCTTCAGCGGTTGCCAGACCGTAACATTAAACGTCAGATTAAGCCAAAGGCTCTCTTACTCTGCGAGGGCCAGAAACGAAAACAGTATAGGACACAAGAAACTACGAGAAGCAATTGGTGAGCTAGCAGCATGCGCGGAGAAAATTCGGAAGGAGACGAGATAGATAAAACCAACAAAGAAAGCTTTGCTTTTTCTGTCTTTTCGGTTTCTACTTCTTTTCCGCAGGGTCATTATGCGGGTGACTCAAGTAGCAACAAGACGTATATAGTAACATGGAGCAATTTCCAACTGAGTTTCGAAATTGATCTGGCATTTGGTTGTGATCAGTCGAAAATTTCTCACCACGTTTACCCGCGCTTACTTCGAGTTCTGATTAGCTCCTAGTGATATTTTCTCTGTTATGACTAGCCGATATGATTACTTCAGTTTTACTTCACAACAATCAATCGCGAAGCTCTTTTATGAAGTTTAAGGAACTACGAAAGGAAATTTAGAGACGCTTTTTACGCCAGGTAAATTTTGCTTTCAACATAAGCGAAGCCGCCACCAAATATCAGTTTGGTAAGAGAGAGAAATAGCAAGTCGGGAAAAATCAACCAAAGAGGAATAGGGAAAGGTGTTAATGGAGAATATTGACTAGGACTGATAATGACAAACCAGGAATCAACTTCATTCCTATGCCCTGATCCAATTCATCACATCATCACAGCTTTTCTAACCTGTCAATGCTTATGGCAGTCATGTTCCAGATCGAGGCCGTACCACACAAGATGTCGAATATGATGAAAGCTTCGTAAAAACCGTTGCCATACTCACTTTCACAATGGGATCTGAAATGTAGAACAACAGAATGGTGAGTATTCCACGATCAAAAACTCTTTCTGCAAAGAGTACTGCATCGAATTTGCTAGTTTCTTTAGCTCAAAGACAAATCTTTCCCCTTTCGAATTTAGAACGTTTTCGTCTCGTATTTTTACTGTGAAAGAACTTATTTAAAATAACATCGATCGTTTTAAAAAACTCTGACGGAACATATTCCTTATCGAACGCCAAAAGTCAAAAACACTGTTGACGTTTACCCAAGAATTCTTGGCTTGCATGAGTCATTTTTGTAAGTCACATCACATGCATAAAATCTCCAACGACAAAATTCTGTTTCTTTAATTTGCCTTTTTGACCGTAGCTGTTTCGAGAAATTTCTCAAGTGCGGAAATTCCAAAAAAGATGAGTGATGGCAGGAAGTACAAAAAAAAAAACGCACTTGACCGAAAAACCCACTTGGAAATCAAATCATGTAAACAAAACAAAGCCTATGAATCAGCGGAAATTGTTGTTACAAAAATGTCCTTTCCTTCGGTATACACTTACATTGAGCAGGGGCATCTGAATAATGTGGACTCAAAATTATAACTAGTTTAGATGTTGTCTGCCTCAAATGCTTGCCCTTTTATAATAGATAGATAACTGATTATACGACTCGCGAAGAAAGTTTATTTACTGTAGTTTAATTTATTCGTGTTCGCCTGAAAAGAAAATGCCTCAGGTGCGAAACTCTGTCGCTTGTATTGAATAAATTACGAAGATTTCCAACAAGCTCGAAAAAGACAGGGAAAAAAAATTAACATAACAAACCCTAAACAAATCCAAAGATTGTAGTATCGAGCACGGTGAATGATAACGTGACGACATATTATTATTTTTGAATACAGCCTGTATCCATTGTGTTCTTTTGCGCTAATAGAGCGCGGTGGCCGTCGTTTACAAAGATAATCTTCGTTTCATTTCAAACAGCTTTCTCCTTGAATTGCTTTATTTCTCCTGTTTCAGAGATTTTCTCTTTGAGATAAAGAACATTTTCTATTTTTGGAACTACACACCTCGTTACTTTGCCAAGTCACGTCCCAAAGGGGCATCAAAATAGTTGAAATCGATCAAAAGAGCGAAGGTCTACTTAATTTTCACTTAAGATAATTGTATTGCCTCCACAGGCACATATATAGATACGTTGTCTTATTACTTACTTCTTCATTATGTACATCCAAAGCGGGATATTAAAGCTCCCGACCAAAATATCCGACACAGCCAGTGAAACGACATAGTAGTTAGTGAGAATCCTAAGGCGTTTGTTGGTTGCGAATGCCGCGCACACAAGTCCGTTCCCGAATATGGCGAGGATAGCAATTAAAAAAAAGAATATTAGGGATGTCCAAAGTGATCCGTCCAGTGTACAATCAGCCATGGCCCTCGACTTGTTCGTAGTATGAATGTGTATCTAGGTGGTAAAGAACATAGGCAAAGTTAATCCGAACAAAATGTTCAAGCCTCGTTAATGAATCCATTCTTTGACCCGACAAGTTGTCACATTTACTGACTGGAACTCACATCAGGCGCTCGCGAAGAGTAGAAAGTCTGATTATCCCCTAAGTTTTGTGCCTTAAGTTTGTGATCTGCTTTAGTTCCGCGAAACGCAAATAAAATATCGACAAATATCTCGCGAGCCTGGTAGTTCATGCATCACCTTATCTTCGCAAAAATCACTCAACGCGCTGTCAAGTTTTGATGAGTCTAAAGAAGTGAGAGTGTTTACCCTCATTCAACGATCAGGGAAGAAAATGAATTCAAAGTTGTGGAGAGAGGCGGAGAAAAAATTATCCCGACGAAATGATCACGGGGGGCTGAAATAACAAAAAAAATAAGTTCTAAGAAAATGGATTCAAATCGAGGACAATTAACACTTTGCCTGAACCTCGTCAAGAAACAGCTGTATTATGCCCACGTATGTGATTTTTTTTTAATCACTGCTTTGATTAATATCTGTTCGACATGGCTCTATTTGGCAAATGCGGACTTGTTAATTTTCAAGCTATTCAAACAGGAAATTACAAGGGAGCGGGCTTTCAAACCGCGGCGACGGAAAGTCAATTAAATCAACAGACAGAAAGGGTCAACTCATAGATGCTTTTTTCAACTCAGTTGTAACGAAACTACATGACGCTCACTCTTTAGACACTAACAATTTTCTACTTAGTAAGAATATTTGATCATCAGCATGAATTTTTGAACAAGGTATTTTTGAATAAATGCTTAAGTATTTAGTCTAAGGGTATAACTGTCACGCATAGCAGATTCTGAGAACAATGAGATTGAACTGGAGCAAATTTCTTTGTATTCGCCCCTCTTCAATTGATCTTTCGGAATTTAAAACTAAGGTAAACTTTTATAGAAGTAAACGTGCAAACTCGGCTTCATAGCTGAAAATCCATTTGCTCAGATTCGCGTCCGCAAATTCAAAGCGGCAAGGGGGTATATTGAACAGGCAGAGCTCGCAGCTTTATTTGATTCCCGTCGAAAGCATTACTATTGTAACAGTAATGGAAAAAATGCGTATGAACAGTGCAATACATTTTCATTGTTGTCTCTGCAGCCACGTTTAATCTTTGTCGTAAAGTACTGACGTTTTAATTCAACCCCTTTAATACGTCACAGAGTGACCCCAAACAGTCGGCTCTGATGAAACATGAAAACAACTGCTCACACGTCATTTGTCCTTCAAATGCAAAGTTTGAGACAAAGCACCCACGCGAAAGTGAGTCATTCTTTAGTTTCAAACTTGCATGAATTGACAGCTGAGCCGCGATTGTAATATTCCGACAATCCCTACGTGCTCGGGAATAATTGCGGAGGCAAATTGTAGAAGCTACCTTGTATAAATAGTTATTGATGGTTGAAGGAAAGGAAAACAAAGATATGTCAACCACGATCAATGGAAGAACAACACAAACTAATTTCAACAACTTATCTCTCTGTTTTAATTTACATTTCGCTCGATGCATCCAGGTAGGAAATATTTCGACGGTCACAAAACGAAACAAAACCAAAAAAAACTTTCGATCCTGGTTTCTTGTGTAGTTTCGATGGAAACGGAAGTTTCTTTTCATGCTTCCTCGTGTGCTGACTGATAGACCCTTTGGCAAATGACGAAAATTAATCAAAACTGCGAACTAGGAAACTACACGAGAATTATAGACCTAGGCTTTATCGGGTAATCCGCAAACTTTCGTTTTGCCCAGAGATTTTTCAGCTGAGAAAAGGTAATTTTAATCGTAGATAGATTACGAGACAATTTATTGATTGGATTCTTACATAACCCCGCCCTCGGTCAAACAAAATACCTCATCAAATTTTTAAATGTGCGCAGTCTAAGACCGTCCCTTCTCCGACTATGAGGGAAGAAACTTCAAATTTTCAGAATCGTTACGTAGATTACCAGCAGTCCCATTTTAACCGTAAAGTCCGTCGTGTAACTCAGTAGAAATCCGCCCGGCAAATGTAAAACTGGCCCTGAACTAATTCCGTATGATTCGCGCGACGAACACACTGGGAAAGGGAACTGACCGTATTCTAAGGGTCACCTTTTGGACCATGAACTGTTCTCGTAGTGAGAATTTCATTTCCCTTCGAAGAATCTTTTATTTTGATCACTGTTTTAAAGAAAGTTCTATTTCACCAAACACTAACAAACTACTCGAAATGATTAACTTGTGCTAATTGTCTCACACGCTGTTGAAATTCTTCTTGTACACAAAAGGGCAGGGAAATTGTTATTTACGACACAGTTTTCGCCCTAAGGCTATATCTTGCCGAAATGAATACCCATTAGAAATGTGTTTACGCTTGTAATTTCTGTTATTACACTTTAAAGGAATAAACATAGGAACAAACATTGAGTTCAAAATAAAAACATAATCTTGCATAATGTTGCTGTGATCACGAAAGCCGAGAACATGACATAAGCGTCAGTGTATCCAAATCTTGGTCCACTATCAGTAAGCTACAGTGACGATATTCAAAAGCGAAATTAGTAACCATACTTCAAAATCAAGTATTAAACGCAGTGAAACGCCTTTTCATTAACGATAACTCCCTCGGATGTAGGACACATGCGCGAGTTTGCTTTGTTTGACGTGATCCTCAGCAACCGATATGTTCTGTCCTTATTTTATGTTTTAAGATTAACAAGTGGGTTTTGTGCTTGCTCACAGTCTTTTTCCTAGTTCGTTTATTCTTTTCTGTTCTTTTTAATGGTCCTCTTGTTGAAGCATTCATCCTCAGCAGCTTTGGTAAAATAGAATGTACTAGTGGCAGCTCATGAGAACCTGGTATATGTATCAACTATTTAATGAGTACTTTACATCAATTTGGAAATCGATGAAAAATATTGTAAAAAAAAAAGTAGAACTTCAGATTAAGGGGAGGGAGTTGTACTTACCCACACTCCCTTTCGACACTTTTATGAGCCCTTCTTGATGAAGAATTTTAGAGATTTCTTTTCATGAACTCAAAGCTGAGAGTAGAATCTACAGAAAGTGTTTCTACTCTTGTCTACTCAAAATGAGAAAATGTGTTACTGGGAAAGGCTTTCCCTCTATCATCACTGTTACAACTAAAAAACCTGCCTTCTGAAGAATGCTTTTAATAAAATGGCGCGTGTTTTTAAAGATTGCTTTTTAACAGTTCTCAGAGAACAACAAGGCACTGAGTTGGCCATCTTCCCACTAAACGTATCAGTACAACAGGTATATACAAGGGAAATGTTAGATAATACATACATATATACCCACCGAATCCAAACAAGACGTATTCTCTGAGTGAATTATAACATGAAGTGAGATTTCCACCTGCCTGTAAAGTGCGCTATGGTAGGTAACGACTTTCGTTGGAAAAATTCGTGAACTGATAACTCAGTAACGATAACCAGTTCTGAGACTATCGATTTCGACCTTCCGACACCGCATCCGAAAGTTGAGAACTCAAGTGTAATCTTATGGTACATCTACAATGAATGCTGTAGATGTTTGTGTGAAGAAATATATTATTTAATTCAGTCAGATTAAAACGATTTTGCGCTGCCACTCAGTCTACGTGTTTCGACAAGGTGAATTGTTTGTTTTCTTTAATCTAATCCGATTGGATCTTAGACATCTTAAGGGAAATGAGAGAGAGATAAAATTTTATTTGAAAACAAAATACGGGCAAAGTGATTCGCATTGATGACTATGCAATTCCTGAAGGCGAACAATGTTTACTCAATTCATCAGTAGGAAATAGTGAATGAACTTAGACTCTTCTTTAATTTTCTGGTGCGGAAATTATACGACGTTCAACACCTCAAAGGCGATGAATTTTCAGTTTTCTTCAAAACTTTTAGCATTTTAAAAGAAATTCGATTTGTCAGTGATTGTTATTCCATTATCCTATGTTTTCTTCCGGTCTCGGATAATTGTTTCTGATAAACGAATGAGTATTCATTCCAAGATTTATGCATAATATATCACCACACAGCATTACACAAACAAAAATTTGATTTGAATTTATGAAGGTAATTTGTAAATCTGCAGGCAGTAGGGAGATCGCCAAATTCTCATTCAATCATTCGTCCATTCATCCATTTATTTCTTTATTTTCAAGCTTGGATCATAAAAGTACACGAAAAAGTGAAAGATTCTTACAGAAACATATTTTAAAACTGTTACAACTCATGTTATTACCGGCACTGTCGGGGGCTTGGAAGGGGCTCAAAGACCTCAAGGATTTTCATACCCTAATGATATGGACTAGACAGCGACCAAGCTCTCATTATTGACGCAGCCGGGTACGCGTGTTTTTTTTTTTCGCTCGCGACTAAGTGTATGATGCAAAACGCTAGCACTGCAGCACTGATGATAAGAACCGGCTAAAGGCTAAATATTGATAGGAGAACATGATATTAAACTTAGATTCCTGGTTTAGAACATTTGTCTCGTCATGGAGCGATGATGCAGTCTCGCTCTATTTTCATTTGGGTTCCATTTTATGAATCTTTGGCTGGGATTAGCCCCTGTCAGATTGTATTTTGATTTTGGAGACGGCTAGAAACTTTCAGCTTTTTGGAATTTTGGGGCTACTTCGGGAAGTGTTTGTGGAAACGGAAAAACAGACTTAACCGTAGCTTAGAGTCTAATAACATTTCAATTCATCGATGATGGATTAAACAAACTGATCACATGATTTGTGGTTGATTTCAACTTCCGATTTATTTGGCTTTTTATTTTGGTATTACTCCAAGGAATTTAGTCTGCGGCTTCTGAGGTTTTCCTTCCCTCTTAAAGTGACCTATTGTTTTCAATCAAATTCCTTTGGACCTTTCTCTTCTAATACTCCATAGGGTTAATAGGCTTATGTAACCGTTTATACCCTAATGTTGATGTGCATATTTCTACATCCCGTCCTCTGTAAATTTGCAAGGGTAACGACAAGGAGAATTTTTCTAAACTGCAATCACTGGGATATATATAGGTAGTCTACCCCGGTAAATAAAAAGCCCCGACCAGCGCGACTGATAATAGAAGAATGCTAAGCGGTTTAAAAAGTCATATTTTGTAGGACTTCGCCAGCTCGAACTTCCTGCCAACTTAATCTATCAGCAGTTTCCCTAGATGTGCATTTTCATAGTTATTTATCGATCATCTTCTAACTTTAATCCCACAGTATTTCGAAGTAGACTTTGTTTCCCTCGACCGAGGGTTAACACCAAGAAATTAAAGGTATGGAAAAGCACTAAGTTTAGATAATAGTTTAGTAACAATAGTCTAATACTTATAGTGCGCAATTTTAACATGTTAATATGATCAAGTGCGCATTACATAAAGATATCATCAATCATTATAGATGACGCTTTCAATTTAATTCAATAATTTTCGTTCAAGGAATGTTAAAAATCTTGTTGTCACATTCAGGCGAAGTATTTTGTTTTAAAAATCTGCTCACCTCATCAGTAGCGGAAACACGTCACGGAGGCGGTTTAATTTTAATCCAGCTGACCCA